ATAAACAGAATTTTGGGAATTGGATGGAACTGGTTCCGGAATGTTCAAGATTGCGGAATAGGATGTATTCTCGAGTATTTTACACGGAATCAAACGAAAATGCTTCACCAATGTTAATTTAAGACGAGCAATACTGAAATATTGTTCGAATATTAAGTATATTTATGAATCAATATACTACCATATTTTACATAATTTAAAAACTCGACATTTTTTATCATTATTTGAACTATAAAGTAATACTATATGTTCATATAAATTGAAGACGATTAACGATCATTATGTACCACCTTGAAGATCTATGCACCTACGACATTGGCGAAAGAGGAATTGCTAATTTCTGTCAATAAACAAAAAATATATACTCACGTTGATCATTTCGACCACCTGAAGCTGCGTTCTTTTCGTCATACCAGTCTAAGCGTCGTTTTGTTTTGCTAGAAAATGGTCATCGTTTCTTCCCGGGTTTGCTTCCGTAATATGGCAGGACAACTTACGGTGCTGATTTTCCACGTTTTACATCGTTGTTACGACATTTTTGGATCTGGGTAGTGCACAGCATTGCAAAACAATTAATTTTGACACGAGATAATTCGGTTTTTTACGGCTCTGGTTTTCGTTCAGCTGTTACAGTTCTATGATTGTCAATTTGAGCTCTATTATTTGAATTAATTTTTTGATATACTCTCATTACCATTATTACAGAGTGTAAAACATAAAAAATTATCAGCCATCTGAAATATGAAGAAAAATAATATAATAATGTTTATAAATACTTTGTATACAGTACCCAGCCACACAAAATAAAATATAGACAGAATAATGAATACAAAAGAATATATAATCAACAGAAATGAATCAAACATGTGAATTAAAGACAATATACGTCACTTAATATAGAAATTGTGAACCAATGAGATGACATCTAGATGATCTACTATAGCTACTGCGGATGGTTCATCGCATAAATTTCTCCAAGAAATCGTCAGTTCTCGATCACTCGAGAAATTAGTATAGCATTGTACATAGCTTGTCCATGGTTTAGGAATTCCTATTTCTAAGGTCTTAGATACGGATAGCAAGCTCGCACAACTTTTTACACATTCTAGTTTCTCTAATCATGATGAATATGGCTGATTAAAATTTCTAATGACAACATGCAATGTAGCATAATCCTTGCTTTCATTCAAAGAAGAAAACGTTTGTAGAAATCTCTTAAATAACGATGTCTCAATCCTAATATACATATCTACAGAAACATTCAAGACACGAATCAATGCCAATGGGATATTGAAGTGAAACATTTAAAAATGCGCAAGTTCTACCATGAACGTTAACTGAAGATGATAATGTGTTGACGACGTACTTGCTGCTTTCATAATAACATTGAAACATAAGAACAATTCAGTAGACGAATCATGGATTATCGTGTTTTGGTAAAACATGGACTGCGTGTGCTGGCCTTCATTATTCTCCATAATTGAAAATTGAACAAAGCATAACATAACATTAATCATGTGTTACAGAATTTTTTCTTTCAGAACGAGCTGCTGTTTTGTATCTACATAGTCTATTAAATTACACTGAAAAAGTAACTGCAGCATATCTAATCAAGATTTTTAGTCTTACAAAAACATAAAATTTTGAATCTTGATGTAGTATAAATACGGTTTTCATAATAAAAACGTTTCATTGTCTAATCTAGATAGAAAATCAATTAGATCAATAAATACTTCATTATTAGTTTTGCTTACAACCGTAAATCACACGATAGTAAATTCAACACATTCGCCTCTTGACTAACCGCCACATTTTGCCTTCAAATAAGCTATACTATTTTTTCTAATTCTGACAGTCATATTTTATATTTCACGAACTACGAAGTCATGTTCTAGGCCAAATCACGAACTCTTTTTCTTCTGGAAAATTAGAATCAGAAATGCCTGCACCAACAGCACCATAGTATGTAAAATCGAACATTTCCCCGTCAAGATCAAACACTATAGCAGAGTGTTACAAAACATTTTGGAAGTAGTCAAAAGAAAGGCCCTAATGATTTCACTTTCTCTCAGATGACTGTTTGGTTAATTAATCGACACCAAAACGAATCTTTAATGTAGAATGAGGCGCATGTCTAACCTATGAACGTAAATAAACATTACTTTGAACTGATAGTTACTAGGGCATCGAAGAATAGAGGCAATTGGAGTAGACTCAGTTACAGATGCCAAAGCAGAAGTCATCTCCTTATTTTTTCTTTTTTTCTAGACCAAAAATCTTCCGATGATAATAATTACAAAGAAAATAATATTTATTCGGGATCATTGAATTACAATCGAATGGATAATGATTGAACTCATCTAGTTTTTTGTTTAAAAGAGCCAAATTTTCAAGGTATATACATAAAACAAAGAAACATGACTTTTCGGGAACGTTGTTTTTTAATATTGTTCGCGTGAAACACTCTCTCATTCACCTTATGTACTGAAAAATCACCAAGCATATTCTCACAAGACATACTATGAAATATATATCACACTTATAGTTTATTTTTATCTTTCTTTATATACAAAAGTGAAATTTTTTCACAACAATGTAACGACTATATACATAAAGCGATAATAGGAAGGAACAAACTATATAATGAAGAGTCCCATAGACTATGAGGAAGGAAACAAAATATTCACAAAATGACGCACACAGTAGAACATGACCGAGGAGGAGGAGGAAGTGGTGCTCTGTGAACTTTCTTCATTGTTGCTTTTTTGGTTTGTTTGTTCCACCCTTCGAGCTCGTATCCATGCCGCATAAGATAATTTATGATCGTCACGAGAGGTTTGACCACATATTTGTACTCCATATAGGAACCAACAACCACGAAACCACTCGGCTTATGCTCAGGTACGTCTTCCCAGTACGGTTTTGTTTGTGTACATTCTAACATTTTCTGCTCATGCCCGCCAAGTTTGACCATTTGAACCGAGCCAATCAGCTCAATATAAGTGGTATAAGTAATCGCCTCGGAATAAGTGTCGTATGTAGGGGTGGGCCATTAACATTAATTTTATATTAATGTTAATGTTTCGCATTAACCATTAATATTAATGGTTAATGTTTTCTAAGAAAAACTTAATTCATTAATATTAATGATTAATGAAAAACATTAACATTAATTTTAAAATTAATGTTTTCATTAATCATTAATATTAATGTTAATGTTTTCATTAAAATCAATGACTTAATATTAATGGTTAATGTTTTCATGAAAGCATTATAACTTTCCATATTAAGTAATTAACACTTTCGGAGAAAACATTAGCTATTAAGATCAGTTAATTGATTAATAATTGTAGATAATGTTTCCTTAGAAAAGCCTAATTCAGTAATATGGAAAAATTAATGTTTTCATGAAAACATTAACATTAATATTAATGATTAATGAAAATATAATCCCTAATATTAACGAAAACATTACTATTCATACTAATGATAAATGTTTCCTTTAACCGTTAATATCATTCAAGAACATTGACATTAATATTAATGATTAATGAAAACATTAATTTTAAAATTAATGTTAATGTTTTTCATTAATCATTAATATTAATGAATTAAGTTTTTCTTAGAAAACATTAACCATTAATATTAATGGCTAATGGAAGTCATTAATTAATGTCATTAATTAAGTTCCGTTAAAAAAAATGGTCCACCCCTAGTCGTATGTGGCTAAGAGCGGCAGGAAATATTTGTCGGCAACAGATTGGCGATTTGCCTCTGACGAGAGATGAGTCGGAAGTACAAAAAATCCATGCCGATAGAAGGTGAGAACGGAGGAAAATATAAGTGGATCCTCATCGACGCGATACGTATCCCTTTTTTCATAGAAAACCAATTTCGCTAGATAAGAATCAGGAAAGGGCTTGAGTAGGTCTTCAACGATACTTTGAATAGACCCATCAGACAGTTTGAACTGAACATAGCGCGTTGAGGTGTTCGATGTGAAAGACATTTGTGTGTCTGTTCTTTTGTCAACGGCTAACCGTACTGAATGTAGCATATGGCTGTGGACAAAGAAACTTTTGTCTGTATTATTCGACTGTCTAGGCACTGCTCTTTTCTTCATTTACATGAACGAATCATTTTTTAGCTAGACTAGTGCCAGGCGCCATCTAGATATAGCAATGAAGAAAATGGATCGAATTCATCTACACTTGTCTCAACATTTTCATTTTCTTCATTGTCTGTTAATAAACAGATATCGCTGCAATGATTTCATGTAGAAGGCGCAGCTCTAATAAAGAATCGATGTGTATATTTGGCAACCTTCTGTGCGTGCGGACACATTGGATTGTTCAATATTAAGTTCTGTCGAAAACTGTTTGTTTAATTACACAGAAACAAGGGTGTGGGTGTCGGTATGTATTAGTTTCCTCTACAGTCAGAGTCACAACAAGAGCAACGTCCACATCTACACCCTAAAATGTTTTCATACTGGTTTGAAAAATGATAGCAGTGACTCATTTGAGATTTTATTAGGTCGAAACATCATATTGTAAAAATTTGATTTCATGACCACTATGTTACTGCTATTTTAGCTTTGATCCATGGTAGATAGTAACTAACACGTACAAACACAGCTGGCGCACTAATTCTACAATTTGCACTGAAGCTCACAATTCCATTCAGATACCTGTAGAGAAAATTATTTCGAAATACATTATCAATCTCATAAGGAGCATGGAAACTACTTGTTATCATTGCCCATTTTGATGATGCATTAAAGGACCGCCAGAATCACGATTGCATTGTCCGATTTCTTACCGGCATAAACTTTTCCACCAATATCTACTTCTGAACCTGGAAGACAAATAAAGTTTACGTTATCTGTAACTTCAACAGATTTTGATAGATAAATGATGGCTATATCATTCGATAGTTTTACATTGTCGTACTGTTCATGTACATAGATTTTTTTATGCACTTATTCTCTGTCCCAAAAATTATTGCTCTGTGATATCATGTAAGCTGGCGATAGCTGAATAGTCTTTTATTGACGTGGTACAATGTGCTGCTGTGAGAACATGTCGTGCATCAATTCGAGTTCCACCATACATATTGTCAGGCCCAAGTATTGCAACATGCCATGGCTGAGAGATAGCAATAGGTGACAAAAATTGAACCATGCACAAAACGAATCACGTTAAACTTACCCATGAATACTTTTCAACAAAAGAACCACCAATAATACGTTGTCCCAACGATGTGCACAATTTTTTACCACATTTACGACTCATTTCGAGAGACAATACATTAATTGACATATTCATCCATTATGAACACATTTTACCGTTTTCACGAATATTGAGAGCGCGTATTTGAGCAGAGAGACCCCCAAGAGAACAAAGTAGAAAGATAATAGTTCTAAGAAACACGATTTTATATCAAAGCTATTGTTAGAATGAAATGAGAACTAGCAGCTACATTCGCTCTTTTTATATAGACAACATATTTTAGACAAGTAATTTTCAATTTTAATCCTTTATTTTTGTGTTTTTTCTCAAAAATAAATCATTTATTAATGCGGTATCGAAGAAAGCATGAAATCTCTCCGACATATTCTATTGCAGGGCTATATATAAAACAACACTAATACAGAACTTTAGTCCCACCCATTATTTGCTTAGTAGTAAAAATTTATTAAAATAAAATACAAATCCAACGATTTATTTTTATCGATTAGTCATTAGTTAAGATAAAATGTTTTTCTTGATAAAATCATTAAATGGTCACCATCAATTGTATATATTTTTCACTGCTCACTTTTAGCAGACAAACTTGCACTGAAAAATGGCAACGTGCAGTATTCGCAATAAAATCAAAGCGATCTTTTTTTCCACTCTAGTCATGGGTCGCCATTGAAATATAAGCAGCAATGAGTATTTGCATCTTGAATCGATAGAAATTAATAACAACTGTATATCAAGTAGTGACTCATGTAAGGTTTCAGTTTCGACTCTTATTTAATGCTGCTGTAATAATTTTCAATGACTTCTGTATGATCAATATTTTAGACGGTCAATTAAAGATAGGCATGATTAGATTTTTATGAAGCTTCGAGTTATCAAATATTCATTTTGATCATACAATACTATGATCTGATTTATTCACACACCCACGTCCTCAAATATTTAACGTAGACAATTGAATGTCCTCTATGTAGCGAAATACTAATTGCGCCAATTAAACATATAGTAGAATGACGTGCAGCATGCGAGAACTATGAAAAAAGATTCATTTTCACTATGAAATAGTAATTTCACTCCAAAAGTACAGTTTTTTCTTCTTCTTCAAGGACATATCTGAATAGAGCATGAAAAACTGGATCTGCTTATATCAATTTCAGAGACTAACCAGGTGAAATGGCAAAATGAGCCGCACACATTTATTGACTATGGTTTTCACATATTGAGATGTCTTCATTTCTGCATAATTAGATGAAAAATACTTGAATGCCCATTTGAAATTTCCTTCCAAACGTTTAGAGCTTTATAAAAGTCCAGTAGTCAGACAAAGACAAACACTAAGACGAAATCCTTAATCAGCGTCGCCATCTCTACATTGTGACATGTGTTTGAGTCAAACAGAACCCAACAAATGTCAGATGCGCCATAGGGGGGATTGAGGAGTGAAAAATCTTAATATCGATTTAAGGTGAATAAGTATGTAGATGTTGTAGCCCATGATGGGCTTATTATTATAATGTACTTTTTTTTCGAAAACTTTTTGCGAATAAAAGTCTTCTTATCAACCTTTGCCGTTTATAAATTCGAGATCTCATAACAATCAATCAATCTATTCATTTTCTTATGGCAAAATAATATGTTACAAGACTCTTTTTTTTTCTATAATCCAACGACGAAGTTGTTTCAATTGGTAATCAGGTGTTATCGAATATCTAAATCAATAGCTGTTTTTCTCGTTTCTTTTCCTATCTTAGCATTGAATGAAACGAATTTAAATACTGGAAATAAGTTTTCTACACATTCTATAGCATATTTTCATCATCATCAGCATCCTACATATTCAGTAGCCAACATACTCTTCAATAAGTGAACGAAAGGACGATGTCGTAGAGAAAGAATAGTTTTTTTTTGGAAAGTTCATGCAGTTGCTAACATCTTATTTGCTGTACGGAGCATCACGGTCACTTAGAGAAGAAATAAAATAAAAGAGAAAGAAGCAAAAGAATGGCACCTATATTTGAGAGAACAAGCTCACCGTTGCCATAGCTTAAAAACGAAAAACGTATAAATACCAGATACGAAAACGTTCTTCTTTATTATTCTTAAGATTAAAAACAAATGAGTACGTTGACATTTCATTTTATTGAATGTGTTTTTATAAGATAATCCATATACAACCTAATCAAGAATCGATTTTAAGCATCGTAGGATCTGTTGCAAAAACAGTTTGAAGTATAGTAGCGTAATCACCTCCCTCCCCTCGCGATCTTTTATATTCGATAAAACGTCAAATAACTCATATCGAAATTTCTTGAATAGACTTCATAACAAAACAAGTTGAAAAGTAAGTAGGTGTTGATTTAAATGGTGATTGGGTTTATTGGTTCAGGAATGAATTTTCTGAAAAACAAATAAATTGTATTTCATTTTTAAAAATGGTATCAGCTATTCACAAGCTCAAGGAGGTGCAGGTGAAGGTATGATGAATCAATTGGAAAACGTTACTCGTATGGATCTCAACGGTGACGGTCGTGTTGGTGGTGGTGGTGTGGGTAATGCCTCACAATATAATTAACATGAAAACCTTGGGCATCCTCCTAACTATAATCAATGTGGTGGTGGTGGTGGTTGTGGAATTTGAGGTTATGCTGCCCCGTAATCAACATGGCCATCATCATTATAACTGTGTATTCTGTAAAAACATGTATTCGAGCTATGAAAATATTTATTAATATTTCTAAATAAATCGTACAGATTCTTGTTGTATCTCATAAATTGGCAAATGAAAACATCAAAATCATATCACGAATTGGGCATGTTCATTTGATAGAAAATTTAATTCTCTACAGCCTACCCAATTGTACTATGGAGAAAGCCATGCAAATTACAACATTTATACGGACTTTTGATGTAGTTTTCAAAGTTTCAGAACAAATATTTGAGAAAAAAACGTTTTCGAGTAGAAAATATGAAAAATTATGACAATCCATCATTCATAGAACAAGTTTAGTTTAAAAACCGACTATTTGACATAAAAATGCATTGAAACATCCGTCAAAGTGTTAATTTGGAGTATTTTTCTAGCGAACAAAAGTATAAATAATGCTGCCAACATCATGCTGATCGTATAAAGCAGCAAAATCCTCGATCTTTTTCTTTTAACATCAGTCTTCAGAAAAATAGAACATCACATATTAACAATCCACGCCCACACCTTAAACCGTTTATTTTGTTCTGACTTCATTTTGTATTTATTTGTTGGTCAATATCTACAGTATGGTTATCATATTTAAACGGGAATACTAGAGGTTGTATGATGAACATTTGAACACAATTACTGATATGGAGATAAGACATTTGTATTATTAATGCTTTATAACTCAATTTAACAACGGTGTGAATATTCTTATTTAAGCTATTCTAAATTAATATAGAGAATAGGACGAGTTCATATTATCAAACAGAGATGAACACAGGACAGGACGATTCTGTACTCATCATTGACACGTATTACGTACACGTCATATCCTACGCACGAGTCGGCGTGGATGTTTTGCGGTATATATACAAATAATATACTCATATATCTTTTTTTCTTTCGTTCTATGAAGCGAGCGCACGAACGAATGAATATTTGGTCCTTGTAACTGTCGTTGTCAAAATTTATGAAAAAATATTGAAATACATCAAATTTCAGCTAAACCTGAAAGCCTTTCACTGAAATTCTTATAGCATGAAGATAACAATTAGTCGATGATGGTTCAATTGTGTTCTTCGTCAACAAGAGACAATGTTAAATGTTTTTACGTCGTCTAAAATGAACAGTGTATTTCATGGATGGATGGGTGCATTTGATTTTGCATGTTCATACGATGAGTCGAAAAAAAACAAAATAAACCAATAACCAACGTTTGTACATGTAAATTAGTTAGTATTCGTATGAGATGAGTATTGTCAAGATGTGCTGTTTGCCTTGTTTTACGATTGTAGAAAAGTGTAAAAAGAACAGAGCATAGAGATGTGAGTCGTATTTCGACTCATTTTACGGTTCGATACGTTGGGAGTGCAGTGTAAAATAAAACAATGAAGCGTGTACGACACAAATATACTAATCGTCGTCGCTGTTTGTATAGCACTTTATGTTTTATCATTGGGTGTAGTGTTCTTATTATTAAATTTAGTTGGTACGATGCTCAACGATCGATATGTTTACCTAAAAATCCTGATGATGAAATAATCGATCGTCAAGATGAATGGCAATATCAAAATGGCATCACTGGTCAATGGTATCATTGGAGAACAGTATACAAAAGGCGAAATAATCAAACTGAATGGCGTGCCAATTGGTTAAATGCTGCTCCAAAATCGTATCTCGGTGTTATTGTCTATTTGGCTACATTCGGTGACCTTAAATCGCTTCAGACATCACTTACTCAGCTGTCTCGTATGCTATCAAATAATCCACGACCTGTTGCCATTTTTCATGAAGACGATCTAAGTAATAATGACATTCAGCAATCTCTAGCTCAAATATTAGGTAATTCTACTCCATTAACTTTTGAACATATCAAATTTTCTAACATTTCAATTCAACCTGGACGCCTTCATCGTCGATGGGCCCCCAAGTATTTTCATATGTGTCGGTTTTTTACTCTGATGCTTCCAAATCATCCTTTATTAACATTATTTTCATACTATTGGCGACTTGATACACATTCTTATATATTTGGAGGGCAGCCTATTGAAGATCCATTTGAAATCATGCAAAAACGAAAAACTCAATATGCTTTTACCATGGCTAATAGAGACAATGAAGTGCATACTATTGGTTTATGGACATTTTTTCATCAATTTCTCCAGGATCATTGTTTGAAACCTTCAAAAAATTTCCTTAAAACACAGCCTGGTTGGATTGATAGTTATTCAACTGCGATTTTTTTCACAAATTTAGCTATAGCAAATGTTTCTCTTTTTCGTGATCATCCATTGATACGAGCTTGGCTTCATAGAGTGGATCGTAGCGGTAGTATTTATCGTTATCGATGGGGTGATGCACCTGTTCATACTTTAATTCTTACTCAATTGATTCCACGAAACCAGATTTTACGTCTTAGATATTTCGGATATATGCATCGAAATGAATATGTCTGCGCTAAGGGCATAAAAGATGATTTGTGTAAAGCACAAATAAAAACAGTCTTTCCAGATCCTAATCTTATCTTTTACAATCATCCAGGTGGGTGTAATCCATCTTTTGGAAATCCTTTGTGCCATTATTATCCAGAGATTACACTCTGAAATGTACGTCTTTGTTAGGTTTCTTTTTCATATGATAAATTTTGCTTTTCAATTAAATAAATATATCGATTGATTATTTATCGTAGTTTAATGCGCTAAAACAAATTGAGGAGAATAAAATTGATAATCTCTGTTGACTCTTTAACTCCTCTTCGACGTAAGCACGTGAGTGAACATCTAATCATATACATATATGTCATCATGGAAAAGAAAAACTTACAATGACGCAACTGTAAAATATAGGATTAGACCTATTACTGCACTAGCTAATGGTAAGAATTACTATTCTCACGTTTCCCCCTATCACTTATCAGAAATGAGATCCGTTGGCATTCTCGCCCAATCGAAACATAACCAACTGAATTTAATAAAATTTCCAACCAAACCGATTTCGGGTGTGAGTGTCTTGTTGAAGGCAAGACCTACTCTCGCATCCACACCCACACTCAAATCTCTTTAGAATTACTAAGTCTTGTTCTTGAGGAAACAAACTAACTGCCAATAGCATATCTTCATGAGATCGGTCAAGTTGCAAGTATTTTAAATTTCGCTCGATTATCATAATATCGAAGAAAATCCATCATATTACGCAATAGTATGTAAGGATAAATAATAATCTGAAAATATTCATATAGCACTTTATTATTTGCGCTTTTTCTTGTTAAAGAAATTTTGAAATACATTGGTAGATAAGCATGACGTTCGTTGAACATTCAAAACTATTCTAACACCTTATGTATTAGTAGCTAAAGACTCGTAATAGTTTTGTGGGTTATCGAACTGTGTACGACACATTGGACAGTTGTTTTGACCTTCATCATGCACCCATTGCTTCAGACAGACTTCATGATACACATGGCAGCATGGTGTTATCACTGGATAGTTATGACCTGTAATATCTTGTATACAGATTGAACATTCACCATAATAATAATCGTATTTAGATGATTGCGTTGAACGAGCAACTGCTGCAGCAAAGTCCTTTACATTAGCGATGACAGCGATGGCTTTGCTTCCAAATGACGAGCAAATTATAGTGAAGATCTTTGCCGCTCGTGCAATTAGTCCTCGTTTTTTCAATTTGAAATATTCCGTTTTAACTGTATCGTCTAGGTCTTTTTTAATCCGACGGAGAAATTCCTGTCGTCGTTTATACATAATGTTTTCTATTTCTGCATTTTTATCTGTCATATTGTCACCAAATATGACAGTACGTACCTGTTTTATAGTTTCGATAAAATCAGTGTCTTGGCTATTTTTTTCTAAATACTTTTCCTTCGTCATTGTTTGATCATTACAGCCAGTGAATATGATAGACGACCATTCCAATACACTTTTACCAAACATTGTAGTGATCAGTTCAATATAATTTCGAATTTCTGTAGATATTCGACCGTATTTAAGACATATATAAATCTTATTGTAACCGATTGAAGCATTCTCTAGGACTGATTTCAATGAATCCATTATATCCAAATCCTTATGGCGATTATCACCGAGTCCAATTGTATCAGTGTAAGCATTATTTGGAAGGTCATAGTAAGTAGTGAAAAACCTAGTTTGTCCTGAAGAAGTGTCACCCACTCCAGCTGGATGTGACATATCTTCGACTCGCACATTATTGCTAATTAAGACATTTATTAAAGTCGATTTTCCGACACCTGTAGGTCCTATGAATAAAACGCGCCGTATGGACGTGGATGCGGTTGTGGGTGGTGGTTGGGGACGAACTATGGGGGGAGGTTGTGGATGGGCTATGGGGGGAGGCTGGGGATGGGCTATGGGTGGAGGCTGGGGACGGACTATGGGTGGAGGTTGGGGACGGACTATGGGTGGAGGTTGGGGAAGGACTATGGGTGTGGGTGGAGGTGGAGGTGAGGGAGGGCGTATGGGTGCGACAAGTAAATGTTCTGATTCCTTATGAAAGCATTCACGACATTGATCTCGCTTCCAAGCACCTGGAGTGAAATTTGAGCAAGCAGACATTCCGTGCCGGGGATCTATAAAAAAAAGACATGATACATAGATATGCAATAAAATTGTTCATAATCACTGATTTCGATGTTGATTAAATGTCTTTAAACGCATAATATTAAGGCGAAAAATATATACGTTTCTCTAAAAAATGATTTCTCTGTATGCTTAATTTAAAAGAATCTAATTTATATAACAGCTGCAGAAAAAACCTGGACTACACCAAGCTCTTATTGTTCATTTAAGAGTGTGAGTGTGTGGGTGAGATTTTGATTCTGGCTTAACAATGACATTGATGTTCGTCACTCAGGTACACGCTTACTGGCATTCACATCCAGAGACGCACCAAGTGACATTGTCCCGCTTGATCGTCTCCGTGAGAAATAGTGATAGTTGAGAGAGAATTAAATTCTACATCGAATACAAATCATAAGCAACCCAACTTCAGTAAGAGAGAGAATTCAGACAAGGACTACTGACTAGACTGCATGCACAGGTCTGTATATCAAACCAAAACTTCGTTTTTTGGCTGATGGCCCCTAGCAAAAACCAAAAATTCAGATAACGAATGAAATTCTGTATATAAAGCACCCATTTAGAGACTCAATACAGATGAAGCTGCGAATTCTGCATTAAAATTTCTTGCGCTGTTCATGCTTTAAAGAATGTTAGATCGCTTTCGGATGTTTGCTTAACTATTTGGGATTGAATTTTATCTTCTTCTCATAGTTTTAAATATGAGGTTGAGTGGTAGAGCGTCAGTAGATAATAAAAACTGTTTACCTGCACAATGATATCATTCGCAAGTTTGACTATAAAGTAGATTGAATCGTTCTTGATACAACTATTACTACATCGAAACATGTCCTCTGTAAAAAATAAATCAATGTTTTTACTAATTTTTGTGCTTCGAGAATACAGAAACCAGGGCTATTGGGACAGCTCTTGCAGTTAAACTATTCCAGTATAAATATTATCTTTGGTAGAACAATGAAGAAAAATCGAGTGATTCGAATAATCTACTTACGCTTAAAATACACCTTCAAATTGTGATGATAGTTGGTGTTCGATAAACGAGCAAGTAGATTTCTTATGAATTTAGAAATGAGTTTTATTGTTTAATAGCGAATGTTTCTTTTTTGTGGTATTGACATTGGCCACTACTTTTTATGATGAATTTTGCGTGATAAAATTTTAAAGGTCTCTACTATCCAACGAAATTGCATCCAAGCATGCGACTAATCGTAAATGATAAAGAAATTGATAACAATAGTCGTGACGAAGATTGTTAACAGAGAAACAGGTATTCTTTCGATCTCTTCCAGTGATAAGAGAGATAGAACTTTCGTCTTGTGTTAGTATTCAGAGAGATCGATTACACTTAGTAACATTCAATGCAGTTGTTTTATCGATACGTTTTAGTTTATTTCTAATGTAAGGAAGAAAGTACATGCATGCTCTCTCGAAAATTAAAGTTAAAAATTCAAAAGAATTGAAAGGTATTCATGCAGGAAAATACATTTTCATTCTATTAGAAGGATATTAAATGATTTCATGTGTTCGTTAAATAGTCAATCTTCAAATTCATCCTTGGGCTGCGGATCTTATGATTTGATGGCGTCTATCGTCCAATGAAATGATTCCTTTGTTCCAAGATCGATGTATGGTGATAATTGCACATGGATGATACAGCAGCGTTCCGAGGCTATTCAGATGAGCTGACAATCGAACATATTCATCGTCAGAGCTATTCTTCTCCAAGAAAAAATCACACAATTCTTTCGTAGGTGTATCGATTCGTACCGTTGAGTCGACGATATCAGTGCTGTGAACAATATTTGCTGCTTCTAAATCTTTTTTGAGATCACTGAAACAATATGAATGTTTGGTCGAATTGAATAGCTTCTGGAGCTCATTGATACCCTTTTCTGTTTGGTGAAAGATCAGAATAAAGCCATTATCGGACAACATTGCTATTGCTTTGTTTAACGCTGCAATCCGATCAGGAATATAGTAGAGTACATGAGAAAACAGTACTAAATCGTATTGCATTGAAGGTATGAATTCTTCAAACCAAAGACACTTGACTTCAACAGTGAGATTTTCTCTCGATTTTGTGTGCACAGCTGCTTTCAATTGAGCTGCATTGTTATCAATCATCGTTACATGTGTCAACGATTCAACTTTTGAAGCCAATGTCAAATCGAATCCCAAGCCCGATCCCACACACAACATTGATTTTATATTATTCTTATGCGCCACATTGTCCTCGAACCATTTTGTCAAAGCATCATATTCTGTTGTACGCGTATAAAAATCGGGAAAAGCTAAAGACATGTGTAGGCTATGATTAAGACGAGTCGCTAAAAGTTCTGATGCCATTATAATCGGAACCTAAAGCATCACACTTCCATTTACTCTGACTCATACTTATCAAGTAGATAGTAACTTACCTGATTTCAAATAGTAGATTTACTTTATTGATGATTTCTACATGATTTTCTTCTTTTTATATATATATATAGGACTACCAAATACTATGGAAAGTTCCAATAGTCATTATTTACCCATTGCATTCTATAACATCAATAACACATAATATTATGGCAAATAACAGAAGGGCACTTCCTTATTTCCAGACGACGGAAACCCTGAGTCATATACAAAGAGCGACAAATATAGAATGTTGCACAAGCCAAGAAATAGAGAAAATAATATTTTCTCGCTACTAATGTCAAATCCTTAATAATGAAAAATATGAAGCACAACTAATGAATATCTCGACTTCTTTTTTTTGTCAGAAGAACAAGAGTTTCTTTATGTTGATTGAATTGAAAATAGAACTATCATCTTGAATATAATATTTTTAAAAAATCGTGTTGTACTCTACTAATTAAAATGCTAGAATATATTTTAATGTCAAGAAAAAGCTCGTGACAATTCTTAATTTTTACTAATGTATTAATGATTTCGTCACACCGAGTGAGTTCGATTAACTATTGAATCAATATAGCAAAGAATCTACAACTAGAAAAACTCTAGTGGCATGTCATTTCCGTTTAGATTCATTTTGATCTGCGTGTCTCTAACGCATCAAAAACAAGCATCCAGTGACGATAATTAACTGTTTAAAAATTAAAAATATGTATATATATGTATATTTTTTATTTTTACTCGAAGAATGTGCATGATTATTTTTTGTATTTCTTTTGAAATTAAAATTTGGAGATGCTTGACTTTTGCGTTGTGAGACTATGTCTACGAATAGAAATTCATCATTGACCAGAATGCTTACATCACGATTTCATCATCGCTTCCCAAGCGTTTTTGATTATCTTGTTTTAATAATTTAACATATTTGGCTTTGTCTTGAAAATTATTTAGATGAATTTGTTTCGCGATAAATAATTTGCTTCTATTTCCATGATGTTCTAATGGCAGTTGATCGATGTACGGGGCTATTTTTGTGCCATGTAATACTAATGACCATTCGAAAAAATCACCGGTGGTTAACGTTTCACTTTGTTCTTTGTCATATTTTGCTCGATTTTGTTGTTTGGATAATGGTGCATTCGAATTATCTTCATCATCAAAACGTACTTCAAGTGTCCATGTACCTTGAGCCCGTTCAGCCCATGCGTGAGTTGTCATAAACGGCCATTTATAAAAACCTTTTGTTGAATCATCATCCAATGGACGACGACTTAAAATCAGCGATCTAAATTTAAAAATGGTTTAACCGCTCCGGAAGTTTAATATTGTTGAAGAATGGTGAATAACCTAGTCACTGGACTCCTGCTTTGAAAAACTTTTCCATGAGAAAATCTTGTCTTTCCGGCGGATATGTGCGGATTCAGATATAAGCACGAGAATCGATCGGATGTCAACATTACTCTTTTAAATAAATATTTTGAATTACTCTTACCGTGTCCCGAGTGGAGATGTAAGAAATACGATGGTATTCCCACGCCGACTACTTCGGAGTGTAATAAATGCTTGAACATGTTCGAGATAATTTACTTCATCTTTTGTATTTTTACACGCATCCGTATTGATTGTTAATTTCAATGTACCTTTTTCTGGTATTGGCCTAGTTAGAAATAATAATGATGATAATAATAATAATACTTGCTTTTCTTTATAAATATTTACTGTTTTCCAGTGATATTACCAGCTGCACAATGATATCGAGCTGGTAGTGATTTCCAATTTTTCGCATGTTGAACCATATCACCAGCTAAATAATAACAAGAAAAATTTTAGATTTAGATTTTTCAAAAAAAAATTAAATTAACCATCGAGAACACCATAGCCAAACAAATGGTTAAATTCTAATCCGGCTCCATTAATATGCCATAAATGTTGTTTAGCTGGATCAAATAGTTGATTGCGTTTTGCTGTTAACACTGTTAAATGTTGAACATCACGCCATGTTAATTGGCGACTTAAAAATAGAAGAGATTTGATGTAAAACATGTTTTTTGTTTTCTTCTTATGTACTATACTTTGCTTCAAGGGCAAGTGCAAAAACGCCAGCTGCTTCTGGAGCTGCTGCTGATGTTCCCGAATGTTTAAGAGTACACTCTCCATAAAGATCCGTTGTTGCAACTCCTATTACAAGGGAGAAACGCATCATTATTCCCTATGAATTTTTCTCTTTTTTAATTAACCTGCATGTGGATCATCACTACGTCCATTACTAAATGTAGAAGCCAGTGTTGATGTACAAGATTCATCGTAAAGTGCTGTTCGACCATCATTAATAGCTGAATTTATTGATATGGTCCACATCGATGCAGCATATCCATCGCAATTACAATCATCATTAGCGCCACCGTCACCACTGGCCCACACATACAATGAACCTTAAATAATAGAGGAGAAGAAAAGCAAATAAATATATAGTGCACTTAACCAACTAATGATTCTACAACTATCAGTCTTACCGAGACCACGCCGACCCTAAAAAATAATAGATCGTACTTATAGAACAAAACTATAAGTAGTTTTATTACCCCATTAATACCCTTGACAATGGCTTTCATAGTTGCATGACGTGGTCCATCGACTGTTTTACCATCATCAACAGGCCCTTAAAATGAGTAATTATTTATTAGATAAATTCACAATGAAGAACGAAAGCAATTAACCCCATGATGCTGAATAAATATCAATTAAATTTGGTTCGTGTGCCATTGAACTAGCCTCCATAAGATCTAAACAAAACAACATTAGAATTTCTCGTTTGATTCTATTTTTCTTTTCGTCACCTGTCATAAAAGGTTGATCAAGCATTCGAATGCCTATGCAATACAAAATCTTCTTGTAAAACTAATTAAATATTTAAAAACAAAATCAATTACCAGCTACCATAGAATCATAAGCAACGCCCACACCACAAATGTTATTATCCCGAGCTGCCGCTATTTCTCCGGCACAACGTGTTCCATGACTAAAAGAAAAATTTTAGTTTTCACCGTAATCTTCAACATCAATCCACTACCTATTAAACCAATCATCGGTATAACGTGGATATGGATATGGATCATTACTACTGAAATCATAACTAGCAGCAGCATTCTAAAATAAAATAGTTATACATAGATTCGTTGATTTGTTTTCCCTTGCATACATAATTGTGCATTATATCCGGATGTGTATAATCAAGACCATCGTCCATAATTGCTGTTGTAACGTTTTTTCCTGTATAACCAAGTGCCCAGGCTTCTTCGACATTTAAATCCAATCGAGGCTTACCGCCAGCTTGTCCAACATTTTTCTTATAAATATGTAACTTTCATTGTAAAAAAACGAAGTCAACTTAAAAATCATCTTACCAAATACCATTGATATTGAAAATACGGATCATTCGGCTGTTGATACTGTGGGAAGTTTTCTTTGACTTTTTCCGCTGAACGATAACCACGTTTGACGCGAATATGAGGTATTTGATGAATTGCTCGTTTAACCTATTAATTAAGAAAAAAAAATGCTTCAACCTTATAATTATCTATAGAAAAAAATAATAATTACAAGTTCATGCTGTTGAATAAGCTGTTCTTGAGCAACATCGCGTCTCTTACGCTTATGCGGATGTGTTGGTTTCATATCGATAAAATGATATAAATGTTTATCGTTCAGTACCTAGAAACAATCTGTTGTTAGATGTGCTCTGCTAGAAAAACACGACATCGTCTACCGGTCCTCGCGAAACCATAGCATATCGCTTAGCAATAAGTTTGGCAACGTCAGGTTCGACATGATGGTGAAATTCAATTAACCAATCTTTTGTTACAGTTGGTTGTACGTTAGAATAAACAGTTGAGAAGATAAATGATAATATGCATAAATCATAGTAGAAATTCATTGTTTGAATAATTAAATGTAATTGTGTTTTTCTGTTCTATAAATTGTATTACCAGTTGCAAAACACCATTTCACACCTCGTTAAATCTTATGGGTAAAGTTGTTATTTGATTTTTATAAAAACAAGAGCAGTTGTAGAAAAAAAATGATGATGCTCTAGAAAGAAAAACCATAAATGCAAATGTCGAATGGCAGTAGAAGTGTAAACAAAGCGGAGTTTATATATATTGGGAAATTGCTTTGTTTCTCTCTATAGATCTCGTTTTTTTTTCATGTTTTATTATTGTTACTATCGCTCATCATTGTATAAACACAGAATAATGAAAAAAGCTATGAAGCGACAAGCCGCTCGCTTTATGGAATCGAGTAACTCTAAAGAGACTCATATGAGATAAGTGAGAATAAGAGTAATACAAAAGATAGGATGATGAAAAATGAAGAGAAGAGAGAGCGAGAGAGCAAAACACACGAGAGACAGAGAAAAAAAATGAGTCTGCTGCATATCTTCAAACAGTTAAAATATGTAAATGTGGCTGTTTCTCACTTCTTCTTCTTCTTTTTATCGACATATATATTATGTCTAATGAAACGATTCATATAGGAAAAGAAAAACACGAGTGAATCCCTTGTCTTCTGGTTGGATTAGTTTGACAAGCATTTCTGTTTTTACCTGTCATTATCTATTTCCTACTTTTACGTACATGAGAGATAGAGCGTACTTTTGTGAGCAGATCTAGACAAAGGAAAAAATAAAATAAGAAAAAAAAGTATCTCCTGGGTTTTGATAGACAAAACAAAAGAATATTCATCTAAAATTTAAAGAAATAAGGATTTTTCTATTCTCCGACCTTGATTATCGTCAATGTAATTGTGCATTAAATTCTCCTAACTTCTGGTTTACTTCAAATTTACAGTAACAGCCGTGTCTGTCTGATGAACAGTGAAAAACAAACCGAAGAGCTGCGAAATATTTCCATTAGAAGAAATAAACTATCATCTTCTTAGTATGACGATAATCCAATTCATATTTGTCAATGTTCATTTTAATATAAATCTATAAAAAAATATTTTTACATATTAAATTTCAAATTTCTTCTTTAAGGCATAATTAGTGAAGAAAAAAGAATTATAGTTTCTTGCTACGCATAAAAGTTCCTTTGAGATTCAGTGAACTTACTTGCGACTAATATGATCGACTTTCTATTAATAGCAGAAAGAAAAAGCAAGTATTTAAATGCTTGAGCATGCATTATAAATGAAAATAACCAGCAATTCATTTCAGCCATTGAATCAATTATTGAAGAGACACACAATAGTTAGTTACATGTGTAAAGCGATCAACTTCAACGATTGTTGATCAACCGATCGAGTGCGACATCACCAAACGAAAACAACTGGTCTCTTGCAAAAACCAACACTGTCAAAAAGATTTTATTATTAATAATTCTATTTACTGAGCAGCGTCAGCGATTTTTCTCATAGACCTATCTTCATCTCTATTTTCAAATTAAATTCGATGTCATGGTGACATTTAAAAAATAATTTATATTATTGCCATATTGATCGCATCTATTGTCTTCCTATTTAAAATTTCTATGTTTTATTAAACAACGAAATTGCATATTCGATTGAAATGTAGGAGGCACATGTTGCGTGCCAATTAATAATCATTTAATACTCTTGTATTAGACAAGAAAAATAAATATAACACAAGATGTAGCATGAAAAGCTTTAAATTTTACGATGCGAACGGCTTACTGTTTTTTTTCTGTTTAAATGGATTAGCAAAACTATAATTGGAAAACATATCCGCTCGAGTCTCAATAGAGAAATTCGATCAGAAACAATTTCGCTTTTTTTTCTATCTACTATGAAAATGATTTGTTTTCTAGAAAACAAATCCAATGGATTCACCTCTTGCAGCAAATATTCCTGTTGTTTTAATCACTGGTTTTGGCCCGTTTCGTTCCATATTACATAATCCAAGTTGGCAAGTAGCTAAAGCATTGAAAAACTATCGTGAATGGAACTGTCCGATACATATTATTCTCGAAGAAGTCGATGTAACATACGATCATGTATCAATGAAAATACCTGAATATTGGCTTAAATACAATCCAACAGTAAAAACTTTTTAAAAGAAAACAATTTTCACTAAAGCAATTTTTTCATTATTTAGTTAGTTATTCATATTGGTGTTGCAGCTGGTACGACAGCAATTCATATAGAACGATGTGCTTTTAATCATGATTACTGTCATGAAGATAATAATGGAACACTACCAGAAGATTGTCGATGTGTAAAAACCGATGCACCAGAAATGTTAACAACACTCCTTCCTATTGATGTTGTTTGTGCAAAAGTTGAACGACGAACAAATCTACCAGTGAAAGTTTCAGATGATGCCGGAAGATTTCTTTGCGAATTTATTTACTATCAATCATTATTCATAGATCCGAAACGAACAGTTTTCATTCATATACCTGAAGTAGACGAAACTTTTACCATTGAAAATCTAGCCGAAACCATTCAATTAATTATTTATGAATTACTTCCATGCGTTGATCCATTGCCATGTTTGAATCGAGATGGAAATTATCTAATAAATACGAATGTGCCGAAAGCTACTCCATAAACAGTCGATATACGGTCATAGCTTCCTTTGCTTTCATGTAATTTTTATTTGCATATCCTTCACACAATATTAAGACGAGAAAATTTTTATTTTTATGCTTTTTCAAAATTCAAAATAAAACAAAAACTGTCAGCGCCTATACAATCATTATTCAGTTCCGATGAAGTTCTTTTCTAGTTAAGATGATATCCTGAAAATTTCACCATCAAAATGTCGAATATATCTTCAGACGTAATCCATATAAATGCAAGGTCAGTAGAGATTGTTGCCTTCTTGTCTATGATAATAAAAAGATGAAAACTTGAATAAAACAGAAAAGAACAGATTAAGAAAATGAAATTTTTCTTTTGCCATGATTTGCTTGGTTGAATAGATATTCTGGATCTTTTTACTACTGCAACAAGCGCCAAGCTTCAAACATTTTTCAGTTGGCGGTTGAATCAATAGTAAACAGACCAGAGTTCATTATTAAATAATTCAAACATGTATTTCAAAAGCACCATCTATGTCACTACTGTGATATATTGTAGACATTCAATAGATCCACTACAGTATAAAACAATAGTAACATTAGTGAGCTTATTTTGTATGCTAGAATATTTCAAAATAATTGTTCGCCTAGATGTTTATGAGTTTCGTCTATGTACTACGGCCCGAATCGCCACGGTCAAACAGATTCCGGTGACAATTGAGGCAATAGTATGCAGAGAATACTCGGTACAAAGAACTAAAAATAAATGTAAACCATGATGACGTAAGACATGAAAAAAACAACACGCTGATAAACGAGTGTAAAAAACAATATCAAACAGATTATTTATTTCGCATGTTTACTGATACGTATGTGCGAACAATATATCAGTTATTCGTTTCATTAAAAAATTCTCAATCATAATTCTGCAAGTCACTACTACCATTTTCGAATAAACCATTCCGCTAACCAAGCAGCGGTATTCATTATTCCAAGTCTATCGTGCGTGAGCTAATCAGCAGCTTATTAGTTAAGCTCAAGTATCCCTATTGCATGATCGTTAATAGTCTATCCTTAATTTATTAAAATCACACCCTCGTTCGACTACCTGAAAAACACTTGTTCATATCGGTCTCGTAGGTCACAAAAAAATTCGTATCTTATTTCAAAAAAAAAAAAGAAAAGAATTTGCTTGTCCAATGATATCGATTGATTGCGACGTTAGCATCAAAATTAGTTTTCCTTGAAAACGTTGCTTTACCATATGCACTTTTGTTGTTCACTCAAAAATCTATCTTTCTTTTCTGCGTCGTCATTTAGTAACTGATCGATGAAATTACGATCAGTCACAATATCAAAAATTTTATTTATTAAAAAATAAGAATAAGAAGAAAAACGACCCATAGCCAAGATTTCAGCACATGTACACATACGAATCATGTGAAAGCGAATTGAAACGCTTAAATCACTAAGACATATGGTAGCACGTGTTAAAGTCTCTTGTGGCGATTATCGCCTACCCATATTTGCCATTTGTGTATCAGCTGTTTGTTTACAAATTGATCTAAATGAATTACAAAATGCATATCTTGTAGAAAAAACACACCCATAAAAAGCAACTACACACCCTAGTCGTTGTTTATCGAATGTCATAATACATGTACGCAAAAAAGTATCCGCGGCCTTGAAATGAACGTTTGAGGTCATTCATTTCGAATAATGGCGAGAAAACACACATACATTATTCTATATATGTATACATGAATGAAGGCTTCATCGTACGAGCACAATCGCCGGATAGAGAGGAAAAAAAGGAAAAAACGATGCTATTCGTATAGACTGCTGATTTGATCATCTTGCAGTTGATCGTAGTTGGTAGTAGGCGACGACGAATTGTTAGAACAGAATAGAGAAGAGAGAAGAAGAAAAAAGAAGAAGAAAAGAAATGAATCATATAATCTTTCTCTCATGTCGTCGTCGACGAAATAAACAGGCACCGTGTAACGCAACGGAATTTAGTCAAAAAGAAAGAACGAGGAAAAGCAAGCATATTCGGCCTACCTCTCTCGTTGGTCGTTTAGAAGAAAGAAAGAAAGGGTTGTTAAGAGAATATTGTTTTTGTTCTTCTTATTTCGCTTAGCCTCCATGAAATTATTCGTTAAACGACATCAGAATTTCGAGTCCTTTTTTTCCTTATCTATAAAAACACAATTGAATGACTTTTAACAATAAAAATAGATATTCTTTTTTTATTCACATTGATATCTCTTTTGTGATTGGTTGCTGAGAAAACCAATAGAAAATATTTACAAATCTTTGTTCATAAAAGAAAGATTACTATTTTCTATACAAACAAATTGTTAATAAAAAGTAAAATTTCAGTTTTGTAGATTTAAGTGAGGCATTGACTTTATTTATGTTGTAAACGTATTCATGAATAATAATCATATTCTCTTCATTATAATCGAAGAGTAAACAAATGGATTGCATTATTTACTTTACTTTTTTTTCTGAAAGGTTTTACAAGAATTTATTTGAACTGAAACAATAATGATTAAGATAGTTTTACAAGTTATTCTTGCATTGAACTAAAGATTTGGCTTTGCTGAATTTCTATTGTATATCATATTCTTCAGTTTTTGAGATGCAATGATCTCTTTCAATTGAGACTAATCCTTTCATGATTACGATTGAGCTTGAAAAATTTCAAGCACATTTAGTATCATATAACAACCCATTGATGGTAGACTGTTCGGCTTAGTTTATATCGTTCTTTATTTTATGAAAATCAAATACTTCAACTATTTGATCATAGGAGAAAAATAATTCTATATCAATTAATTAATTCATTGAGCGTTTTGTTCATTATTATCAAGAATAAATGCATATATACAAAAGGTAAAAATCATGTTTGTCTACCATGAAATGCTCCACTTGACTGTGTCATAAAATACATCATGGTTGAATGTTTGTATAAGTACAATAAGAACATACCGCTATAGGGTACCTTTCACTAATATATGTCCAGTCAAATTCTTTGATTCGTCTTTTCATTCCTTTTTAACATTACATTATGTTGCGGGCAACTGTACGATTGCTTACAAATGCCGATATTTTTCTTTCAACTCCTATGATGATTCGTCGTCTTATATATGTACAGAAGATGTAGGTAGAAGTACGAAGAAGAAAAAAGTCTACCTCTCAGCTTATAATCATAGGAGAAAAAGGAGAGGTCTCTTTTAATTCTCATATTTCTCTCTCTCTCTCTCTCTGTAGCTTTCTTATTATTCAGTGTAGGAATTCGTGCATATGTATAGATTACAGTAGAAAAAAAAGAATCTATTTTAATGAACAATTGAGATGCCTCGTGAACAAGTCGAGTGGTATGCAAAACAATCATCGCACGATGATAATAAAAAAACGTATACACGTCAATATTGTACTTACTGTTCAGTTGTTAATATTAATAAAAGCAACAATCCGTATGGAAGTTCATTTGAACAAGAACAAACATGGACATTAGGTCGATCAATATCAAAAAATAATAAACGGTATCAAACATCGATTGAAAATATACATTTAACGATGCCGTCGGTATCGACTATTGTAAAACCATATTCATCGAATTTAAATTATGATGATGAAAAACTGAAATTCGCCGATCGATCAATTTCATTATTACCACCACTTCCACCATCGCGACAACATGGGTTATCAATTCATCGTTCGAATCGTACTAATCTAGATGTCAAAGTAAACCAACAACAAAATTCAAAAGCAAAATCAACTGTAAGAAAATCTCAACCTATAACTAATTTAATGCGTATTATGCATGTTAATGGAGAATTTATCGTGCGCATTTGAATAAATATTTCCTTGTACTTATACTACATGCATATACATACGTCAACAGTATTATTCTACTGATCTTTGATAAAATTCTTACATAATCACATTTACACCTTTATTAAAATACAGTCGTTTTACATTGAATAGAAAGAATGTTAAGCGCATGCGCACTTTTCCTTTTTGTGTATAGTTTTGATATTGATTTCAAAATAAAGTTTTTCTCTAATGATAGTTTTTTGAAAGCAAAACTGTATCAAAAGTTGCATTTTGCATAACAAGTCAATAATCCATTATGTCAAAGCAATCAAGGGCACATCTGATTTTTTTCCATTAACAATGCACATGTATGTTTCCCTTGGTTCGCTCTTACGGATAGTTAGGTATGGTAAAGAAAGGCAGAAACGTAGTGATGAAAGCATATCAGATCAATGTGTAGATATTGCAAACGCATGATTCATAGTGAATCAAATGGAGCCTTATGTACGAAGTAAATGAGATAGATATTTTTCTAGAAAACACTCTTGGTTTCGTTGCTCGTTTTGCTTGCAGAGGAACTTCTCAATAAAAAGAAATCAAATCTGAGAAAACACCCACGGAAGCAGTGAATGTTCGAAATTTGGTAAATGCCCTTGTTCGTATCGATATGCGACGTTTCTTGAGTTATTTTACATATTGCTCGCAACGATTCCTTCATTTACTGATCGAGCAGCTCATCTATGTTCACTCAATCTTACTTCTCTCGCTGAACGATTTTGTCCAGCGAATATAACCTTAACAACAATTAATTTCTATACGAAAATATCGTAGGACTATGCCTGTTGATTATTTCATATAATGACAGTGGTGATTACATTTTTTCAGGCTGTGCAATTTTCCGGAATCGAACTTTACTATCAGTCGTTATGATCTCAGTAGCCGTGCAAGACAGCAAATCAATATGTTAACAGTTATTGTTTGTGCTAATCTTATATCGGGTTATACTCGAGTTTTATTATGAGAGATAAGTGTCGAGAGGCAAACTGATGATTCATTTAGGGTTTATACGAGGATGACAATTATCATTTGTGATAATATCATTTGCACCAGTCATTTTCATCACAACGACAATTTTATTCAAAGTAAAATTTACTTTTATTAGAGAACGTTTCATCATCAAGGCTTTTCTTTGTCCGTAGGTTATAACTAAAATGGCGGTCATTGAATTGAAAGCATTTGGAAAAGCAGGGATCGTTGCTGAAGAAGTCATAAGTTCAATTCGTACTGTACTAGTCTATAATGGACAAGAACAAGAAATCCATAGGTCAGTAGTATGTTTTCATTTTTAAAAGTAAATAGATATGAAAAATACCTTGACGAAGCACAAAACATGTGCTATTAGAAAAAGCGTGCCGAATGGCATTACAATTGGTATCACATATTTTCTTCTATTTTGTGTATATGCATTAGGTAGTATATTGTTACATTAGATTATCTCAAGATGTTCATTTTCTCCATATAATATTACAGGTTTTTGGTATAGTCCTTTTTTCAAGCCTTATACGAAACTCGACGTGCTGCCTATGGGATATGGCAAATCATTGATCAAGTAGATGCATTTTCCTGTTTTTTTTTTATCACAGTCATCAGAGATTAATATGGGTTTCGACAATGATCTTGAGGGTGATATTCAATTTTCAAATGTTTATTTCTTTTATCCGTATGGTCAACCTGTTGCTCTTGTTGGTTCATCTGGATCGGGAAAATCAACATGTGCTCAATTACTGCAACGATTCTATAATCCACAGTCAGGTTCAATTCTTATTGATGGAAAAGAAGCGAAAGAATATAATCTGAAATGGTTACGAGAACACATTGGTGTCGTCAATCGAGAACCAGCTTTATTTGGATTTGATTTAGCCACTGATGAACAATGCACATGATTTCATTATGGCTCTTCCTAATGTAAAGAAAAATAATTTTTTATTCGTTTTCAATGCGATTTTGTTTTTGCAATTAGAAATCTTCACTATGATGCTTTGTTAACTAGTTTATTATTGATTTTGGAGTATAGCTGCAAGTGCTCTCGATAACGAAAGTGAAAAGACAGTTCAATAAGCATTGGAGCGTGTTGCTCAATGATGAAAGTTTATGGTCTTTATTTTTATTTTGTTAAACAACAAAATCGACGTCAAATTGAAGAGGCAGAATCAAAATTGGAAGACAAGGACATGAACAAGTTGATGTTTACTGATCGGCCGAATGATGTTTCTATTGATGATTCGTACGATTCACTGGTAAACGATGATGAAAATAAGATGGAGAGAAAGGTAATGAAAATAAATAGCTGAATATTCAACTGTCGTTGAGTGATCTGAATAGAAAGTAGAAGAAAATACTACGCTCGCTATATTACCGGAATGAATATCGATTGTCATTGGATTTATAGCGGCTTCAATAACGGGAGCACGAGAATCTGCATATTACATTATTCAAACGAAATTAGCGACAGTAAATAGTTAATTTATTTTCATCTTTGAAGTATGAACATTTTTTACCGATAGATTTCTGAAGAATGTGATAAAAATGTTCGAAAACGAAGTTTTTTTGCTCTATGTTCTACTCTATCTTGACTTTTTTTTACAAATATCATTCTATTTAGGGTTATGTATTTGCACGATCGGGTGAAGCTCTTATCAAACGACTTCGATCAAAAGCATTTCAAGCTATTCTTCGTCAAGACACGTCCTTTTTCGACCGGGAAGAAAATAGTACCGGTGCATGATGTACACGTCTTGTAACTGAAGCATCAGCTGTGCAAGTGGGATACGATTTGGTTTGATTTTTCGACATCTTTTCGCCATTGTTGCTGGTATTCTTCTTGGATTTGCATACTCATGGCAATTAACATGTCTGATGCTAGTTTTTCTTCTATTAATGTTATTCGGAGGCTTTTTACAAACGCGATTAACAGCGTATTATTCAAGCAAAGACAAACACATCCTAGAGAATGCTGGAAAGATTTGTGACAATGATTTATTTTTTTTTATCATGGATTCTCTTTATTATTCTACTGACGATCGCTATCGAAGCCATTCAAAACATTCAAACAGTGATACAGTTGACGAAAGAAAGTTACTTTTGTAATGAATATTGTGAAATACTCAATACCGTTGATAGGTAGGGTTACTTTTGGTTTTATTTAAATCTTTATTCAATTTATATTTAGGTCTTCTATTACACGTGCTCATATTTTGAGTACTTTATTTTCAATCACGCATGCTTCTGTTTACTTTTCCATAGCAGCTTTCATTTCTCTCGGCACGTTTCTTGTTGATCGAGATACAGTTACGTTTGAAGATATGTTTCTGTATCTACTACTAGAAAAAAAATCATCAGTATCCTTGAATAAATCATATTTTAGAGTTTCGAATGTTGTTGTTCTGGCCGCTCGCACCATTGGTCGAGAGTTAGCATTGTATAAGATGTCGATTTAGTAGTAAAAAAAAGAATTCTTCTTTTCTGTTAGATTTCCCGACTATGGAAAAGCAACTGAAGCTGCTAAAAATATTTTCGAATTGGCGAATAAAAACCATCCATCGATAATGAGTCGAAAGCTGGTGATGAAATTGTGTGTGAACATTCTAATGGACAAATTGATTTTGATCATGTGCATTTCAATTATCCAAATAGCTCTGAATCAGCTGTTCTCAAAATTTTCAAACTTCACAACAAATCAGGTATAGAAATATTATTGATAACTTCTTTTTTTAAATATTTCTCGTAGGCCAAAAACTAGCACTGGCTGGTATGTGTTGTTACTTCTGGGTACAATGATTCATCTTTAAAATAACTGACTGTTTAGGTACATCGGGCTGCGGAAAATCAACTACTATTCAATTAATTGAACGTTTCTATGGCGTAAATATGGGTCGTCTCGTAAGTCGCTTTTTTTTGTGTGCATCGGTGTTCCGTATGTATGTTATGTTTCTAGCTGATTGATTCAAAAGATATTCGAAGTCTTAATCTTCAAGGGTATTGATCGCAAAGTAACTGCAGAAATGTCTCTATCGAAATACTTTATTTAATTTATTAGCTGGTATTGTTTCTCAACAGCCAGTTCTTTTCGATATGTCAATTCGAGAAAATATTGCATATGGTGATAATAATCGAAATGATATTTCACTCAATGAAATTATTCAAGTAGCAAAAGATGCAAATATTCAAGATCTCATACAACTTCTTCCGAATGTCGGCGATTACGTTTTTTTCGCTATGGCAACGAGTACATTATTTTTCTTTAATATTAAAAGGGATACGAAACTATGCGTGATGCCCATGGGACTCAATTATCAGGTGAACAAAAAACAAAGAATTGGTTTAGTTCAGTGGGAAAATTCGTTACGTTAGTTATCGCTCGAGCTTTAATTCGAAATCCAAAGATTTTATTACTTGATAAAGGTAAATCATAAAAGCAAAGAAGTTAAGATTTTACAGTATGAATATGTTTTTTTTGTCTGATCATCTAACAACAAGTGCGTTAGATAGTGAAAATGAAAAGATAGCTCAAGAAGCATTAGATCGTGCTCGACAAAATCGTACATCCATAACAATTGCACATCGTTTGTCAACAATTCAAAATGCGGATATAATACGTATAGTTCATAATGGAAGTATGGTGAAAAGTGGAAGTGACGAAGAATTACTAGCTATGGGTGGTTGATATTATCGATTAGCAACAAAAGGAATGAGATAGCTAGAGCAGGTGCTTTCTGGGCATATATGTTTGTTATCAAGATTTATTTATTCTAAGAAAAGCAGTTTTTTTTAAATAAAATTATTTGTAAAATGCGGCTCATTTCTTCGTTTTTTTTTGTGACTGCAATAAGCATGTTATTTGATCAACACCTACCTGGCGATTTACCTTCTAGCTCAATAGAATCCATCAATGTTTGATCGATTAGGGTAGGATAGGTTCCTTGATGCAACGATTTTGAACCTTTACGAGCCATTACAGGGGTGGACGAGGTGGGGGTGTGGTGATGTCACACTCCCACGCTGCACCCTCTTGCCAGTCAGACAAGCATTGAAAAAACGACGTTTCTACGCATCAAAATGTTGTTTTTTTACCTCTTGTTTGACTGACAATAACTATTTGCATAGTTATTGTCAATTAGCACAGATAAATGGAAACGTTTCGGTCACGCTTCATTACACTTTATTGATTCAATTAAAGAAAAATTCAAAATGTTTAACCAAAATATGTGTCATTATTTTCATCTTCTGTCCATTGATCGATAGTTTTCCAACATAAGATACAATTTGATTTGCCTTCTGTATTCTTCGATAACTTTCCAAAACAGGACTCACAGACAAGTTTATGTTTACAAGGTTGAAAACGACATTTTCGTAAATTATCTTCACACGTCATGCATGGCTTCTTTTCAGCATCTTTCAGGCATTGTAGCAATGTCGATTGAATTATTATTGCACTTGGGCGACGTTCAGGTACAGACTGTAAACATGATTCAATTAATTCTTCATAGGTACGGTTATATTCATTTAATTGAGCGGTTGTTTTCAGCATAGTTTTTATGACTGTGCAGTTATCAGGACGAATATAAGTGTTTTTGGGTAACAATTCAAAAAGAAATATACCAAATGAATAAGCATCAGCAACTCTACCATCGTATACAGAACCTGACATACATTCTGGTGGTAATGGAAAGGTTCCTATAACTGTTGAGTTTGTCGTCCATTCTCGTGCTGTTCCAAAGTCAGCTAAATAACATTGATTTTTTTCATCCATCAATATATTTTGAGATTTAATATCACGATGTACAATATCATTCGCATGTAAGAATACTAACACATCAATCATATCAAGAGCAATTTTAAGAACTTCATCAGCTTTGATCGTGCTAATCTTTTTTTCTAAATATTTATCCAAGCTTTGTGAATATCGTTCTAAAACCATGCATAATTTATTTTGATCCTCTGTCTCTTGTTGTTTGTATAAATATAATAAGGGCGCGATATGTTGTATTCGAAGTTTAAGTGATTCTGAATCTCCTTCTGAGTCAGTAATTTGACAAAGTTTTGTTATTTTCCTATGATTATGCGCTTCGAGATATTGCAAATATCCGTATTGATTTGATGATTGTTTTAATTTTTTAACAGCTAAGTTTTTTTTATTTCCCCATTCAGCTGGATAAATATCAAAATGTGCCCCACTCCCCAATTTTTGGGATTCGTCGATAACAGGATTATGCGCTTTAAATTTCGCTAAATCTTTTAATGCTGCTAATTCACATTCAAATTCGGTAAAACATCGTATATATGACATGGTTGATTGATAAGCACTGTCTCTAATGTTTAAATGTGATATAGCAAGTTTATAATTACTTTTAATATTATTTTTAAACATCTTCTCTTTATTCGCGATCCATAATTGTAAATTGTTTTTATATAATTCTTTTTCTGCATCAATTTTTGATCGTCTTCTTTTCAAATACTCTTTCGCAAATTCACGCCGTTTTGATTCATTGTTTAAAACTGAAAATGAATCCATTGCATCCATCATTACATAAAATTTCTCTTTAGCTTTCAAAACTGTTGTATTTAATGTATTCCAGTGATCTTGATATGCAACTGCTGAAAAACCTCGAACCAAACGTAATAAAACTGATGGCGCTAGTGATAATTGATATAACATATTCTCAACCAAACCACGTTGTGTTATACTATCTGATGATACATCCATTAAAACATGACGCTGTGCAACTGTTAATAATTCATTTTTCTCTACGTTAATAAGAATTGCATTTTTAATCGTCGTTCGAATATTTTCTTTTGATTCATTTACAGCTTCATTTACTGCAAATTTAATAACTTCTTCTTGTATCGCAATTTTAATAAAATCTTTTATATTCGTTTTAACGACATCTCTTGTTTTGCAGTGCAACGGATCATCAGAACGTTCCAACTTAACTGCCCGTTCAATAATGTCTGTTGAATGTTGATCAAACCGTTGAAGAATTTTTTCTTGAACTTTTTCTGCTACTGGCGATAACTCATTTTGAAAATTTTGAAAGAAATGTTCACCCCACTTTTCTGCATTCAAACGAATATCTTTCCATTGTTCTTCTGTTCGATGACTTGCTGATGCAATGAAATTAAAAATACTATCAATTTTGTCTAACACTTGATTAGCCATTTCAAGTGGTTTCTCCATTTCGGCTTTTACAGCATATTCAATAATACGCTGGCAAGCTTGTTTAGTCATTTCAAGTGCACAATCGGGTAATAATGAACACGAAACAATGCTGCAAATATCGAAATTATCACATTTTTTGTCGAATATTTCACTATCTTCAATCATGGGTAATTTATTTGAAGTTCCAACATTGTTGTACAATTCCTGATAACGTTTTAATCGTTCACTAGGAAAAATTTCATGATATTTTTTAACAGTAAAATATTTCTGATTCTTTCGATTTGAAATGAATCCAGCGCCGTTAAACAACGTTGATATATCTTGTCTAGTATTCAGATAAAATATGGGTGGTTGTTCTGAATCACCTATTGTTGATCTGATCATTAAATAACATTCATTTGCATCTTTGGCGAATGTTGCATTTGCATATAAAAATACGATTACTGGTCGGACAAGACGAACTAATTCTTTTAAATTCTCTTTCAATACTGGTTCATCATGAAATAATAAACCTGGTGTGTCATAGACATCAATACCCAATTCGAGTATAGGTGATGGTATTCGTATTTCCAAAAATTGTTTTGCCCACTCGTTGAACTCATGGGTATTCTCCTTTGGTCGAGCAACATAACCTTCGATTGCTTTCGCGATCCCTTTCCAGTCGGTTGCGGAATCATCAAAATATTCTGATAAAGGCAATGTGTGTTTTTCTTTATCATTTTCAGTATAAGAGTCTTGAATTGATGAGTGAACAACCAAACATGCATCTAATGGTGCGGCATACGCGAGTTTAACTATCCGAGCGGAGACTGGACCAACATCGATAGGTAAAATGTTGCCAATTCCAACGAATGATTGTAAAAATGTTGTCTTACCACTTGAATTCGGGCCGCAAAGAGCCAACTGAATTCGGTCATGCGTTTGATGATTATTCAAGAATTTAAAATCTAACGATTCTATTGGTTCTGTATAAACTTCTGTTATTGATTCTTTGGATGGCAATTTGGCCAACGAATCTTGAAAATCCATATACATACACATAAAGTTATTTGTTATTCGTTATATTGTAGACTTTATATGACGATTTGATTCTATGACTTGTTTCATATTATTCAATCCACTTGTTAACGATTCATTTTGAGGCTTTGGAAGCACATCATTTGATGCTGTTGTCGATGCAAGTGCCATAACATTAAAGATACAAACTATGATGATGTTTTCTTCTAAAATAAACTTATGATTAAGTTTGGCTTCTTCTGCTTTCTATTTGAAGAAAAACAACACTTTTCCTTTTCACTTTAAAAACTTTTCTCACGACAAATTAGCAAGACGATAAGTGGTTTATTCTTTAGAACACGAAAAACTGAAAAAAAAGCATTGAAACGTCTTTGGCTTGTAAGAAACATTGTAACGCAAAAGGATTTCCGCCCATAAAAAAAGTAAAAGTCTTACCCCTAATTATGCTTCGGAAAAATACAATCAGAAAACGAATTGTCAAAATAAGAATAAATAGATAATCATCTATGCGCATTTTGCAAGTAGAGATTAAATAGTCTGTGTATGGATAAGAGAATCTTCAACTAAAGCGTAACAAGTAGACGATAATATTACAAGAAAGGAGTAGAAACCAGATATATACATGATTGTGTAGCTTCGAAGTCAGACTAGCGATTTATTTCTTATTTTTGATAATTTATACTGATGACTTTAAATATTGCAACGTGTAGTTCGGTACCTATATTCGAATCTGAAGCTAGATAGAGATAAAAAGAATTATACTTTTGTGGTAGTATTTGAAAAAGCTAACAGCGGGTGGAAGCACAGACGCAATTGGTAAAAATACTACGAACACATGAACAGAGTCAAAACGTGCTCTTAAGGCTCCTATATACTATCGACAATTTTAATTGCATATGCGGCTAGTCATTCACTAACACTATCATCAATTTAAGTGTGGATCTTAGAAATCTTCATGAAAAATTGGAGACATTGAAAAATGATGAAAAACTCGCTGATTTGCCTTTCAGCACAAAAAGGGATGAAGCACTTGATGATAAATATCTCAATCGATTTCGTGAAATAAATAATTAAATGAGGAGACTTTGCCATTCCAAAAGCATTGGCACATAACAATAACAATATTACTCAGTGGGTTATGGATAATAAAATCGTTTAGTTGTCGCTTTGCCATCGGTTTCGGCCGATTCATCGACTAATGAACTAGTATTTTGAAAGACAAGGAGCATGCTAAAGGCTCGGCAGCAGTCGAGGAATTATAAATCATTTGGTAATCTTTTATTTCTATGTATAGTATAACTGCTCACTATCGTTAAATAAATTCTGTTACTTTTTATTATTTAATCAGCTTAAACATTGTACTGGCCTTATGTTCTGACTTGTAATCATGGAAACAAGATGAATAAGAGATTATATGCGTATATTGAGGGTACAGATACGGGTAGAAAACTATTCTAAAGTATTGCAATCTGAGCATCGCATAGCCGTGCAGGCTAAAAAGTTTTGGTCAGGTCGAGTAAACGTATGAAAAGTTACTTCAGTGTGTTACTCTGTGAGAGATGCAGCAATTTTGGTCGCGTCTCACGAGTTTGGTTTTGTCTGTTGTCATGCTGAACAGAATTTACTCAAATAGATTTGATTTTTTTAGTATATTTTGCGTAGAGAAATTAACAACGTGAGTAAAGCGAATACTTACATTATAAATTTGAAACGTCAGTCGAAAGAACCGTTGTCTCTTCAGAAATGAATGTTGAATCTAAAAGTGTCAAAAATTATTATTTAAGAAATAAAACAAATAATACGAATTAGCAATCAAATTTCGACGAAAAAATCAGTACAAGTCATTTAGCTTAGAGACACAGGTCAATAAAGAAACAAGAGCATTTAGGCCTGTTCTAATAAAGAACTCAATGTTTCAAGAGTTTTTGAAGCATTCGGTCGTAAAAGGGGATCTTGATATAAGCATTTCTCCAGTAAACTTTTTAATTGATCAAGTACTTCCGAAGTTTGGTCGCTTCTTTTTAAGGATTCATATAAATTTTTACCAACTTCTCCAAGAGAGTAAATATCATCAGCAAACTCGCGACTCGAATTGTTCGTTTCATGTCTTTTGACACAATCTAAAAGAGTCTCATATTTGGTTTTAGAATAAAGATCGCCTAAAATATATTTTCCATCAGGCGCCATATAAATATTTTTCTTATCAATATTTCCATGAATAAGTTCATTTGCATGTAATTTTTGAAGGCATTGCGCAATGGTTAACAACATTTTTAATATATCTTTAACAGTTAATGAATCTATGTTGCTATCTAAATGTTCATATCTAGGAAAGAACATCCATAATTCATCATCATCATTTAGATAGAGATATAATAATGGCAGTAGGCCTGAAACGCTCAGTTGCGATATCTTTTGATAGTAGTGTGCTTCTAAATATTGTAAATCAGAGACTTCTTTGAATTTTTTAACGATTAAATCCTTTTCATGAGCCCATTCCGCTGGATGTAACTGAAAAAAATGATCTTCATGAATAAGAACTTGTTTCAATGCTGGAGTGTGCCCGTTAAATAAAGCTAGACTTTGAGCAACAATTAATTTACACTCAATATGTGCGAATCGTTCAGCGTATTTATTCGTTAAGTTATAAGCCTTCACTCTTTGTGGCAAAAATCGTATTGCTAATTGATGTTGCTCGTTAATTTCTTCTAGAAATTCGGTTCTCTCATTTTCACACCATTGTACAAGAAATTCATTTATATGATTTTTTTGATTCATAAATCCTAACCGGATATCATTTAAATATTGTTGAGCTATATCTAACTTTTCCATACTTTTTGATGGGCGAGTTTTTCTAATTACATTTTGTCGAAATTGCTTTTTCAATTCCTTCCATGGTGAAGTACGCTTTGTATTATTTTGATTGTCTTCTTCATCTGACTCAACAAGTATATCAGCAACCATAAGCAATGGTCTCACAACAGGTGTAACGTCATATGATTCCCCAGATGGTTGACCAGGTTTTTCTAACCTACTAGAAAAAAGCTTTTCGTGTGCAGTAACTAAAAATTCATTTTTATCTGCATTCTTGAAAAGCGATGAACGAATTAATGTCTCAATCGTTGAAATCGCTGCATTCTTGTGGATGAATTCTCTTACGTTTAGTTGAATAATTTCATGTTGTATGAGAGTTCTAATATATTTTTCCATCATTTCAACACTATTTTGTTGTGCAGCTCTTTGAATGATGCTATTCGTTTCGTCATTTAATTTGTCCACTATAATATTATATAGTATTCTTAAAACCTGATCTAGATTCTTTTGACGATCAATAAAATAATTTTCAGTCCATTGATTAGCATTTCTACGTAATTCTTTTAGTTGCTCGCGCGTTCGATGACTTGTAACAAATGCATAATCAAAAAATGAATTAATTATCGGTAAAACTAATTTACTAACTTCTTTTGCAATTTTTAAATCTGAGTTAGCAACGAATTGAATTAAATGATCGATCGCTAATTGATTCATTTTTATTCCGCGTGAATCCCATTGTGATTCGGCAGAGATAATATCAAATTCACTATTATGGAACATTTGTTGAGCCATACCAGGCGCTTTTAATAGCAAATCTTTACGCTTTTGACGAGCATTTACTAAAGTTGTCTTTTCAAATTCTTCGCCGTTTATCGATGTGCCAGTATTTACTATTGTACCGATATCGACCTTCGTATTTAAGAAAAAAATGCTGGTATCGTCAAGTTGCTTACCAAGAGCTTCCTTTAATGCCAAAAAACAGTCTTTTGTATCAACGGTAACTGCTGAATTTTCATACATAAAAACGACTGTTGGTATAACAGTTTTGACGAGTGAATGCAGATTTTCATTTAAAACTGGCGGATCAGAATAAATCAAACCTGGCGTATCATATAAATCTATGCCTAATTTTAGAAAATTTGATGGAATTCGAATTTCAACGAAAGATTTTGCCCATAGAGCAAACTCTTCCGAATGCTTTTGGAGGTTTTTTGGCCGTTCAACATGCACTGCAATACGATCTTTAACCCCATCCCAATCTGGTTCAGGCTCGGAAAAATATTCACTTAAACTAATCTGTTCAGGAGATTCTTGGTGTCGTTTCTCTAATGATGAATAAATACGTAAGCATGCATCGGCATTGTCTGCATAGGTCAAAAGAATAATACGAGCACTAACTGACCCAACATCAGATGGTAGAAATGGATCGGATTCCAAAATATAATGTATTAATGATGTTTTACCACAGGAATTTGCGCCAACTAATGCTAATTGAACTTTATCAGCGATAACCTGTTTATTTAATGACTGAATTTTCAAAATATCCATCAATAACTTCGATTTAACTTCAGTTGTTTTATCAAGTGCTTCTTTTTCTAAATGCTGTAATAATTCATTCTGCAATACTAAAAATTCATTAACAGCTTGCTGCACTATCTGGCGTATTCGATGATTACTGTGAATAGTGTGTGCTACTGCTCCAAGATCAAATGTGTATGTTGTTGGTATTTCATCCATCTAAAATACTTAGAAATAAAATAAATATGTTTTTACATGTTAATGAGCATGGGAAAACCGCATGAATGAATCGAAACATGAATCAACTATAGGTAGATTATTCAAATTGTGAATACTTCGTTGTTCGAAAACTTAACGTATGTCTACAAAAATTTATCTGTAACAGTCTATGCGATAGTCGTATCATAATAAAATGTAAAATAGTTAATTGTCCTTTTCTTCCTACCTTATTTGTATATTTATCGTATTACTCATCACTCGCATGCTTGTAATAGCAGATGTTCTCGATTATGTTCGTATCTTCATTTCTTCTCTTTTAGTTCGGTTCGGTTGGCATTCATTTTCATAAAAGGCAACACAACGGACAGGGCGTACAAGATTACAAATCGGTCAATGACTTCTTTCGGCGCATCAATCTCCATCGTGAGCATGTGTTTTGAAGAATACCCCGATACCTTTTATCCTTTTTCGAAGGGTGCAGGCATTTCTTCATCAACGGCCACACACCCGCACCCTCAAGATAGTTAGTATAATGAAGTTATAGAGATTACACGAGTTCCACATGTTATCCCCAAAGAGGCTGCGCTAACTAGTTTTTTTTTGCTTGATCACTGACACGCGCTGAGATGTATAATATAACGATCTATTGTTTCATCTTGCTTCGTACATTTAGCTATACGTGTTGTGCGCAAGTAATAGTATAAATTTTTTGAGAAAACTAGCTTCAATTATCTAAACACAACTGCTTCTGTTTTATATGAGTAGTGAATTATCCATGACTGAAAAAATGCTACCCGCATCATCTTTTACTTCGACATCTATTCGCCCATCGTATTATATCCGGGAACCAAACTTTGGCAAATATGATAATATAGAGGATATTGCCGTTGTTTGGCTTGATTCTCATTCAAATGTGTCACTTGATTGTTTCGATATGAAAATACGTTTAAGATATTTGATTAATCACCTTCTTACCTTTCATTCAATCTCAACATGTTTGGAATATATGAATTCCGATATTGAATATGAAAAAGTATTCTTTATCGTATCTGGAAGTGATAGTGAAATTATTTTACCAGAAATTCACTTGTCACCAAAAATTCATTTCAATTATATATTTTGTAATGATAAAGAGAAATACGAAAACTTGTCACAAACATATTCAAAAATTCGCGGCATCTTTAATGATAAAGATTCATTATTGAAAAAGTTAATATCTGACATTACGTCGTGCTTGAGTAATTTGTTACCTATCAGTATATTATCACAAGCCAGCGTTACTCAGAAGTCACTACGTGATTTATCGAATGAAAGTGCTCGTTTTATGTGGTTTCAGATGTTAATCGAAATTTTGATTAAAATGGAGCACACAGATGAAGCAAAAAGTGATTTGATTGAGATTTGTCGAAAACAATACAAGAATGATCTGGTACAAAGCAAAAGGATTGATGAATTCGAGAAAACGTACACTGCTGATAAGGCTGCCTCATGGTATACGAGAGATAGTTTTGTTTATCGTCTCTTGAATAAAGCTCTCAGAACTGAAAATATTGATATCATCTACAAATTTCGTTCTTTCATTGCTGATTTACACCAGCAATTGAGTGTCCTCCAATCGACAGAGCCAATCTCTACTGATGAATTTCTTTATCGAGGCCAGAAACTACCTATTGAAGAACTACAATATTTACAAAAAAATATTAATGGTTATCTTTCAATGAATACGTTCGTTTCTTTTTCCAGATCAAGTCAAGCGGCCTTATTGTTTGCTGGCAAGGGAGAAGATCGGCCACAACTAGAATCTGTTCTTTTTCAAACTGAAGTCAATGATGGACTAGCAATTTTTGCCAATATTGAAAATGTTAGCTATTACAAAGATGAAGGTGAGTTCCTATTCACCATTGGTAGTGTGTTTCGTATAGCCGACATTGAACATATTGGTAATATTATTTGGGTAATAACATTAGTGATAGATACAAATGCAAATGAAGATGTAGAAAAACTCTCCAAATATTTGAAAAAATACTACACCGGTGAATGCTCCTTATTAAAAATTGCAGAAATACTGTTTCAAATTGGTGAATACGATAGAGCTGAACATTATTGTAAACTATGTAACGAACAATTACATGTAGATCACCAAGACCGATGCCGTCTTAATCTACTTTTTGGCGATATATTTCGAGCTGGAAAAGGTGACTTCCAAGCAGCTGAACAGTTCTATGTCAGTGCCCTAAAGCTGGCTCAAGATTCATCGCTTCGTGCATCCGTATTGGCTGGATTAGGAAGACTTGAAGATGAAACCGGAAAATACGAAGCAGCATTGACCCATTTGACAGAATCATTTGATTTGAACTTAAAAGAACATCCAAACACCACGAATGAAATTGTAGCTAAAATCTACGCTGATATTGCCTTAGTATATCGTCATAAATTAGATTTCACGAAATCATTAGAATACTACAACCAGTCTCTCGAAATAAATCTTCAATTACTTCCCGATTTACATCCCTCATTGGCTAATCTCTACAATAACATCGCATATTTAAACACCGTTCTTGGAAAGTACGACGAAGCAATGAAATCATATGAGATATCTCTAAAAATTCAGCTGAAGTCTTTACCAAAGACGCACCCCGATATAGCCACCGTTTATAACAATATGGCGATATTACACGAGTGTAACCATGACTCTCAATTAGCAATGGAAATGTTTTGCAAATCGCTAGAGCTATTTAGTGCCGTATTACCCTCAGATCATCCGACAATAGCTACTCTCTATCATAACATTGGAACCAGCTTTCATGAAATCAAGAATTACCCTAAAGCTATTACTCATCTAGAAAAGGCACTAGATCTTCGCAAAAAAATCTTACCACTAACACATTTACATATAGCTGAATCGTATGAATCTTTAGCATATTCATATTATGGCGTTTATGATTATCAAAAGACGTTAGATTTCTGTAATATGGCTTTAGAGATTGATCCCACACGCGCCGCTCTTCACGAATGCATTGGAGAAACCCGTTCAAAACAGCATGATTATGATGGCGCTCTTGTTGCATTTCGAAAAGCCATAGATTTATGTAACCCACTAATGATGAAAGATAATAGATTGTTGGCCAGAATTCATTTTTCTATGGCACAGGTCTTATTAACTCAAGAGAAATTAGATGAAGCTTTGGAATGTTATAAGACGGTATCTCTTGTACCTCTATCATATGCTGATCAGGATACTCTAGCGGTGGCAAATATGCATCTAGCTGATATCTACACTTATAAAAAACAATTTCGATTAGCTATAGAATCTTACAAAAAATGTTTAGATTATAATTCGGAATGTGTACCGCAAGTTGAAATGTATAACAATCTGGCAGCTAATTATTTTGAGGTTGGCCAAGAAGAGGCAGACGAGGAATATTATCGAAAGGCTCTAGAAATACGTAAGAAAATATTAAATGTTTTCCCTTTAGATGACCAAGATCTAGGTATAACATATTCAATAATTGGCACCATATACTATAAATTAAATGAATATGACTTATGTCTGGAACACAAGGAAAAAGCAAGAGATCATTTATTGAAAAACGTGTCAATGAATAATGATATTTTAACGAATATCTGTGAATCAATTGCTTCTTTTTACGAACTTCGTGGTGAAATGGAAAAAGCAATAGAAAATGGAGAATTACTATTAAAACTGCAAATGGATAAGTTTGACTCAGAGAACCCAAAAAACTTGGATATATTGGCGAATCTTTGTAATAACCTCGGTTCTTTATATCATCAGGTTCAGAATATTGAGAAAGCTATTGAATGTGTTGAACAGGCTGTCACATTTGAAAGAATTGCAAAAATTTCAAATCCTGAACTTTATGATAATAATTTTGAAATACTTCAATCCCAAGTCATCACATGTGGCAATCTTGCAGCACTATATGAAGAAGCTGAAGCCACTGAAAAACAAATTATAATGCTGAATAGATGCCTCGAAATTTATAGTAAACTCGTACTTCATTCACAACAGAAAACTGATCTTGCTTTGGCTTCGATGGCTGAAATTTTCAAAATGCTAGGTGGTTGTTATTCAAAATTAGATGATCATCATATGGCGTTCAAATCTTATCAACAAGCACTGTATTTTTTCATCCAATTAGGATCCAATAATGAAACAATGTCCAATGAATATAAAGAAAATTTGGAAAATGCAAAAATGAAAATGAACAACAAAAGTTGACCTAACATTGTGCAAATAAAGATATAGATTTAAGCCCACGTTTTTACAGCATCGTTGCGTTTGATATACCCATGAAGAAAGGACAAAAATTGAAACCCTTCTTGTATGATAAATCGCGTTCCTAAAGAACACTAAAATTTATGGATGCAACAAACCCGAATGCTTGGGGTTTGATAAAGAGTTTTGAATTCGAATTAAGAATTGAATTTGGTTTCCAAATATCCAAGCCATTTGTTTTTTGCTAATATAATTTTTTAGTAGTGTATTTCTCTTAGTGCTATAAAATTTTATCGTTTGTGTGGAACTCAAAATATCAAACAGGATTGTGGGTGTGGGCGGGTGTATGTGTGTATGGATGCATGGGTGCATACATGAGCAATATCCACACATTCACGCTCCTCTCCCTCAGGACGTTGACATACTAATTCGACAAGAAATCATTGAATGCTTGGTTTAGCTTAAAGACTTCATATATTATAATCGGAAGTGGTCTTTGAACGTCTTAGTGGAGTAAGCGCATGTGAGTATCGGTCTACCAAATGTTGGCCCTCAAGGGATAACATTCACCTCATCAATGCCCCATCAACACCCACATCCATACCCTAAAAGTGCACGTTCCCTTGCGTTCGCGTTCGCTGCAAAATTTTTAACTAAAGATAAAATTTTTCCTATTTACTCGTGCAAATTAGGGGGGGTTTACGTGTAATTATGAGGACAACAACACTCAAACTGTAAGTGAGAATAAAAAGCCGTGTTTACATCCTTTTACTTTTCTTTTACTTTTTGTCATAAAAGCAAAACTTATCTGTAAGATGTGTTAACGTGTGTGACAACAAGATATAAACCTTTTGTCTATATCACCAATCTTTTTTTCCACATAACACATAGAAATAGCAACAATTTATCAGAAGCAAGAGTATGAGGTTTGGGTGGGTTGTGTGCGGTGTGTGTTAGAAAAATTCTATCAGCAACCACATCCACACACACCCAATCACGAAAAGCTGAAGCTACTAAACATTGCCAAGTCAATAGCAGAAAATTGAAAGATGAAAATGAAAAATTGCTGAACAAGGTCCAACAATTAGAGAAGGGTGTGGCTGGGTGTGGGTGTGTACGTAATGATATGGTTCTTCTCTTAATCAACACCCACACACCCATACCCGGAATGAACCTTCTGGTTTGTAGAGATGAAACAAAATAATACCCAATTTTATCAATCCTACGATAATCAATTGACGGAAGAAAAAACAACAAAAATTTTACTATTTTTTTCCATTATTTGATTGAAAATACTTTTCAGATGCTGGTTTCTAAAAATACACAACTACGTGTTGCTAAAGAATAGCAGAAATTTACTTACTTTGCGGAGAATATCGATAAGCTGTTCGACATCATCAAAATAATGTTCTAATGTTGTTGAATCAACACCCAGGTCGACGATTACAGACTTCGTTTACGGCTGCAAAGTCATATTTTAGCATTTTACATGATCCTGTATTACGGTCGTATATCGGCGTGGCCGGATACGGACAAATACGGAATAAAACGGAGATTGTATGACGGACCGTGTATATGATGACCGTGCTTGTTTGACCTGGGCTATTACGATACCAACGAATGATTAACCTTCTGACCTCATCCTCTTCTCTCAGTATAGCCTCAACTCATTGGCTAGTATAACAGAAAAACAATCTTATTAACGATTTGATTTCTTCCCAGGTCGATCGTTCCCGTCGCAAGATACTGCAGGAACCGGCCGGAAAGATGCGGAAAAATCGCGGTATTTCGGAGGAAAACACAGGAAGTCGCTGGACCGTGGAAGCAGTATTCCGATGGGAAAGTTTTCGGGGCTTTTTCCGATGATTTATTGTCAGTTCCTGCTGGAAAGCACTGGAAATTGACCGGAATCCACCGGAAAAAAATCCGGGAATTTCCGACCAAAATACTGCTTCTACATTCCAACGATTTCCCGTGTTTTCCGGTCGTTTCCCACCGTACCGCCACGACTTGGGATTTCGATGCAATTTATGTAGTTGTAAATAAGACAGTATATAATTCATTTCAACTAAAATCGAAGATATATATATATGTAGATAGATAGATAAATAAATAGAATTGGAGAAAACGAAAATCTAGAAGAAAAGAAGAAATTTTCTGTTCTACTAAATCTATTGTAAAACAGCAAAAAGAACAATAAACATCAATCCCAAAGTTTTGTCCCATAGATTCGTACACCAGAGACATCTAATTTTATCTCGTTTCATCACTATGATTGAGATCTTAACAAAATGAACACTACCTGTAAACTAATTGTTTTTCTAATTAAAAACTTCTTTTGACAGCAGCAAAAATATCTACTTTCATAAGTGTTCTCAAAGAAAAAGTGTAGACAGTAAAAGAAAATGTATGGTACCAGAAAAAAACTAGTTTTCTTTTTTTACACGTTATCATTTTCGTGTCTTTTCTCTAGAGATATACAATTTTACTTTGAAACATTTACAAAATATTTGTTTTTGAAAACAAATATGTTGTGTATGATTGAAAACATCCTACACGACTTGATCGTCATAAAATAAAAACTAATTTACAGATTAATTGACTTAAATAAGGTAAAACTCCTTGCTGACGTGGTGATAAGGATAATGTCATAGTCGCTCGCATAACATATACACTTTCATATATGATTTATCTGATATAAGAATTGCTAAGCATTTATCATAAATTGATTGTGCATATGAAATAAACTCATTCTTTGCTATTCTTGAAAAGAAAAATGAATTTATACGCTCAGTGTTTTTGATCAGTAGGATGTCTTGTAGAGCATGTGCTGCATAAGTTTGTACAGCAATATGATTTGATGATAAATATCGAACACATTCAGGTGAAGATCTAACTACAAAGAATGACGATCAAGCTGAGTTCGACTATAAATTAAAATCTTGAAACAATCAGCTTTTATTAAAAGAAGACTTTTTTTTAGAAAAGAAAAAGATGAAACATTAAATGTGAATTCGATTAAAATTAAAATCCACGAAATTTTACTGTGTGAATTTCGAAGTTCGCGTAAAATTCTATTAGAATAATAAACTGGAATACTAATAAATGAACTTGTTTTTGTAATGTCCAACTGAAAAAAAAGACAAAAGCTAAAATTTTATGAAATAAAAGATTGAATGAACTTTGAGTCTTTCGCCTTTGCCTATAGGCAAATGATAAAGAAAAGAACAATACATGTATTTCCTTTTTGCTTACTCAATATTGCGTTGCATTTTTTAAATATTCCTAAAGAAAAATTTCTTTATCAATAAATGAAAATAAATATCGACAATCTACTTTTTGCATGGTTTCAATATATTGTTGACTACATCTCAAGGAACTACTTGCGATTCAAAAAAAACAAAACTAATAGAAAATGCTTGAAACAAAATTACAAGCAGCTCGACGACATGTTGTTGCATCTGTTCTATAGAATAAAGAAAGCAAAAACTTTCCAAAAAGCATACAAGTAAAAGAATAATTTTAATTAATATTGTGAATAGATCAATTGGACATATTTCTCAGTTAGTGAGTTACATGTAGAGAAAAATGGGCGATGAAAGGAAAGCACATAGGATATTAGTGTGAATATTCTCCAAATATGACTTTCATCAATCTTTGTCATACAAATTATTCTACTCATTAGACAAATCATAAAGACTTTCCTATCGAAAATAGAGTAGCTATAATTCATTGATATCTATTAGACAAAAGAAGATTTTTATCTATTGTTAGCTCTCGTTTTGGGGATTATGTAGCAATGGTAGAACTAATATTTAGTCTGCCAAAAATAGAGAGCTAAACATGTTTCAATAATAGGTTTTTGTCGTCGTATCATATATAGAATATATTAAGTATCGAGTATTCGATACGATAGAACATCAACAACTGCGCAATAACGAAAGAAAATCAATCACGAGGATTAGTCATAGTCGAAATATTACGTAACAAATCAAAATAGAGATCATAGCAACAGATAACACGAATAAACGTTTAGCGTCAGTGAGTGTCATCTACTGACGCTAACATCTATAGTCATAATTTAGGAACGTGATTGTATAGATAATGTAAAATTTATATGAATATGTTTTTGTTATTAATGGAAATTCAGGGTGTGGGTGTGGGTGGTACTCTTCTTCCCACACCTACACCCGACTCACTGAGTAATAATAAATTTTCTTTGGTGCTGAACTTTTCAGAGAATACTGAAATGTTTTTATATAGAATAAGGGATAGGAGTGAAGCGGAAAAGGTAGTAACTCGAATATAAATAGACACAAATTGAGACGTTTTCGACCTCATGCTGTTAATAAGAATACTAAGATGAATATTTTGAAAATTAAAAACAAAGAACGCATTTTCACGTTTGATTTACGGATGCCCACCTTCGCACAGCTGGACTGTTAAATAAAAAGCATGAACTTTTTCTTATTTAATACTAGTAAATAATACAACAAAACTCTTTTGAACTACTTGCGCATCTCTTCAACATAGTCAAAGTATATATTAGGTTTAACTAGATCGTATACAGAATAGTTAGGTCTAAAACTAACGACTGACTACCAATATTTCTAATCAAAGCTCTGCAAAAGACGAAAATAACAATGGAACATGGACTGGTGATTATCCAGAATTTTCTATACCTCCATCTGTTCGTTTTTGGCTACTTGTCATTTTTGATGTTTCGTCATTGGCTTGTTCCTTGATACTTCTTTATTATTTAATTATTGATCGTACTTTACAAAAAGCATTAAACAATCATGTTATTATAGCTCTGCTTATTAGTGAACTTTTTTTCTCAATTAATGGATATTTCGTTTTATCTTAATTATACTCGCACGGGTAATATTTGGCCTCAAACACCTGTCAGTTGTCTTTTTTGGTGGCTTGCAGCAACGGATATTTCAAATATGATCAATATTCTTATGGCATGGACATCAATTGGACGGCATATTTTAGTATTTCATGAGCGATGGTTATTAACTAAGAAAGAACGTTTTTTTATTCATTATTTTCCACTTTTAGCAATTGCTCTCTATGGTTTTATTTATTATATTGTCATTCTTTTAATATATTCACGTGACAATATGTATGCATTTACAGACAATTGGTGTCTTTTTCCATGTTATTATTATGATGAGAATCTTGCTATGTATGATACCGTAGTTAATTCCATTATACCAACACCAATAATCACTATTTTTAGTATTGGATTAATTATTCGTGTTATTAAACGAAAACAAAATCATCATCGAAGTATTGAATGGCGTAATTGTCGAAGAATAACACTACAACGTGTATCTATATCAGCAATGTTTCTTCTTCTTAATCTTCCTATGACCGGAACTGTTTTAGCTCAAGTATGTGGGTTGCTGAATGGTGCAGCTTGACAATTTGAATATTATACTGATTATTTCTATCACTTTGTTTCACTTTTGATGCCTTTTGTTTGGCTTACTTCATTACCTGAAATTCGAAAAAAAATGAAGCAAATGCTTAAGATTCAAGTAGTGACTAATATCATTGGACCAGCAGAAATTACGCTTCATTGAATAATATATTTATTAAAAAAAAACTATCCATCAAAAGGTAAACAACATCGAAGCTATAATTCGACAGGCATTGCAATCAATTTGTATTCTCACTAACATCAGTGAAAATATTTTAAAAAATCCATCAAATTATAAGTCACCTATATTATCTTGAGGGATGACGGTGTGACTGATTTTATTATAAATATGAAATCAAAAGCTGGCAAGACGCATTTGATTTGTTGCTAAAGTAATCTTATCAATTGCTAATGATTTGAAGGATGAGGATACAGTATTATTATTATTATTTCTCCTACTATGAATTTATGATTGTTAGAAGTTTTTCTGAAGAAAATAACTTAATTCCAAAAAAACTAGATCCATCTATTTGCTAATCTCAACTCTTGCTTTTCAGTAAGCGATTATAAGTCGAAAATAGAAACAAAGTTGAACTAAAATTCTAAATGTGCTTGAATTTGAAATCATTTCTTGACAGATTAATGCAGAGATTTATTTCGTCGAAGCGTTTCGTGTTTATTTATTATTTAAAATATTGAAACACTCTTCAGGGCTCTGCATTAAAAATAAAGCACTATTAAAAAATGGCGGAACAAAAGTTTCAAATGTAACGCTTTAGAACAGATTACGCAAAATAGTAGAGCTTAAATTCCTTGAATTGAACGTTTTACAATGGTCTATATTATTACTTTTGTGATGTCGTTAAGTCTCGAGACTGTTGGGTATTCGATAAATTGTTCGACAAAGTGTATATCATTGCTTTCTTGATGATGAATTATCATAGATGGTAGGTACGGTGTGAGTGTCGGTGCCTTATCTTCGTTCACACCCACCATACATTGAAATGCGTTTTATAGTGAACTACAGAAAAGGATACTCTTTTCGTTGATAGAGAGTAGATATTGATGCAAACCAATGAACTCAACAAGCATCGTCTTATTTGATGCTTCTTTGCATCATACTTTTTTTTATCGAAAACCAAACGGAATAGAAAGGAGGGGATGTGGCCGATTAAATGTATTTCTTATCTAGAGAAGTTAATAGCCTTGGAAGAGTCCTTGATAGGTAGTCATATAGAAGGTACAAGATATCTGACACCGTCGAAATAATGAAAAATCAATAATGATAACATTTTCTTTCACCTCAGTGGCAATTTTCTTCTTTCCTTTCACTCAGAAGACTCGTAAATCGCGAAACATTCACTACCTAACGTACGCAATCATAATATCGATAGATGGAACTGAATGTTATTACTACTTCGAAAATACGGCGGCGATATGCCGATGATTCTATTATCGTTTATTTGGATATACTAATAGATGAAGTCAATTTAGCTCAAATTTCTCACTTTGGTTTTTCAATTAAGTCGTTCACAGATCAACATGAATGTATTGACTTCATCGCTCATCTGCAGGATCAAAAGGTTTTCTGTTTCATAGTTGACCAACTAGTTGAGAACAATATTCTCTTTCTGAACCAGTGCCCATTAGTCGCTTCTATCTATGTTATTTGTACAGATGAACAATCCCACGAGCACTGGACCAAAGATTACCGAAAAATAAGAGGTGTATCTGGTGATTTATTACTATTAACTGAAGCTCTAAAGCGAGATCTTCAATTGGCCTATCGAAATGCCACTCCAATCACCATACTTGCTCCTGTTACGTCATCGGAACCGATCAATACTCTAAATGTTATGTTTATGTATTGTGAACTTTTGAAAGAAACCTTCCTTGAAATGAATTACGGTGAACAGGCTAAATGTGCACTCGTCGACTATTGCAAATGTAAGTACGCGAACAATGAGGTCACCTTGCGCGTGATCGATGAGTTCGACCGAGATTATGCCAAATATTCGCCTACTTGGTGGTATACTCGAGATAGCTTCGTCTATCGTATGCTCAACAAAGCTCTGCGAGATCATGATCTTGAGCTCATCAACAAATTTGGCTTTTTTATCAAAGATCTACATCATCAACTGAAAAATCTTCACCGGACTTTATCATCTGGAAAGTTTACTGTCTATCGAGGACAGAGGTGAATATATTTTCTTCTCTCATTTTTCTAATAGTACAAGGAAGAAACCAGTAATTCAAATCGAAAATCGAAACTTTTCTGCGCTCTAGACGGAATTTTGTAACATAATAATCTCTTTTTATCAATTATAATCGTTTAGTCAATTAAAGTTGCCTCTGTCAAATTTAACGATTGGGCTAGTTCTAGTTTCGGATTTTGGAATACAATGCGTTCAGGGTATGCTATTCTTGTTGTAGTATGTCAATTGAAGAATTTATAAAGCTCAAGCAAAACGTTGGTGGACTTATATCATTCAACAGTTTTCTGTCAACAAGTGCTGATGAACATGTATCGCGTCAGTTCGCTCTATCTTCACTTGATGATCCCAGTTTGAAGGCTATTTTCTATGCCATTGGCGTCGATCTTGCGCTCACGTCGAGTCCAGTTGGCTATCTTAGCAAACGATTAAGCTACTTCTATGATGAGCAAGAATATTTGTGGGACATGAATGCCATCTTTCGAATCTGTGAAGTTCAAGAAGTAGAGAATGGTGTATGTCAAGTGAATTTGACGACAACAAGTGAAAATGATTCTCAGTTGAAACAATTGACCGATTATATGAGAAGAGAAATTGGTATATTATCTGGTATGCAACGGCTGGGATATCTGATGACGGAAATGGGTGAATGGAGTAAAGCAAAGGATATTTACGAGACACTTCTTCAAGAGGAAGAAGATCCTTGTATCATTCAACGACTAGGCTTTATTGCACATCAAATGGGTGATCTGGATGCAGCACTTCGATATTATCAGCATTCACTTTCTATCTTTGAGACTTTACTCTCGCCAAACGATCCTGAACTAGCTACTATATACGGGAATGTCGGGTGCGTACTCAATGACAAGGGACACCTTGAAGATGCACTCGAACAATTCAAGCGTACGTTGGAACTTCAAAGCAGCGTGGAGAAGCCAAATAAATTACATATCGTATGTAGTCGATGCTTATCAAATGTATTAATTATTTCTCATTCTTTTCTTACATGACAGGCCCGAACGTACAACAACATCGCTACTGTTCACGATAAGGAAGGACGTCAGAAAGAAGCACTCGAGAATATGAGGAACGCATTGCGAATTTTTCGCGGATGTTTACCTTCGACACATCCGGAAATTGCAGCTTCTCTTGGCAATATCGGTACCATCTACTACAAAAACGAACAGTACTCGAAAGCTATGAGCTATTATGAAAAATGTCTTTCTATCCAAGAGGCATCCCTTCCTTCAAACCATCCTGATATTGTTCGTACGACTGGTCTCATGAAACAAACATTTGGGCAGATCAAACTCTCTGGCAACGTATTGAAGAAGGTTTGCTATTTTGAAATATTTGAGAACATAATGAGACTTCCAGTTAAATGAGCAGATGGGTAAGCCTTTTCAAAAAAAATGGCGATACAGTTCCTATTAGAAAGCTCTTGATTCCGGCATCTGAGTCATTTTTCGTACTATCCACAGAACAAATTTTTAAGGGCTCGAAAAATTCTCTAGGTCGTCAGCAGCTACTCTGAAGCACATGAAGAAACTTCATCTTTTGTCCAGCCGTTTTCAGGTTCAGTGATGGCATCGTTTCAAAGATTAAGAAATTTCTGTTGCTGTAATCCGCATACTGGACAAGTAAATAAGTGCTCAAGATATCTTGCATGGGGACTTGTATGCCTTGTTTTGACCACTGTCGGTGCAATATTATATCTTTTATTGCGTCCAATAACACCAGATCCTCATCGTACATTTGTTTCTCTACAAACATCCAATAACGCCATGTTGACATCTGTAAAAAATCAGGGTAAGTTGTACACGAATTGTAAGAACCATAACAAGAGATAGACACTGACCTAACTTAGAAATTATCAAAATTTCCAGGAAAAAATATAAAATATTTTTACTGGGAATAATGTAGATGTCTCCAAAAATGTAAGTAATCCCACAAATTTCTTTCCATTTTGGCCAGAGTTGCGTCATTCAATAGAGAAATGAAAAACGGAGTTGTTGAGACCACTTTTTTTCAAACTTTGTTCCTGAGTTGAGACATTTGAAAAACAACACTAGAGTATCAAAATGACCATGAAAAAAAAAATAGAAAATATCATGACCAGCACCTCATTTTGGCCACCGAAACAGTTGAACCACCTTTGAGATATGAGCACAGATCCTGAACGAAGACACGTCGGGCTATCTTAGTGTACAGTTTTTCAAAAACTCAAAATGAGCGGTTCTAAGATGAGGGCCCTTAAAAGCATGAACCAATCCTCATAGTGTTCTTTGGTCAGCTAGCAATTGGTCTGAAACGTTGAAGAAAGTTGTTTTTAGCACCACCTTTCTAGCTAGTGTGTCATACTAAGGCTTTGGGTGTGTTATTCAATTGCTCTAATGTAATGACTTATTTTTACAAAGTTTCATCTTGCCCTAATTAAAAGTATCAAAGTAACCCATGTGTTTCATTACGATGAAACTGTGGCGCAGTTACGGCGTAACTGCGATCGCACTGTGACCCGTAATTGCGGAAAATTGCGCCGTAACTACGCGTAACTACGATGAAAAATTCGCAATTACGGGTAGTTACGGTGAAAAAATCCCAGTTATGCATAACGGCGTCCACGTTTTTCGCAATTATGGGTTACAGTGTCGTCGCAATTGGTACAAAAGATGACATAGATTAGATTTTCACTTTATTTGTACTTTTATTGTGAATTTAAAATATTTTTGCACAAAATAAAAAATTTAAAACTAGAAAATTAAAATTTTTATAAAATATAGAAAAACAATTTTTAAATTAAAAATTTTCACAATAAAAAATAATTGAAAAATTAAAACCTAAAAAAATTTACAAATTTACAAAGTTAAAAGTTTAAAGAAATTTTAATTTTAAAAATTAAGGAAAATAAAAAATAACTATCTAGAAAAAATAAAATATTAACATCTAAAATATTTTTTAAAAATTTAATAAATAGAAGAAAAAAAATTTAATTACAAAAAGCTGAAAAACTAAAAAGATTTAAATCTAGAAAAATTTAAAAAAAATAAAAAATGTATTCTACTGCTTATAGTAGAATGATTTATGAAAGAAAATGTGACGAGCACTGCTATTTATACTGATTTTCTGTGACTGTATTTTATTGTTAGAGTGTAGCCAATTACAAATAAGAAGGAATAATTTATAATTGGCCATTTATACCTACAAGGGATCGTAAGATGCGATCACTAAGACGCAGTTACGTTGATCTTCATCACAGTACGCGTCGTTTCTTATAGAATCTCCACTACGATCAATGCGCCATAGTTACGCGTAACTGCGACGCAAAATTGGCGCTGCGCGTAACTGCGGCACAGTTGATAAAAAAGAGACGACATGGGAAGTCAACAACGCAGCTGCTCCATTTCCAGTATTCGGCTGAAAACAGAAATTCTTTAACTTCCTGTTCAAGGAAAAGAGAAGAAAAGATAGAAAATCAAGCATAACTCGAATTCGTAGCAACTTCACTTACTTTACTCAAAGTCTTAGGTGAAAATCAGCCAGAAAAAGAATTCTACTGCAAGAGGTTGTACGAAATAGCTTGTTATTTATTACTATATAATATACATTTGATTAGCTAGCTGCTAGATTTTCTCTTATTTTTGTTCTGGGGCTGCACACGCCGAAATTCCATTTTACGAAAACTCAGTTTTCACTTAAAGAGAAAATAATCTGAATAATCAGTGATAACACGTCATTTCCATTCGTAGGAACACGTTCTACCATAACACCTTCGCCAACTAGACCTGCAAAGAGAGCACTTCTTTTAACTGACAATTCATATGTGGATGCAAAAAATGCCCTCGCCAATTACATGCTTACGACCAATGTGACACTAACAGTGTTGTACGGTGCCATTGAAAACTATACTGGTGTTCCAAATGCAAAGATATTCAATGTCGTTATCTTGTTTTCTCCCAAATGGTTTGCTATTGATATGCCAATAGCTGGCCAACAAACAATTCTTAATGCTCAACAAGCAGGTACGGGGGTTGTTCTAACTGAATGGGCTAGTTGGCGTGTTCATCAACAGAAGCAATGGCATATCTTGGCTTCGCTATGTCTAACATATCCAAGTGGATATGCTTTTGTGCCACATATAACATTCACCAATTTGATGCAAGACCATCCACTTTGGAATGCATTGCCGACAACATTTACATCAGTTACACCCATTTCTACTTCTACAAATTATGTTCACGGAACAGAAACGATGCTTGTAGCAAAATGTGAAATCTGTGGTGGTGGTCAACTTGGTGTTGTTGTACAAGATCAGAGTGATCAAGGGAAGGGACGCATTGTTCAAATTAATCATGCGATACATACTAACGGTTCTTTATGGGACATTGATCGAAATATCACACAGTTGATAGTAAACGCAGTTAATTGGGCCGCTAAATCTACTTGACAAAGGTGGTTATATTACAGAACTAAAACTTCTGCCAGTTAGGGGTGTGTGATTGAAGTAAATAAATAAATATATTTTAGTAAATGAATAAGATAAAAAAAAGAATGACTTTTTAGAAATTTGAGAAAAATGCGGGTGTAGGTGTGGGTGTTGATCTTCTATTCTCTCACACTAACACCCACACCCAGAACATCTAACGTCATTTGATTTTTACAATAGTTAAAAGAGAAGCTTTTTTAGAAAACTCATATGTAATAAGAATTTTTGTCGCAGAAAGTAAAAAAATAACATTAAAGCAATATGAACTACAAGAGGTATTGTTCGTAACAAGTCATTGAATTTTTTATGCAAAATCAATATTTATCTTTGTTAATGAATTTATTAAAACTTAATCAACACAAAAAAATTAGATAATTATTCACCTTTAAAACAAGAACTGTTCACCACACTTAGAGAAATGGATTTATTGCAAAAAGTGCTTTATCAAAAGAAATTTGGGAAGAATTGCAGCAAAAGACATTAGTTGAGTCTTTAATCCATTTTGCAATATTACCATGTGACGAAACAAATATTAAAAAAGTAAAGCAGAGATTTTTAAATGAAATTTGTTTATGGAACAATTTCATGAACTTGTTGATAAATGTCGAAAAGAGAAAGTTACTCTTCATGCTCTAATTGTGTATAACAACAGTTAACATTATATTATTATCAAAAGGTTCGAACAAAGAAAAAATTACATCTTTATTTTGCTCGCCTACAGAGATTCGCTAATATTTAGTTAAAATAAACAATGGGATAGTCTGTATAGTTTTTTAGCGGCTATCGGTACAATTTATTAGTGACTTTTTTTTATGAAACTCTTTCATGTGTTTAAATTTTCGTTGTCATTCGAGTATCGCTTAAAGGTACAACACTAGTAAAGAAACATTGGCATTTCACCACACTAATAGTGACTCGACGAAAGTCATTCATTGTTGTAAAATAGATCGGAAAACATGAAACGTGATAAGTGTAAAGAATAGCATCGAGTATTTGATGAAGCAAGTAGGGTGTTTGATAAGCATAGAAAGCAAAAACAACAGTTACTGGTATGGTCGCCACACAAAAGAGAAATGTTGTAAAAACGAGTGTGATTGACATGGCTCGATGACGAATTGCTGAGCTGTGTATAGAAGTTGTTTGACGTAAATGAATTAGCTGATAAATCACAAAGCCATTGAAAGTTGTCATTATAATAAACGGTATACAATTGTATAAAACCAAATGAACATAATCCCAAAGCGGATAAATTTGATATAATTTTGCATTGACATTTACTCCTCCATCAGAGTTTATAAAGCAGGAAAAGACAAAAAAATGAAGATTAATCAAAGCTATGATACCTAAACTAGTTGAGATTACGATAAGAACATTTTTCGAATCGCTGAACCAAGTCCGATGAAGATGATTCAATGCTAAATATCTGTCTAGGCATACGAATACACGCAACCAAGCGGATGCTTGGCCAGCGAAATAGTTAAGAAATCCCGTGAACTTGCACCAAGCAACTGAATAACAGTGAAGTTTAAAACCATGTACAGGTAGAAGATAATGATCAAGATTCCATCCGTAAAGCATTGCAATATCAAAAACAGCCATCGCACGCATGTAATGAAGTGTCGGCCGTCTTTTCGCATTGCCAAAAGTTGGATGACAAAGTATGAAAAATGTAAACAAATTAAGCAGAGTGCCAATAATAACGAGAGCCAATGCATAATAGCCAAATATGATATTTATCAAAGAATAGTCGATTGTCGTATTCATTTCACTAGTCGCGCTACGATGATCGTCTCTTATGAGTTTATCTATTTACAATGAAAGAGAATTTTAGAGGAGAAAAAAAATCTATTAAGTGATGATCTTATCGACATGAAACTGCAGACACAAAAACACACCTATTTTAAAGATGTGAACGTTTATCTCGATTGATCCGACTCCGTACATAAAGAAATTCAGTGTAGAAGCTGTCAATAATATATATTTCAAGCTAATTATTGGCGTTTCGAATCAAGCGTTGACATAAGCATGTTTTTCTTACTGCACTGATCAGCGTATTGTTCCATGCTTAAATTAAATTAAATCAGAAATCATTTCTCTCTTACTACATAGAGTGTCACTTTCGTTTCACCGAGATTATGAATATCAACTTTTCTCTGTTTTTACGTATTGAGTTACTTGTTAATTATGCTTGAAGTAAAGTGACGTTATCCTACGTCAGCAAAAAGCTAACAATTACTCTTGTCAAATTTTCCATCATAAACATATTTGCATAAAAGAGAGTTTCATTACAAAGTAAAGAATCAATACAATTTTCTTGGAATTGCTCATTCATGTTGTTGGTATTCGATCGGCAAGATCAATTTGTTTTTAAATATTATTATTCAAAATCACAGTTTCATGTAGGGGTGGGCCATTTTTTTTAACGGAACTTAATTAATGACATTAATTAATGACTTTCATTAACCATTAATCTTAATGCTTAATGTTTTCTAAGAAAAACTTAATTCATTAATATTAATGATTAATGAAAAACATTAACATTAATTTTAAAATTAATGTTTTCATTAATCATTAATATTAATGTCAATGTTCTCAAATGATATTAACGGTTAAAGGAAACATTCACCATTAGTATGAATAGTAATGTTTTCGTTAATNCTTTTGTACCAATTGCGACGCCACTGTGAACTATAATTGCGGAAAACTTGGGCGCAGTTATGCGTAACTGTGATTTTCCCCCCGTAACTACGCGTAACTGCGATTTTTTCATCGTAGTTGCGCGTAACTACGTCGCAATTTTCCGCAATTACGGGTCACAGTGCGATCGCAGTTACGCCGTAAGTGCGCCGCAGTTTCATCGTAATGAAACACATGGGAAGACAGATATGCGGGTGAGTGTGATATGTGCATGTCGATTTCAAGTTTAATTCCGTACTCACCCAGATCCGCACACCCACACTCCCACCCCAAAACAATTTAATGCATTTTAGACTCAAATGATGAACCGCTTTCGAAGTTATATCTATGCTTCGTCAGTTGATTCTCATGTGGATGTGGATGTGTGGGTGTGGGGTGTTGTTTCGGAGAAGATGAAGACCCACACCCAACATCCACACTCATCCACACCCTCAGGCTTTCACAACCGTCTAAATTAAAGAATTCTAAAAGCTCATCTTAATATGTGGACCTTCATCAAATGTATTCAAAATGATGAAAGTCGATTGCGACATCTATTTCTTCAAATGAATGCTGGAGCTCAAGCTCGAAAAAAAACCGCTGGCACTAGTTTCATTCAAAAATGTATCGATACATTAAATGAAAGATACAAAAACGGTGAAATCGATGTTGATCAACTATTAGATGGCTTCTCACTCACCATAGCCAAACAACAGAAATAAGGTTACACATGAAGAAATATTTTCTTTTTATTAATTTTATAACTAACTATGCTTGATTCATTTCATCTTTTGATGTACTTAAAATTTTATCAGACAATCTAAAATCTCCATCTTAGCAGTCTAAAATATTAAAATAATTTTTTTCGCTATTTTTTCCTTCGACATTTTTTCTTTCGCTCATTTTGATACATACCCATATATTCAGTGGAAGCTCATGATTAATTTCTTAGCTTACTATCAACAATTGATAATGTTTGGCGATATGAATAATGATTCAAATATTTTCTTAATTAATAGCGGAGTATAGAACATATATAACACTGAACACAATAAAATTGTGCATCTACATTGATATTTCAACATCAAACTTCTATTCACAGAATACGAATCTTCACATTTAATCTGCACTTAAATGATTGCTCAAACAGAAGTAGCTAAATAAATGTTTACATGTTCAGAAAAGAAAATTTCGAGCTTCTTAGTCAAAAACATTGAAATATTAAGTAAAAGAGGATAAACGAAAGAAGAAATGGTATTTCATTTTACTTTACCAATACAAGTCACAGTAAACGGAAGCAGATACAGCTTCACTCACACGTATATGGCAAAGTACAAAATTTTGCAAATTATTTGATCAGCCTCTAATTTATAACCAGCAACAATATTAGCTTTGATACTTAAATTATGTCTTTTGTGAAGGGTGTGGGTGTGAGCGTGTATGGGAAAGGGGTGTATGTGTACCTGTGGCAAGGGGGGAAAAGCGAGACTCCTGTACTCTGGAGTACAGCTGAAGTAGACCTGAAGTACAGGAAGTACGGTAGTGCAGCTCTACTTCAGGTCTACTTCAGCTGTACTCCCGAGTACAGGAGTCTCGCTTTTCCCCCCTTGACTTTGTCTCATATTTTGATTTCCCGATATCGGAAATTCGTTTTCTCGTTTTTTCGACGTCTTCTAATTGAATTCGATTGATTGATTATATGTATTTGTTCGATAAAAGATTATCATTCATTTAAAGTTGTGGATATCGTGTAACCTTAATTAAATGGATCGCCATGCTTACATTATCACATAAATGTCTTAGGTAGGATTTTTGTGGAAAAATAATATGCTTATCATTTTGCAATTTTCTGAAACTAAAATATCTTTCGTATATTTTCTAGAAACGCTTCACATATTATTCTATGACCATATCGTGAAAATCAATTGTTTCAAGTATTAAGTATAGAATTTTAAAGAAACAAGAATTGATCAAGCACAACTAATTACTTTCTCTTTTGTTTTCTTTACCAGCAAAGACGAAGTCTCGATTTTGTCCATTAAAAACGAGTTTACACTACTTCGCAGTAGCCTCAACATGTGACTCTTACCTATGATCATTCATTTTCGGAAAAGAGCTACTCCGTCTTTCAAAAAATTCTCGATTCGCCACTAATTAAGTTACGTTCAACGCATCTCCGAGTGCTATACGAAAATCTTCGAATTGTTTCAAGAAAATGTTTTATTCGTTTCAACACACTTCATTGGCTTATTTTTCATAACTATCTATTGTGTGTAAGAACATTTCATTTTCTGTTAATTCAGAGAACTAAACATAACATGTTGATTTTAAGAAAATTTTTACGAAGGATCTATTTATATTTAACATGATGATCAAAGAGTAGCACATCACACACTGGCATTCTTATATAAACAATAGACAATAAATATGAATCATTAGATGAATATTTGTTCACAAGAAAAAACAAGATTCTAATATTGTAGAATATTTTCAGTACAACAAATAATGATTCTCTTGTTTTATTCGAATAGTTAATGAATAACGTTAACCTGTTTATTAAGAAAATAAGCGTTAAAACGATTTGTGATTTTTGTGAATATTTTTGAGTATTGTATCTCGAAACAGTTGCTTCTACGTTGTTAGCATATATATTGAATTGATATTTATAGTTATGTACAATACATATTTCATTAAGTAGTTGATTGTAAGGAGAACACAAGTAATTGCCATTGATCGTCGATGAAGATATACATGTACATGAAATGAGCAACGTTCTATAATAAAGATGATACTGCATTTGTCGTACTTCAAATTAACTAATCACGAGAATGTTTATCAAGTGTAACCGGCGGGGTGTATCTAGTATTTTTGACAGCAGGGTGGGAGTTTTTTGTACGTATCTAGGATAGAATCATTTTTTTTATTTGATATACTTTTGAAATCAATATGAATTCTTTTTTTTTTATAATTTTGTTTTTTCTCTTCCTTTTGTTTTAATGTTTTTTATTATTAATTATTTTCTGATTTTTTAATAATTAATTAATTATATTTATAAGACGTTTTGGAGATATCTTTCTCCTTCTTCAGTTTTATTTTATTTGGTGTTATGTTTGTTTTTACTATTTACAATACGTATCTGACTATTATTTTTCTTTTCTTTTTCTTTTTCTTTAANCGCTACGATCAATGCGTCATAGTTACGCGTAACTGCGACGCAGAATTGGCTCTACGCGTAACTGCGGCACAGTTGATAAAAAAGAGGCGACATGGGTTATGATTTCAATCATTAAAAATAAGAAAATATACTATCATTATTGTTATTATTATTACAGTTGGCTGAAGGTGGTGCTCAAATGTCTAGTAAGGCATTGCTGATAGCATAGATAGGAAGATAATGAAATTAGAGAACACTACACAAGTTTCGTGGGTGAATACAATAGTGTACAGGAAAAACAAATTCCCTGAAAGCTACGTTTGAACGCGTTGTTTATTTTGTTCACATGTTTTCGCTAGGCTTAAAGCGCACTTTTTCCAACGCGCTCAAATGCTTTCTTTTCAGTGGATAACGCAAAAAATTGACGCAAAAAATAATTTTAAATAGTTCCCCGCAAAAACATTTTGAAATTATTTAAAAAAATTATTTTTGAAGCAATTTTTTAAGGCCTTATAGTTTTTTTAGAATATAAATGGCTCAATCATAGTATTTTCACAATATTATTTGTGACTTTTTCAGCGATTTTTGTTTTCAGTTATTTCAATATTCTAATTTTCGATATAGTAGGTAATTAGCGACCCATTTAGTTACATTTTCATTTGATGAAATACTGAAGAAAAACTCTAAATAGAATTAAGTATAAATATTTCAGTTATCAGAAAGGATACAAAGACCACGAGGCTTTTACGCAAACATTGTATAGTCAAAAACTATAGATTAAGATATGTATGCTCGAGTGTCTATCAGAAAAAGCTTGTTGATAAAAAAAACTCAATGAGAAGCAGAGTGAATTAAAGGATACAAAAATGCGTAGAAAAAACGAAATCGAACGATGTTTTAAAGTCGTACTTTAAGTTGAAAAAAACCGTTGTAAATAATAAAAAAACAAGCATGTATTTCAACGTGTTGCATACACAAAACCATGCGTTTGGATGCGTTTGAGAGAGAAAACGATGTTTTAAAACGATAAAATAGCATTTTCATCTAAAAGTTTGGGTGTGAGTGTGGGTGAACTTTTGTCTCATACTCATACGCGCATCCTTTGTAACAAGATAAAGTTTTCAGTATGATAGATCACCTTTATTTTCAATGACTATTTACCAAGTATTTGTAATCTACTTGGAAATATTTGCAGTTTTCAACAACAAGGCGAAAAAAAATAGGGAGTACACAACATCTAACACTTCGAATAGTTATTATTGATAAGACCGAAAAAGGAAGAGTAAAAATACTTTATCGTATATACCTTTACCGTATATACCTTTATAAAGACGTTTTCATTTAGCCATCAAAAGACCATATCAAAAGCTTTATAGTGTGCTTCAAGGTATGTGAAGGTACTCCCTAGTGAAATATATTGTACCGACCTCTGGCAGCTACTCTTTTTCTCTAAGAATTTTAGGCAACGAACCAAAATGATTGAATCTATACAATACTGATTTTGACTTCGTTTGACTTTCAATGTGTTGTACATTATTCAGAAAAATAGCTGATATGCGTCGTTCGGGAATCGAATCCATAATACGATAATTGGTTATCGAGAGCAGTGCTCCAATCTTTGAGCTATTGAAACACAATGACTGACACATCATTTCTCTTTCTGAATAATATGTAAAACATCGAAAGTCAAGGGAAGTAAAATTTGGTATCATATTGTTGTATATATAGTTCTTTCTATTCGTTAACAATCATTGAATCAGTCGACAGGTTATATATTAAATAAAAATCAATGTAATTGCACATTGTGTTTTAACTATTCCATTGAAACAGATAAGAGCATGAAAAAAGGAAAGATTTTGAACACATTAGGACTTTATTACGACATCATTGGAAGTAGTTTTTCACCTTTTCAAACACCCTATGCAAGTGCGAAACCATGGATACATGTAGCTATTCTTTGAAATAAATTTTCGAGTGACTATTATAGTTTATTCCGTAGTTTGGTTAAATTCTCATGTGTTCTGACTTAGCAATACACTACAATACAGATGATCTGCATAAAACGCATTCACTGCTAGTTTTTTTTATTTGCTTTTCTTTTAAAACAATTGAACACGTTCAAAAGCAGTTTTCTCTTTCGGACATTTCCATGCAACCTCTACCATGTTTACATCCACTGTTTCAAAATCGTACGAAATTTTTGAAAGTTCATTAATAAACACGTATACACAAGGGTCATATATCGCATGGAATTATATAAAAATGTAGAAGTTTGAAATTTTATCGATAATGCTATGATGCAAAAACGTTTCCAATGGCACATTCAACATATTAACTAGGGTGTCGATATGGGTCAGCGTATACGCCAAGGAAGGCTTTATCCACATTCACACCATCAAATATCCTTCATATACTTTCAGTATCAGTACTATTGGAATTTTCTATCTCTATAGGTAAGAATCGTACGTTTTGTACATAAAAACATTAAAAGAAGGTAAAAGCGAAAGAAAAGTCAGATGGCATAGTTAGATTAAAATTCATCAGTATTAAAAGAAAAACCAGTTAAACAGCGAAACGAGAAAAATCAATCAGATTTTAATCGTCATATAAACAAATATATTATCTGCTGGCAAAATACAAATCACAGCAGTATATAGAAGTCTGTTTGCTTGATGCCCTATTAAATATTGAGGTAATTTTTCTGTTTATCGTGATAATGTAGAACCCTTTGCAGTACTGTAACTTAACCACTGATTTGGCACAGACTAGACGAATAAAAGGTTATTGCATTGAAGATAAAAATGCTTGATTTCATTCGTCTTCGATTGATTTTATACACTTAATGTCGTGCTTTGTGTTGTAGACGATGTTTTAAAAGCAATATTACCTTGTGAGAGAAATCAACACAAATGTGATTCTTGTTATGACCGAAGTGTTCCCCTTCGATCATAAGATGGAACAAACGAATAATAAACGCTCCTTTTAGTGCAGTGGTAGTATAGTGGCCCGCAAAAGCAGAGTGACGTTGGTTCGATTCCATCGGAGGGAGATTGTCCTTTTGTTCCGTTCAGTTGTCACACCATCACGTTGCTGTCTCGCTGATAACTGAGTTTCAAAATATGAGAGAAAAGAATACATAACAATTCTATGATGCAGACTTCGAAACAGAAACAAATTGTCTATGTGAGTTTTAACCATCACATTTTAGGTAAGCGAGTGTCTTAAAGTATAATGACTATTTCATATTTTTAGAGTAATTCAGTAGACAGACGGTGGATGTGGCCGGGATATTTTCTTTGTATTGGCTTCACATCCCAAGAATAGCTCCTAGCTATAGAATACTTCAACCTGACAAGCTTTGTTAAGGAAACATTTCCATCTCATGTCACAATTCAGTTACTTTTTCTTTTGTCTTTTTGCTTTTGACTAGAAATTCTGCACCTCAAAATAGTTTTTCTTATAAAGTCATTGCCCATACTTACATCACGAAACTACTTTATCTTATATGACGCGCATTAAATGAGATTGTAGTGCTCGTGTAGATGTTCTTGATAACATTCATGTAAACTAATTCTATATTTATTAACCGTTCAAAACTTTACACAAGTGCTCATTTATGATCGTGTGCTAAATCTTACAGATTGAATAATTAAGAAATTACTAGATGTTAAAATTAACAATTTATTTTCTATTTTAGCTATTTTTCGTACAATTAAATGCCTTGCTTGCAGCGCCTCGTTAAACTCGTTTTTTTTATTGGATTTGTCAGTTGTAGCGGTGCCAATGAGCTTTTAGAACGAATCGAATGTTTTCCAGAACGTGAATCTAACTTTTCCGGGTATTCAAAAGAAGCATGTCTGAATCGTAGCTGTGAGTATGATGAAACAGCACCAACAGATATGGTTCAATGTTATTTAAACTCGAATTATGGATATATCATACAAGGAGATAAACAAGAAACGGCAGGTGGTTTTCAGCTAAGATTAACACGAAATCAGGCTGTCGATAGCATGTTTCCGGATCCGATCGATAATGTGATACTTGATGTCCAATATTATACCAATGACATACTCAGATTCAGACTGTATGATGCAAATAATCCACGTTATGAAGTATGACGAAGAAGAATGTTTGAAAACTATTGGTCAATTTTGATTTTTCTCTTCTAGGTACCGATTCCGTTGAAACCTTCGAACGGTCGAGCTCCATCGCCTAAATATAATTTTACTTATCACTCGAATTCTTCTCGTGACAATTTATTTTTCTTTAAAATAACGCGTCAAGCCGATCAAGCGACATTATTCGACACATCTGCTGGAGGTCTGGTACTCAATAATCAATTTCTTCAGATAGTATCACGACTTCAATCACGGCATGTTTTTGGATTCGGTGAAAATAATCATGACACCCTAAAGCATGATGTCAATGACCGACGACCATGGGGAATATTCGCTCGTGATCAAGGTTAACTGACGACAAAATCTAAGCAAATTTTTTATGAAAAGTGTTCATATTTTAGGTACTAATGAACAAACTCGACTAAATCATTATGGCACGCATCCATTCTATCTCGTCATGGAACAATTACCAAATACAGATCAAGTTCCATCAGGTAACATGCATGGTGTTCTTTTACTAAACTCAAATGCCATGGATTACTCATTCACACCGATGCCATCAGTGACCATTCGTACCATTGGTGGAATTCTTGACTTTTTTGTATTTCTTGGTCCTAAGCCTGAACAAGTAATTCAACAATATACTTGGCTTGTTGGTTATTCAATTTTGCCGCCATATTGGTCGATTGGTTTTCACCTTTCTCGTTGGGAATACCGCAGCTTGGCAGAGATGCAAAAAGTTATAAAAAGAAATCGTGATGCTGGCGTTCCACTTGATGTTCAACATGCTGATATCGATTATATGGATGCTAGAAAAACATTTACAATAGATTCGATCAATTATGCAGGCATGAAAGAGTACTTTTTGCAACTCAACAATGAAGGTGTGAGAACAATAATCATTCTTGATCCTGCCCTATTCGATGATCAAGTCAACTATCAGCCTACGGTTCAAGGAATTCAAGAGGACGTTTTCATTAAATGGAGCAATGGAAGCGAATTGATGAAAGGAGCCTGTTGGCCAGGTGAAGTTTTTTTTCCAGGTCAGTCTCCTTGATTCATTTCTACACGATATTTAGTATGATATTGTGAAAACACTTGTGTTTATTGTGCGCTTTTCTACTAGAGTTAACAATATTGATTGTTAATACATTATGTTGTTACTATCCAAATCTTTAAGATCTCTTTGTCTAGCATAATTTATTCTGAAGCAAAGATTCACTTATGAGATCAAAACAATTTCTCTAGTTCCTTCAAGATTTAAGCTGTTTCCAAAGAAACAAAAGACTATTTCTATCCTCTGTTATCTAGATTACTTCACAGCTCGAACACAACAGTGGTGGTCTCGATTGATCCGAGATTTTCGACGTGATATGGTTTCGTTTGATGGACTGTGGATTGATATGAACGAGCCAGGTACGTAGCTGTTCTTGTATTTTCCCATGAAACGACAGTAAAACAATTACAAATACTGAGTATATCAGCTAAAGAATTTGAATAAGCTTTTGATAATTTATATTTTCAGCTACTAATTCGGCATTGAAAAACTCTAATAAATAATTCTGATAACGTTCTGAACCAATTATTACCTACAATAAAAAGAAACATTTTCAACGAAAAACATTCTCTTTCCGCTCACACTTATCCTTAAGCAGCACCGGATGAGAAACACATTGTTTTTAAGACCTTGTCTTTACAACAGAAAAAAAAGTAACTTCTCCATATGGCGATCACACAAGCTGCATATTAATGGAGAACTCTTCTGAATAGTCATGACTCCTAATGTTTATGTATGACAACTACTGAGTTGAATAGAGCAGTAATCCGATTCCGTAGCGGAATTGCAATCGTTACCGAGCAGAGTCCATCCGGTTTATCGTTTCCCACGGAAGCGATAGAAAAAAGCTTCGAACTTTTCCGATCCCTATACGTCTACGTCCTTTCTATAAGTCTTAATCTTGTACATATCTATCTAAATTTCCTAACCTGTACATCCAAATCTCTGCATATAAATCTTTACGTCTTAATCCTTCCATCTTGNTACGTCCTAATCTATACGTCTTAATCTAATACGTCTTAATCTAATACGTCCTAATTTAATACGTCACAATCCTTACATCAAAATAATACAGATATATCCTCACGCCCCTTCTAGGTTACTCTATCTGACGATCCCATGGGATTTTAGCAATATCACCTAGGCTTCTAGCAGTATTACCGAGGCCGCTAGCAACATCATGTAGGATGCTATCAGCACCTGTGAAGCAGCTGCATTCGAAATTCGCATGTTGAACTCCATGATGGCTAAAGGTAGATGCCGCTGTGTACACAGAGATAAGCGTTGGTCGCGGCTCTGCGGGGAGGGGGGTCGCTGCGCGTCCATGCGCCGCGACACTAAAATAAAGGGTTGTGTGGTTACCTATTGTTTTTCTCAGCATGATCTTGCATTACTTATAATTGTTCGCTATCGTTTCTTTTTTCCTGAGTTTACCTGGGATTTAATTCGAATTTTACAATTGATGTGAATCTCAGATAATGCCTCTAGCATTCCAAGTGAGGGTCAGGGGAGGGGATACTCATGGGTGGACACAAAGATTTAGACGTACAGATTTGGATATGATAAATAAATGTGTACCTAGAAAACAATGACTGCGACCGAAGTATCAGTTTAATGGAGATTTAGGCGTACTTTAGACCCCCTCCCGAAATCATCGTCTGTTTTTCTATCAGCGTTTTCCAGAGAAACCATAAAGCGGATTACATGACTTAGAGAACAATAGTACTAGTTTAGGTATAGCGACAAGCCGAGAAAAATGCAGATAAAAAGATAAGAGGGTAGGAAAAAAGAGATTATTTTCTCCTCATAATTAGAAACAGTGTATAATATGGGTCACTTTTGTTCCAATTTTTCTCTGTCGATCGAATCAATAACTTATTATCATTTTCGAGGTATTCAAATTAACTGCACAATGTTGTCTGTGCATGCCAATAAACTTAAACATAGTACCAATGCTAAAGAAGTGAATCAGCTGTTTGTATTCAAACAGGAGACTATAGAAATGAATGCGTAATAATGTATCCTCATTGTTATTTCAGTTTGCTGATAGGTTACTTTCTTTTTTCTCGTAGAATCTTGACTACCTATGTAGACAAATAATTGGAGAACTTATCTCTAAAGCACTTTTTTTCAGTATCATTTCTTTCAATGTGTCAAGAACTATGAGAGTCGTCATCTGTGATATGCGCAAGAGTTTACTACTGACTTAGAATGTACAGAATCGAAAGTTTGATTCATTGCTGCTTCGTATTTTAGCTGTATTTGATACAAACGAAGAGAGGCCGTGGAACGCCGGTGAAACTGGTAGTAATTATACTTTGAAATGCCCAGAGAACTCATTTGATGATCCACCATATCGTACCATGGCCGCATTTCGATATGACGAAATTAATAATAAATCAATTCGTCTTTCTCAAAAAACACTCTGTTTGTCTGCTCAACAGGGTGAAATCGATTCGAGTACAGGCAAGCACAAATATATTCATTACGATGTTCATAAGTATGAGCTTTTCTCGTTTTTTTTGTGATAAAATTTAACGAAATACACTCTCATAAATCATTTAGTCTGTATGGATGGAGTCAAACCAAGCCTACCTTGGATGCATTGCGAGCAGCTTCTGGAAAACGAGGTTTAGTCTTACCTCGTTCAACATTTGTTGGTTCGGGTCAATGGAGTGGTCATTGGTTGGGAGACAATACTGCAGAATGGCATGAAATGAAGAGATCTATAATTGGAATGACTGAGTTTAACTGGTTCGGTATTCCATTTAATGGAGCTGATATCTGTGGTTATTTTAACAATGCCACAGAGGAAATGTGTACTCGGTGAGTAAATATGACACATTGAAGACGATACATTTGTTATACTAATTGATTTTATGTTTTGATCAGTTGGATGCAAGTGGGTGCATTCTATCCATTTTCTCGAAATGTATGTTTACAACAAGAATATGACATCATATTTGATTATTATTCTTTTTAGCATAACAATCGAGGTACGATTGATCAAGATCCTGCCGCATGGAGTACAACATCTCTCAATTCTATGATATCTGTTCTTCGTATTCGTTATACTATTCTTCCATATTATTATACACTTTTTTACAAAGCACATACACAAGGTTCAACTGTAATTCGACCATTGTTTCATGAATTTCCTTCTGATAAGGCAACTCTGGATATTTATCTTCAATTTCTTGTCGGACCATATGTGATGATTGCTCCTGTCACTGATGAAGGTGCTCGAACTGTTCAAGTCTACATTCCATCCTCACCATGGTACAATTTTTATAATGGCTCAATGATTCCAGTACAAAACCAGTCTATATCAATAAACGCACCGCTAGAGACTATTCCCATATTACTGAGAGGTGGAGCCATTGTACCAACGCAAGGCTTTGCCAACAATACAAAATTATCAAGGTAAATGAGTAGATCACTTTGCTATTCCCTAGTGTCTTCAAATTTTTTAATGTTTAAGAATGCAACCATTTGGTCTAATTATTATACCTGATTTGAATGGAAATGCTGTAGGTGATCTATTCTATGATGATGGTGAATCAATCGATACGATCACAGCAAAATCGTATTTCTTAGCGACATTTAAATGGTCTTCGAGCACGTCTCAATTGACTATGATGGTTGATGTAAACGGTTACAAAGAAATGTCGAATATGAAGTTGAATTCTTTGACTATCTACGGGTTAAAACCAACACAAACTACGGTGCATGTTGCAGGAAAACAATTCTCCACTTCTCTGCGACCCAATACACAGATAGTCGAAGTTAATGACATGGGATTGCCAATGGATCCAAGCCGTTGGATTATAAATGTAGGCAGTATAAACTTTATCAAGTACTATTCATTGTGCCTTTGTTGTATTCTATTTCTATTTCAAGTTATTTTCATTCAACATTCAACATTTTTCTACTAAATTAAAACATTTTTTTAGAATCAACAATCATCATTTTTAAAATGTTCCCATTAAAAGACATACTTGTAAGAAGCTATTACAGCTACCATTTATTTCTCAATAAAGCATCTAATTCTTAATTATATTTTACTCGTACAGATTTCGATCATAGTCGAAATAAATTATATTAGCGCGAAGGCGACAGATGCATTTCAAACTTCAACATGGAATTTACCTATCTCAATCCTAATTATTCATTGAGGAAGCGTAATTGACCTTTTTTCAAGATCTAAAATTTGAATCAGCGTGCGAGGTTTTCTTGAACACTGCATTTCGAATTCTACTAACTTGAGAATAGGATTTGGGTTTTAGACGTGGATTGACAGGAATCTAATGATCGACATCTACATCTGCAGTCAAAATCATCGCGACTACTCACATCCACTTTCGATCAAATTAAAATAAAATATCTTTAATGTTATGCATAACAGCAAGAATTTTTCAAAATTGTACACGATGGTCTGGGTGGCATTAAAATGGGAAAATTGGACAGGTGGCAGGATATATCGTGTGAGAGTGGGGAGTTTTTTTTAAATTTATCATTGCTGTTGTCCCGAATCTTACATTGTACGATAATACTTTGCTCGTATAGACTGTGAAGTGGAGACAATGGTCGAACAAGGCGCGATTGACAACACTACCGCTTTATTTTGCTCACTTATGATAGAAAACACTAGACAGAGTTGCAGACAACTCGAAAGTGGTGCATTCTTTTCTGATCGTGGGTATGTGAGTGTGGCATCATTCCTATCTTAACATTCTGTCTGATGTTTTGAGATCTTTTATAATCAAACTGATTGACTTTCTCGGTGATGGAAGAGAGAAGGATTTCTAAAAATACTTTTGTAATGTAACAGCGAGAAACTGAATACAACAATGAAGTCAGATTCTAGTGGTAGCTTGTATAGCTTACTCATACATACTGGAATTTTCTTTATCATTTTCACTCTGTATGAGGAAGTTCACTCGTTTTTAGGCTGGTGTAAGAACAAGGTTGTGAGATGGTCCCAAAACGGCGTCACTGTTGCCGGTGGAAGCGGGCGAGGTGTTGGACTGAATCAATTGAATTAACCTTGGGGTCTCTATGGGGGTGATGATCAAATTGCCTTCATCGATGACAGAGATAATCATCGTATTGTGGAATAGAAGAAGTTGAGAAATACTCATCGAAAATATCGACTGTCATGGTTTAGCGATGGGCGATCAGAGATTTCTGTACGTCTTTGATTTTGAGAAGCATGAAGTAAGAAGATATCAAATTGGAGAGACAAATGGAACCGTGGTGGCTGGTGGTAATGGAAAAAGTGATCATCTCAATCAACTCAACAGACCTAACCGCGTCTTTATCGATCGAGATCATTCTGCATACGTCATCGATTTTTGGAGACATCGTGTGATGAAGTGGGCCAAGAGTGCGAAAGAAGGCACTGCTGTTCGATTCATTGGCCACCGTCTATGTCGCAGATTGGTTGAACAGTCGAGTAATGCGTTGGTGCAAAGGAGCTCCGTAAGACAATGTGATTATTGATGGAAATGATTCGGGACAACGGCCAAACCAGTTGCCCTCTCCGTTTGGTTTGTCATTCAATCTGCACGGTAATCTATATGTCGTTGACTGTTGGAATCATCGAGTTCAACAGTTGGGAATCGAACACTAAGACTACGTTTGGTTCGTTTGGTTCTTTGCATCTCTATCACATGCACGCACAATAAATACTAACAAATTGAGTTATTAATTCTCTTTTTATCTTGCGCACAAGGTGATGCCGAGAGCAGCGAAGACGACGAGGATGGAGAAGGTGAATCACACCAGAATTGTTTGCCACAATTGCTACTAATCGATGTTGCTTGTTAGTTTTGCTTGCAGATGCACCGACACGCACGCGCTAGCTCATGCGGTTATTAATATTTAAGAGGACTCGTGAAATATGGACGCCTTCATCACGGATGGTGGTGGTCTCAGTGACCATCTGGCTATCCTGGCATATTGCACGTGTTTGGGTTGTGAAGTTCGCCGTGTGCTACAATCACCGGCCAGTAATTTCCCCGGCGAGAGCAAATAGACTCATCCTCTAGCCATCCACAGATCTTGAGGGTGTGCGTCAGTGATTGGGCCAGTACAAGTACACGTACTTGAGTGCAATGTACAATTTCACGTTATATTAGGCTTTGGCTAATAATCGTTTTGAGTGCTGAACTGTTTTATTCATTAATGGCATCTTTAGTGTGAACAAAAATAGAAGCTAGCATCCACATAGGCATATTTTCTTATCGATTGATATTAAAATAGATATAATTTATAGCTTTATAACTGGTAATGCATAATTATAACAGATGAGGTAGAAATTAGAAGATTACGTACATTAAGAGCTGATTGGCACATAATAAATATCTAGTGCTGCGGTTGTTTTGATCAAATTCACAACACCAACTGTTTATTTTTAGTAAATAAGCAACTGTCTTACAACAGATTTTCTTGAATCTTCATCTACAATTAATGGTTAGTAAATGCTGAAAATTATATTTTAAACTTTCTCCAATTGATAAAAACAGAATCAATGAATTATGCAAATTATACAATCAAAATGATAAAGATAAAAATGGTACTTCTACTAATTTCTTGAAACATTTGAAACCTATACATTCTGTTGAATATAAAAAAAGATATACCGAAGAAGACGAATGTTTACCAGAAGAAGGAATCTTTGAAGGTAATGATGAACCAACAGCAGATTTATCAACAACTAATCCATCAATAGGATTCATTCGATTAGATGAATTAGAAAACAATCGCCAAATGAAAAAAATAAACAAAAGATTTAAGATGAAAAACCAGATTTGAATAAAATAAAAATAGTGGTGCTTTAATCGATATTCATCTGATTTTTTATTTCATTTCATGGAATGTAGTACAAATATTCAATCCATGGAATTTATGTTTTGGTTATCATCTTTGAAGAGTATTTGAAAAACGTTTCAATTGACCTATTATTTACAGTTTTAACCCTTTCAATACGGCATGTCATCTACGAGATGACATACAGAACGCAAAGAAATATTTTGCGTTCTGTCGTCTTCTTACACGACGAATATCATATGGTGCGTTTTAAGAAAATAAAGAGGGATTCAAATGATATTGGAACGCTACACTGAAAAAAAAGGTTTCGCATTCGTCGTAATATTCGAAACCCTATCAAAAGATTTCGGAGATCAGTACGAACCCATCACAAGGCTTATCAAACGTTTAGGAATGTTTCTCATGGGTTTTGTACCGATCGTCAAAACCTTTTGAGAGGATGTCGAATTTTTTGCAAAAATGTAAACCCTTGTGTGTTTCGCAGCTACCACGAAACCTTTTTAGGTTCAGCAATATAATGATTTTTTTCAGTATACAGTTCAAATGCAGCTGATTGTGACGACAGAACGCAACAGAGAGAGATATATGTCTTCTTTTCTTGCTCGTACAGAACGAAAGAAAATGTCAGTATTGAAAGGGTTAAAGTCGTTTTGCAATCACCGAAGTACATTCAATAGATAGAAAACACTTAGAATCCAACACAAAGAAGAAAAAATAGAAAATAGGATACCTAAAACGATTGCTTCAAAAATATCAGAATTGTACTGAGGACATTTGTACTAAGTATCCAATGTCTGCCCGGGTGGTTCCCTTGTAAGTGCATACATATTCCGTGCGATTAGTCTTCTAGTAATCAATTATTTACCACTTCCTCTGTTTATTGTGATATGATTTTATCATCACTTCGAAATATTTAGTTCGATAGTAACAATGCAGTGATGGTTCATTTTGGATTTCAATAACTTAGTTCAGATAAACTTGACAATTTTCGAAGCTAGTCCCGGAAGCGCCTCAGCCACATTCGTCCTAGCCATGTCTCTTCATAAAATACTGTCATGAAGACCCTGGATGGATACACAAACATTAGCCAGGTTAAGAAAGTTGGATAATTTGGCATTGTTTGAACTATCAGCTTGAAAACATATTCTACAGTAGTAATTTCACAATAAAAATAAGGTTTTCCGTTAATTCTCATTGGAAACCATATTAAGTAAGGAAGGGCGAAAAGAAGACAGATAATTGGCGGAACGAGTATAACGAAATGTTTTTTGATCAGTTTGAAATATATTCTGATTTTTGGCTTCTGAGTATTGCCGTAATAGTATATGCGTAAGGCAAAACTGACCAAAACGAGTAAAGTTGCTATCAGATAAGTGAGACCTGCAATACCAGTAGCTGTATAAAGCAATCCAGCCAAAATGCTTAAGGTCGGATCATCTGAATTCATCCATTTACATCGGTGCACCATCCATATTACGCTAGTGACACTAGCGATACAAAAGGCGGGTATTAATGTAACTAACGAACGCCATCGAGTAGCATTCATTCTAAAACTAAAGCAAATGATGAGGCCACGTTCCATTGCAACCAGAGCACTTAGACAAAGGCAGAGAAATTCTGTTATCTGATATCCGCTTTTTTCTAGGTAACAAAGAAATGTTTCAGACAAATCTATGTTATTGGCAAAGGGATATGGTTTGTAGTAATACACAGATTGACCAATTACAAGTAGTATACTTCCGACGATAGATATAATCGAATAGATAATGAGATATATGCCGACGTTAGTGCGACGCATGCGCCTACTGCTACAGAATACTGCAAGACTAAGCAGATTGTTCAGTAATGAAAAACATAACATAATTGAATATATGATTAGACGATGATACTGATAATCAAATCGTACCTCCACCTTATCCGAAAGCTCTTCACACTGTATGCCATGATAGCACGGACGACAAACACAGTAACTTTCATTGGAAGTTTGATTTATTATAAATTGGCCATCGTTTAAACACTGAGGAACATATACATACGCTAGTGTCGGTTGATAAAAAGTTGTAATCGATCTTGCCAGCATCAGTCTGAAGCAATATTTCTACAAAGGTTAGTTTCATATTTGATACTATCCCACTTCAGGGTTGTGCATAACCTTTTGTAAAGGAGGTAGTGCTACAGTTTCAGACAGAATCATCAATCATATTTATATCAAATGAAAGCTCGTCGAATGCTGAGTTCACTATTACTAAATCGTGAGAGTCATTAGAACTTTTCCGTATCGAGCTTAACAAGTTTCTATAACTTCGATACCTTTTTGCAGCAAAAATATATTGAAATTATAAAAACTTGTTAAGCTCGGTACGGAAAAGTTCTAATGACTCTCGCGATTTAGTACTAGTGAACTCAGTTTCCGACGAGCTTTCCTTTAATATAAATTTGATTGATGCTTCTATCTGAAACTGTAGCGTTACCTCCTTTGCAAAAGCTTATGCACAACCCTGTATACGGTCATCTAGCTGGAATAGTGTAAAAATTCGGAAATACAACTAAAATACATTTGAAAAGGTTGATCTTCACAGCAACAACAGAAGAATGCTGGCTTTATGGATGACTCAGTTATTGAAGCTAACTCTCTTATTCATTCATTCGTTCTTCTTCATATGATATCTATGCCTTGGTCATATATACCCGTGGAAAACAAGCGCTGCACACTCATTGGGGCCGATATTGTAGCCATGAAGCCGTACTTTTAAGAAAGTAATTGTATATTTTGAAAACCAATAAAAATTTCTATCGTCCCCTATATTTACATTTTTCTTTATATTTATAAAATGAAAAAAGTCAGATGTCATGAGAGCGTTTTTGTCAGCGTAATTGCACTTAGTTTTGAGACTTTTCATTATTTTCAAAACATCTTTTTCGAAATGTAATTGTAAAATCTGATAAAGCGTGAAATTATTTATCGTCCTATGCATTTTCTATCGATTTGGCATGTGCCAACTGAAGAAATATTCAAACGATATTTCGATGACTCAAGGGGGGAAGCGCGAGTTCCGTATTTCGAAGTACAATGAAAGTACAAGGGAAGTACATGAAAGTACGTAAGTATGGAAGTCACGATTTTCCCCCTTGGCACAAGGTGATAGAGGACTTTACGTTCTATCAGATTCTATAATTACCTGTCAAGAAAGATGCTTTCAAAATAACATGAGAGTGACGATAAGGTCGATAGTGTGTTAGGGCTCAGTATTGATATCTGGTAATTGCTCGAATTCTCGTAGAAGTTTGGTGAGTTCTCGAACAGTGAGAATTTGGATATTGATGAGCAGCAGGTCACAAATACAAAGTGCGATATATTGATTCACAGAACATTTATATTTGCTTATCTTGGAAATTTCCAATTTTGCTTTCTCTCTCTCTCTCTTTTTTTTTCATTCTGTTTTTTCTCTATGGATCGGTGGAAGCTTCTAACTGCATCTATATAAATAGAGAGAGAGATCGTTTCTCTTTCATGGTTAATCTATTACTCATAGAATAAACTAGATCCTCTCGCATTGTTTTGCCTTCCAGTTAAACACACATTAAGACGTGTACAAAGTTTGAGAGGAAAGGATTGACGATAATTAGATTCGCTTCAGTCGAGGGTCAAAGGAGCTGCGACAACGAGTGTTATTCGTGTTTAAATAGTGCACATATCCATCACTAGTCTAAAGAAAGTATTAGATAACAAACTTACAGAAGTTCCCAAAAGGAATTGAATGGGTGCAAGTTGGTCAACAGCAACTCAAAATGAACAGGATTCTATGGAGGATCATAGATGTTACATAAAATCTCCAGTGAATAGGACTGCTTATGAATGGCATTTGAATGATCTGGACAATGGTGCATTGAAGAAGGCCAAAAAGATTCACTCATACTATGAAAAGTTACACAAACCAAGGCATTGGCTGGTAAGTCAAGTTAAAACACCTCCAGCTTGAATATTTCGTATCAGTTCCCAATGAATCTGCACCCATTTTTTGATGCGTTTTTGAACGATGGCAATATTTATCTGAAGCTGACAATTCTTTCGTGAAGAGTGTAAGAACTTCTCATAGAAATTTAGAGCAGCATAGACAAAAGCTAATCATTCTGAATACTTGAGCATTAGGGATTTTCCCCGTAGATTTGTATTTGCACCTAAGAGGTTCGGTAGCAACAGAGTCAACAATCGTGTACTAATGCCGCTCGGTTTCCTGTGATCATCAAGTAGATAATAGAGTTTTTTTCGTCAAAAATCTAATACTTGTTGAAAGTTTTTTCATTGTAAGCTCATTGCACTATATAGGGTATCTCTAAAGTCACAGTATACTTTAACAAACGTGAATTTTTCGTCACGTTGTAATTATATGTAGTAACTCTCTTTTACCATTGATAAAGTATTCTTGCAAATGATTGCTCTGAAACATCGCTGTTACACCAGTGCAGAACTGTAGCCTCTCACTAGTGACAAAACATCTTATAGAATGACAATGAACAGATTTAGAACAAAACGTATTGTTTTCTGCGTAATCATATGAAGGATCCTTCATCCATGTTAAAACAATAATTCCATTTAGTTAAAGATGACGAAGAGATTTAAGGTTTTTGAAGTGCAGTGTAAACTTTAGGATATCCTGCAATTTTCGTTTACCTATTTATTAAGATTGCATACATCCTGCGGTCAAGCCTGATAGTAAGAGATTCAGTTGACGCAATTAAAAGAGGCTATCTGGATCACTTATCCCCTGCTAAACATCGTGATATTGGGAAAGTCATTGATGAGAACTTCAAAAATGCTAGTGAAAGCAATGATCCAACGTTTGTACTTCGAGCTTATTCTCAGTCAAGCGAGTTCACCAAACAAATCAATGGTGATATGGCTAAAAATACGTATCATGAATTGACGCTTTACTGTACTCCACTCAACTGCAACGTTCTAGCACGTACACAGGATGGTATTCAAGCTTTTATTACTATATTGTTTCATCCAAGGTTAGATGAACAACTATGTGTAAACAATATGACCGTGTATAGAGGTTTTGCTATTGATAGCGACAGCGTATTAAAAGGATATGAAACAGGTGCTATAATTATAACTGCCACCTTTCTATCAACTTCAAAAGACCTGGAAGTTGCAGCTATTTTTAGAGACAGTGGTGAGGATTCTACAAAGCCTAATCAAATATTTCTTTTGTGTACATATAAAATTCACCATTATCGTCGTACAGCCCTCAATATGGCAGGAATTTCACAATATCCGGAAGAAAACGAAGTCTTAATTTATCCGTATGTTCCATTTCGAATTCTCTCTTATATCAAGAAGACACATGAACCGACTGGAAAGCAGCAAGTCGACGTAGAGTTGGAAGAAATTGGCGATGATTGCGATATTAATAGCAACAGATAGCAAATATGGACAGTTTTTGCTAATGTTAAATGTAAAACATACTGTGTTGGAATCGTTTGAGATTAGCTTTAGGACCCACGTGTGTCAAAATTTATAAAAATAATAAACTTCAACTAGAAAAAAGTGTCTTTTTGTGTGAGAGATGTGGGTTGCATAGATCTTATTGAAAAAGCTTCAGATGGGTCATGGTCTTTCAAGCTGGTTCTAATCGAGGAAAACAACAGTGTCTAATCGAATGATTTGCAAAATTACCTAAAATATGAGATAATATGACAAAGCAGCCAACGACACACTCTCTAAAACCAAAGATACGCGTAGATTACACCAGAGGTCGCAGCAAGGGTGTATGAAAAAGCAGCATTTGAGAGGGAGTTTTTTTTAAAGAAGAAATCTCTCCGAAGTATCACATTGTAGCGAATAATTTCTATTTGATGTCCAATAAGAAATAACAGCGATGAGCTCAGGTAAGTAAAGGAATTTTCGAACTATCATTTGGTAATGCGATGTGAGTACATGCTGTTACAGTCCGCATGTCTTAATAATTCGTTCAAGTCTGAAAAATTGTGCTAATCGATGCGGACCTGTGTCTGACCGTCAATTTATCTGAAAAAATTGTGGTGCACTACTCGTCAAACACCAAAGATAAAAGAGTATCTTGTTTCTTCAAATTGATACCAGATTCAGATTGAATAAACTCCATAAGAGCTCTAAAAGTGCGGTTCGAGTTCAGACTTACAAAAGATGGATTGATTGCGTTCGAAATCAAAAACTTCGATCAACTAGGTTTCGACCAGGGCCCGGATACAAAAAAGTCTAGTAGGTCAGGTTCGGATCCGAAAATTCTTAAACTCAGTGGATTCCATCTTCTTATTTAACTATCGTCATGTCCTGTATGGATTACGAAAATTCGTGTATGATCAAATCTATTGGTTAACAGAGTGTCAGATATTTGTAGCATCTTTTTCACTCTGATTTTCTAGAACAGACAATATGATGCAAAGTACCCGCTTCTGCCTACCACTTTTACCTGGGTGACATGTCGAAAGTGACTCGAAGTTAAGTTCACTGGTTAACTTAACCTTTAACCATCAGGGGTGAGTTCAACTCGATACTATCTTTCTACTTGTAAAAATTATTTCCTCTTGTTGGATATTTCTGATGTATCTCACTTAGATTGAGATGCCTCATCACTTTTTCGATCCAGGTGCACTCTTTCAAATTTCTCTTTCTGAATAGGATTTCTAAGTGAGTTTTTACGTCTTCCATCAAGTTAGACTACTTAGACTAGTTTTCAGTTCTTTGATCAGTGTACACTGTACCAGATGCTTTTCAATTTTGTTGAGCAATATAGAGTTCAATTATGACTTTCGGGTTATTCTACTAGAGAAGTTAAAAGTCGCCTCTGAAATTTGAACTCGATTGAAAAGTTAACACATACTAAAAACTATAGCTCCAAGATTTTGTCTGCTATCAATTGACTAACTTACTTTGCATAGGCAGTTGGGCGTTGATTTTAGATTGAGCTTGAAATTAGCTTACACATATCATCCCCATTCTCGTTCACAAGCACAGTCACTGCGTACTACTCAATGTGAATTACCTTTCTGCTTATTTGCAGCAAAAGACCAAATAAAGGCTGTGCGTGTTTTGTCCCACTCAGTGATAATTGCGATCAAAGATCGATACGCCATCGAAGACCATGGCTATCAGATAGTTCAGCGTAGGGTATATTTCGTCACTGAGTCAACGCCCAGAAATTTTTATTGGTGTCTGAGTTTCAGAGAAACTATCATGCTCATCACAAATCATGCATGCGGGTGCCATGTAAATGGAAGGCCCATATGCGTGCCTCAGCCTAAGTATGAGGGACTTTTCATTAGACTTGAAGTAAATTAACTATTTGCTGGAGTTCTGAGAGTTCGTCCATATGAAAAATGAAACAGAAAGACGACTGTGGGGTCATTAACGCTGAGACACACTGTAAATAGAAAAAAACTCTGGCACGATAATTTTCTCACATCGCAGACACTTTGCCACACTGACGTAAGTAATCTATGAAAGGTCTCATTTTGATTGATAAAAAATATACGTAACACCACTAGATCGAACTGAGATCTACATACAAGAGAGAAATAAAAAAAAAACTTGAAAGAAAAAATATCGAAATTATTATTAATGCTCCTTTGGTGTATACTAATAATATGCAAATACAGAATACAAATCCTTCTACAGATTATTCACGCGGTGCTAATGAATGCGTTTACTGAAGCTGCATTAATAGCACTTTCGACATATTTTACTTCCAACGTATTTTATTTTTACCGGATTTATGCCATTTGAAGCTAGACATGCATTAATATCGTTCTGTGAGATTCCTTTCTCTTATAAGACTATGCACAGCTTACACACGATGTATTGACAATTTTAATTAACTTAGGAGCAATATGAGCAGGGCGATGAGGGTGTGGGAGAGGATGCGGGTGTACAGATGCAAGGGTGTGGGTGTGTTTTAGAGTAACAACCATGACGCGTTTCGGCCTTGCTGAGAAGTCTCATCAGGTAGTTTCATCTTTTGTAACTATTCCAACGATTCGAAAATCATAAATAAGTTACGCATTCTGAAGTTTATCTAATGTGTTCTATGATGCAAAGCTTGGGTGTGGATGTGGGTATGAGCTGATCAAGAGTTAAATACACACCCCACACCCACACCCAAATAAGAAATGAACCTGAACACGATAAAAATCTAATTGAAATGTTTCAATTGAATCATTGCAAGTTGTCGATGAAGCTTGTTTATTTGTCGTATCATTTTCAGCTAATTAACACAAGAAAATAGAACAAAATTATTATATATAGAAGAAATTAGACAATTTCTATTCATTTCCTTTATTCTTTCCAGTAACCGAAAACGACCCAAACAAAACTCGGTTTGATTCTTTCTAATAATAACAAAAGAGATTTTCAACCGAAAAAACTAAATGACGCCTTGATGGTTTCTATAGTAAATTAATGACTTTTTCTACTGTTCCCAGTATCATTAATTCGAAAAAAAGTATTCTTAATTTTCTGTTTCGAAAAAATTAGTTAAAGATTACGATAATTGCAAAGACAACTTTATTTTAATGTTAAAAAGTGTACTAATCAAGTAGTCGTCTCTTTTTCAAAAGAGAAAAGTTTGCCGTCTTACCATGTTTTTTAAGATCGTCCTCGTCTTTTAGAATATTACCCGCATATATCATACACATTTGATCATTGGATGTAGTAAACTCATTGGCCGCTACATCTTTTAACTAACAGAAACAAACACAAAATTAATATTACCAAAGCAAAAATTTAAATAGTCATCTGTTTAACAGTTGAAGACGCATTAATTACGATATCCCTTTCATCTTTTGGTGTCTTCGTTGTTACTTTAAGTGTCAACGTTGTAGTCGCCTCGGAATTTTCATTCGTAACCGGAGCATCATTATTATTACTTGCATCCATTTGTTCACTCATGCTCTTTTTCTTCTTGCTCAAAACAATTAAATCTGCAATACAAGAAGAACAGAAAAATCTTTCAAATCATCCTTGATGCCCACAATCATGACAATTCATGGTCTCACAAAGAATAGAACCAGAGCAAAAGACAACAAACAAACACAAAAAGAAGCCAGATCATGCAATAATCTATAGCCGGATCCACATTTTGTTAACTAAATCGATCTTAATGATCAGCTGAAAATGTGTCCGAATTTTCTTCATTGGAAAAGTTCATGAAATGCGATGGATAAAATTAAATCGTATTTCATATCTTCATCACGACGAACACCTTAAAAAAACACAAATAATTGTGTGAAAACCAATGAAAAGAATGTTCACTCACCGTGAAGTTATAATTCCATGAACCTTGTCCCGGTATCATGAAGAGTCCCAAGAAACGATCGGATACTGGCAATGGAACTTTTCATAGTGCGATTTTGCATATCCTTAAAAAGAAATAATATACAATGTATATATTTTTTGTAAAAATTAAACAAACCTCTTGGATTATTTACACGGTCAGTATTTGATCGATCCCAATCATATCCCGTCGGTGTTAATTTATAAGCTTACGATGAAACTGAACCCGATGTAAATAAACATGTTAAAATAATTGTTTTTTCTCCATCCCATGATGCATGATCATTCATTATTTTAACGTGCGTTGTAATATCTTCCGGTGATAATTGTGGTAATTCATTCGGTTGAGTATGAATACATCCCACCCAGTGAAAAATAATGAGAGAAAAAAAACGGTGTACAACGCGTTCCAATTTCAGAGAAAACGTTTTTTCAAAAAGTCGAAACTGTTCCATAAAGGAATGATGGAGAACGCGTTCCACTTTTCGAGAAAACTGTTTTTTTCTTAAAAATAGTTTTTCATCTTTTCGGAATTCGTTCTGTACCGTTCACATCTGGAAATGTTGAATAACGAATTCCACAATTTAACGAAACATTTCTCGGCCAATTCTGTAAAAATTATTGTCTTCAGAATTGCCTAGCTACCTTAAATTCATCTTTTTTTCTGTTTTGAATTTGTTATACATTTTATTATTCTCTTTGACATACGTGGTTTTTATTTCGTTAGCTGGCTTTTACTTGTAGCTGCTTCGGGCTGGCCCAAGTCGGATAAAACGATCAGTAAACGGTCGTAAACGACGATAATACGACAAAATGCGGTGGTCGTAACGGCTGATCGTTTGCGAATGATCGTATACGATCTTGATACGGTGAAATACAATAGTATTTACGATGATCGTATACGAAGCACCGTAAACGGTATCGTAACGTAACGGCGCCGTAAACGGTTCATATTTTTGTCGTATCTGTAGAATGCTGTCAGCAGACGCAAAAAACACAATTCAACGGCAGCAGCGTTGTTCCTTAATTTCTGCATGAAAACTACCAAAAAAATCTACATGGCCTAAGAAATCGACTTCAGTAAACAATATCACATAAATCCTCGATTGTGACGCCCCTATAGAAATTTGTTTCAATATGAAAATCTGCTTCTAATAAGATTTTGGTACGATTTGAAACACAGTTTACAGGGTTTTACGGAGTTTTAATCGATTTTTTATTCTCCTTTTTTCTTATTGATCCGTTCGAAACAATGATATGTAGAAAATTCAAAAACATTTATAAGTTTGAAGAAGATATTCATTTGAATATTTCCAACTTCTCGGATCTTTGCTTTTCGTGAGTACGCAAGATACTTTAGCAGCATGATGACATTATCGACCTCTCTTTTCATTTAGAAAAACATAATGCCAAGTTTTTTTTAAATACTTTTTCGACTGGAAATTGTTTGTTCTTTCTATTTTTAGATTTATTATACTTTGAAAAATTTATGAAATTCTTTTGTAGAATTGCGCGTCTCGTTGCTTACTTTGTCGACTTCCCATGTAACTTGTCCGCTCATGGAAAATAGGTGAAAGTTTAAACAAAATAATGTTTCTTCTTTTTTGTTTTAGTTTTTCTAATTAAAAGACGCTTTTTTAAAACGAAGAAAAAAGGAATTCGGATATTGTAGTAGTTTATAGGCTTCGCCAGAATACAACAGCAAGTTAATATGACGATTAAGCTGAAAATAAACTACCTATTTATGGCCGTGAATGAATCAAAATTCGGTCCGTAAACGACTACCATAACTTTCGTAAACGGCCGTATGCCTCTCATCGTATACGATACGGGCAAATACGGCTGTATTACTGCCCCTGTTAAAACGGGTAAATACGGTGCCGTAAGGGGCCGTATTTTCATCGTATAAGGCCGTTAATACCCTGCATTCTTGTCGTTTACGGCCGTAAACGACGCCGTAACGATATCCGTTTTGGCCGACCTGGGTTATTCAGAATGGTTGTCGTTTTTTTTCTCTTCAATCAGGAAAAAGAGACACAATTAATCTTGAAACAAAAGCTTTTTTTTATCTACACACTCAATCAAGCGATCTGATATTACTCGCTAACAAAATTTTATTTCTATGAATCACTTGCTCACAACATTTATAGAATAATTTAAAATTCCAATCTCAACTAGATTCTAAACTCTACTGCCACACTTATATAGCAATAAAAGTTCTTTGGCTTTCTTGAGATTTGTAGAATGATGTACAAGACCGAAATTTATTTGTTTAACATATTTAAAACAAAAACATTAACATTTCCTTTACGATTTAATCCCATATTTGTGAAAAAAATACTGCGACAAACATGAGGAAAAAAATCAAGAATCCTTGATACAAATAAAAAAAAGAAACATTGAATTAAAATTGATCGTTTGGAATATCAACATTGATATTATCACAATGAAAATGTTCTTTTTCTTCAATAAATGTAAATAATTGATTCTCTGCCAAGATATTTAAATCTGTATTACCAATATGTGTTTCATTTCGATGTTTAATTAGTGCGAGATTTATTTGTGTTTCATTATTTCTTGTTAATGTGTTAATGGTTAACACCAAGGTCGAACATTCCGGCCACCGGATCCCGTAGGATACTCCAAGGAATATGCGGAAAACACGGGAAATCGCTGGAACATGGGAACAGTATTCCGGTCAAAAATACGGCCGGACTTTTCCGACGAACTCCTGCCAGGTTCCGATGCTTTCCGGCAGGAATTGGTCGGAAATCATCGGAACCGACCGTTTTCAGGTCGAACTGTTTGATCTGGGTAGAGAAGGGGTACTGATTGTTGTCGATGATGTCAAATGAGCCTGTGAATCGTTTGAGGTAACTAGTGTTCTATTTTCAGCTGCATGAGCAATTAATGAAATAGATGAGCAGGAAGGTTGGTTTTTCGATGGTAGAGCTGGTATAAGACGAGGATCAATACTTGTTTTTTGAGATGATGAAGGATGCGGCGTATATGATGTATAATTATTATTATTGGAGAAAATGTTTAAGGTTGGTGTTGCAATCATGTTTTATGATGATGTATTTCCACTAGGTAAACATGAATAAGAATATTGTTGTTCTGGTTGTTGTAATGATAAAGGGTTATGAACCGTCAATGGAAGCACTCGTTTTTGTTTACTTGTAGATGTTTTATACTCATATAATCTAAAGAAAAGAAAAGAATTTTATTCTTAGAAAACATCTTATCTTTATCGTGGTCGTCCACGTTTCTTTTTCGATAAATATCAACTATAATATTATTCAAGAAATAAAAATGAAAAAAAAATAGATTAAATTTTCTTTTACGTGTTAGATCGTTGTTGACGGTGATTAGCTGTTTGTGTTAATTATGAATTTGAATTTGAATGAGACGAATTACCATCTGTTGTTATCGAGTCATTTAAATATATATAATTAAATTTAGTTTTCTTTTTAGATTTTTATGTAACTTACCAGATGTATCACCAGATGATGAATCATTATCACTATTTATGGATATATCTGTTTGACATCCGTGTAACGTATTTCCACTACGAGTTGATGTTGAAATGATTGTTGATATGTATCACTATTAGGATCTATAAATAAGGCAGCTATTTAACAAAAAATACTTTCTTTTGTTGACCTACCATAACATAATGGCGTTGTTTGAGATAATTGTGTATTATCTATTGAATGTTGTGTCATCTGTTAAAATATCTACAAATAAAAAATAGCATAAAGAATTTGGCTGGTTTTTGAGAAAAATGCAAATAATTTACTTCGTTGTGTACCAAATGATGAATTGAAATGACCAAAAGTGGCTGTCTGTGAAACATTTGGACGTGGCTAATAAGATAAACATGTTATCGCGTAAAATAGAAAAATTTCCTATTGTTTTACTTATTGTGTTTCAAGAGAGGTGACAGCAATTTGTTGTTGTTGTTGTTGTTGTTGTTGAAGTGCATTTATTTGTGAAGAATTATATGCTAATAAAAAAGAAAGGATATGAGACAACATTTTTTTCCTTTTATTTGAAAATGAAAATTGTAGTTTTTTTTCGGCAAAATGGTATTTACACGTGAAAGAGTTCTCATTTAAATTGAAATAAAGATTTAAGCAGGTTGCGTGACAGCTGTAATAACAACACTCATAGATGTTTCTTGAACAATTTGACCAATTTGATTTCGAAATGTAAAAGGTTTTTGACGATCATTGGGTACTTGACTAAGCTGAAAGAAGAGCTGTCTTAGATGAAGTAGAGGAAAACATCACTAACTTGAATTTCGTCACCATCGATAGCTAAATATGTCGTAACTCCTTGAAATTGATTCATTGTTGATGATTTTTCACTTTGATCGCCTAAATAAAAAAAAGAAACAGATTTCTCGTTTGTCTTTTTCTCGATCGAATGACTAATTTTAATATTTCTATCTGAACTACTTACCCATTTTATTAATGAAGGTCGTGTTTGTGATTGTAGCAATGTAACCTTTTGTCGTTTATTTTCCTTTCCTGTTGTTATTATTTGACTATCAAATCAAAATAATAACAGAAATGAGAAAGAGAAGAGAAACAGAAGAGAAAGTGAAAGTGAAAGTGAAAAGAAAGCGAGAAAGCTTAGCTAGATTTGTGTGTGCATGCTCGTATGCGAATTTTTCTTTCGCCATTAATGATCGTTAGTATTTTCTCGAGTTTTCAAATCTAACTATTTTCAAAAATGTTAAGATTTATATAGTTAATATTCGAGTTACTGCATATGGATATTTTAAGGATGAACTTGTTCTTGATTTGGACAAAAACCTAGCGAGTTGTTAAATAATCAATTATATCTATTGGTAGTTTTTACCTTCTTTATCAAATAATTCAACATTCATAAGAACTTTCGATGATGCTTTGATTAACAAACAAATCGCTCAACTTCATCATGAAAATAATACTTGTTTTATCATTTGTGCAAGCAATGATTCATTCTTTTGTGTTGTACTAAATGTAAATGTAGACATTTTGAAGGAAAACTACAGGCAAGCCTGCGGCGAAGACTATATTTATATATCTGTAGCAGTCAGCCTATTCTTCTAATCCTTTTAACATTAAAGAGAAATATAGCCTCTATTTATTTCTATACTTCATAAACAGTTGCGCTCCTTCGAATTTATACGCAAATCACTTCAAAGTAACTTCCGTCGGCTAATTTGTCTCAATGAGTCTTATGCTTAAATGAGTTCGTCCTTGTATTGCAAAATTTTCGACTAATTTTCATACACTGCAAAACAAAAAGGTACTTTACGGAACCTCAAAAAAAGGTTTGGTAGACGACAAAAAGCTTGCAAATGTGTTCAAAGTTTCAAAAAACGAATAAAAAACTTCACGGAACCTTTTTAAGTTCCGTACACCAAAAATAGGTTTTGTAGGAAAATACGAAACCTTTAGAGTTTCGTATTAAATATAATAGTTTTACAGGAAGTCCAGTACAAAACCACGAGGTGTAATACGAAACTTTAAAGGTTCCGTGAAGTGTTTTATTCTTTTTTTGAAACTTTGAACACATTTGCAAGTTTTTTGTCGTCTACCGAGCCTTTTTTTTTGAGGTTCCGTAAGGTACCTATTTTTTTGCAGCGTGTGATGGGTACTACTATTGGGTAAGTAATGTTTTCATTTTTAGCTCGATTTAAAACCGAATTGAAGAAAAAAAACATTTATCTAACGTTGTTCTCAAAGTCAATATGTATGACAATCATCAAATTATGCGCAATTATTTTTTCCATATACTCTGTTTTAGATTACTATAGTTCTATTTATTTATTAGGGCAATCGGTTCTAGTTAGGATGATGGGAACAATGTTTAATTAAGTTCTAGTCCTATAGAAAACCTAATCTCTCTGGAAAACGCATAATGCTATTCTAAATAGTTTGAGATCTCGGTGCCCGCAAAAATAAAAGAGAACAACAAAGAAAAAAAATCCGTTCTTCTCATCCAAAATGGTAAGCAGTTCTCTTTGCAATAAAATAAACTCCAATCCACTAATGTAAAGTATAGTGAGAAAGAAATTGTACAGGCGAATCCTGAACACTGATGCATAGAAAGGCAAAAAATTTCATAGGTCTATTTCAATATTGGTGTAAATTTTGAAAGAGATACCGTGTACTATATTCAAAATCGTTTTTAGAGGGGGTGGTGTGAGGTCTTAAATCAGCAATACTTGTATATATAAGATCTCATCTTTGCCCTTTGTTAATTCAATGTTTTTCTTCTTGATCGAACATTTTTTGTCAACTTATATATATTTACGATGCATCAGCAAATAGTGCCTTCATTTTAATTTGAATCAATAAAAGGTGAAGTCGATGAATAAAATTTTTCTGCTTTTCTTGACATCCCTATGGATGATTTCCAATATTTATGCATGTACTACGACAGTTCCTGTGGTCACTGCAGACGACAGCAACAACACAACGGGAAATAATACTATCAATGCTCGACGAAAACCCTATGATCATGGATACGGATACGGATACGGACACGAACACAGATACGGTGCGTTTTTTCTATCTCAAAAGGGCATTCACAAAAAAAACTAGTTTTGAATTCCTCAAAAGAACTCTTCTTCATTAGCCGATTCCATTTTTTATCGTGGGATTTTATCTATATGATTTTTAACAGAGGCAAAATATGCGAGACCGGTTTCTTGTTTCTCGTCAGATACATTGGTCACATTAATCAATCAACAAAAAATTCCAATCTGGAAACTTCGAGTGGGTGATCAACTTCTTACTCTTTCTAGAACTAAAATTGTTTCTACTGAAATGATGATGATGCTTGATCAAAATCAACTTTCATCAGGTCATTTTTATCATCGAAATAATCATACGCATCTTAACTCTTTTTTTTGTTATAGCGATGTTTTACACTATTATAACTGCATCTGGACATCAAGTGAGCTTAACAAGTCTTCATTTGATAGCAGCAATTACATATGATGGACATATTACCTACATACCAGCGAAAAATGTCAAAAATGGTGATAATCTTCGTGTTGTCACAAATGGACGAGTTTATTCATCATCTGTCATTGATATAATCAAGGAAATCAAGTTTGGATATTATGCTCCATTATCAATAACTGGTAATATGGCTAACTCATTTTCTTGGATGTAATTTCGTTTATTTCTTTAAGGCACATTACTAGCAAATAATGTTGAAGTTAGTTGTTTTTCAAATATTAAAAATCATGATATTGTACAATTTTATATGAGTCCTTTACGTTGGTATTATCGATTAAGTCGATTATTGTCAATTGAACAACCATTTGGAAATCATACTGTTAATGGAATACATTATGTAGTATATATGTTGCACAAGATTGCACAATTCGTTTATCCATCTATCATTCAATTATCCTAAATAATGAAGAATATAAAACTATGAATAAGATGCTAAGTTTTATTTTTGATAACATTTCGTCACGATCTTAAAATCCCTACGATTAGACAGTTACTTTATAACGGATAACGAAATATTAGTTATCATATACAATACATCTGTTTGCCCTATCAATTAGCGTTTGTTTTCTTCTCTCAAACCATAAAACCAATAAGCGCTAAGTCAGTGTTGTAAAAAATATTAAATTATTATTTTCGACGCAAAAAGAAACTGCCTATAACGAACCAATAAAAAAATCCTAAAAATCTTTCATTATCCGTTATCAATTAATTGATGATTATCGTATTATGCACACCGACTAATATGGCATGAATATTTTTATTTTTCCATTTCTATCAATAAAATTGCTCTCTCTCTCTCTCTCTCATTTGATTGTATTCCTTTTAGAAACCTGCAGAGCAATATTAAGAATACTTTTCAGAGTACGAATGTCGTAATTATATTTCACCACAAATGTTGTCGAGTACTTTTCGAAAGCGATATATCATAAGAAGAAGAATACAACGCATGAATTGTATTGTATAAAAGAGTTCCCATTTCCATTTACAAAATATCATTCGAAATTTTATATATTGCACGGGCCTATGCATCAACAACATCACGGCCGCATATTCGACTGATCAGACTGCATACGCCATTCCACGCTCATACCGAACAGTTTCTCATTCATTAACCACAAAACTTTGATCATACTTATCAAGGACTGCAGAGCCTAGTTACACGTTTCGGATGTCATAGCTCTAGAAACTATATATTCTCCCACTGATAACTGATCAGTTTTCAAAGAAGGGTATCGATACCGTTTTGGCTGAATTTCGACCAGTTTCGGCTAATTCCGGTCAATTCCGACAACTGGATACGTTCACCAGATTTCTGCGTCAGAAATGATCGACCTGAGGTATAAAGGTTCGGACTGAGTTAAGTTGTAAACATTGCTTTGTGCTTCACACTATTTGCTTGAGACGAAACATAGTGACAGCGCACTGAATTTTTCTTCATACCGTGCGATTGCCAAATTAAGACTTCAGTCCTGTTTAATCTAGCAAAACAGTTTTTCTTCTCGCGCCTCGTTTCTACCATTCAATCAAGGTGATGCTTTCTCATTCGTTGCGTATCATTTAAAAAAGACTTGTCTCATGAGACCGATGTTAGTTTGCGATGGTGATGGATAAAAAGATCTTGATACTTGCGTCACCTATTCAATTATCATTTTTTACTATTCTTTTTTTTTGATAGGCTCCATGTAGTAACGCGTGTTATTGTTTAATGACTCACTGTTGTGTGGTTGGTTAGTCATCACTCACATCATCATGTCATGTCGTATTCTCTTCTCTTGCAATTAAAAGCAAGTCATCTGATTTTTTGCAACCACTCATTCTTTCTGACACTCCAAAAATTCTAAATGTTGTCTACTACGAACAGAAATTCTTTAAAGTTAGGTGACATTGAAGAGAACTTAGTTGCAATAACACCGGTTTTTAACGGCACTACAAATGGAGTATTGCATTTGACAACTGGAATTCTTTATCAAATGAACATCGAACATAGAAAATATGATACACAGATCAAGTATACTATTAATGGAAATTTTAATCTCACTACATCAACAGGAAAGCATGATGATCACAGTCAGTTATGGTATTTGATTCCGGTGACGACAGCTACTGGCAATGGCACGGATGTGCCGCACGTTGGATACCGGATTAAAAATGCCAAAACAGGTGAGAAGAGGGAAAATAGCCAGTTTTCATCATAGAAAACTCTGGTTTAAACAGCACAAAATCTTGTTGATCAATAGATGACGAGATCATTTTACGAAATATAGCGTCTTTTCTTTCAGTGAAATGCAGGCAAAATGGTTCGTCTCCTTAAATCTTGTAATTTTCCAACCTAATTGTTACCACTTTCAGGGCGATCTGAGGTTCTTATTGTTTTTGTCAAGACGTCAGTTTTAGGCACATCGAGTGTTATTTTATCATCAGCATGAGCATGAAAACTGAGTATGAGTTGGTTCACATAAGAAAACACGTCTCCGACAGTCTATCAAAAATGTTTTTTTATGAAAAATCATCGGCAAACAAATAATTCGACTTAGTTTTTTGCCTGGATTCTAACGATGACGAAATCTTTTGGGCACAAAATTGTTTTTCGCATTGAACAACACAAAATTAGAAAAAAAGAAGCAACGCTGCAATGCGCTCCCAACAGCGTTTAACCACATTCGAGAATTCTTTCTGAAAGCACCTTTCCACTGGTTTAGTTAGTCATCGTTTTCAGATTGTGTTTGCGGTGTATTATTTTCAGGCAAAGTTATTACATGTGATGGAATGTGCTGCTTGTTGAATAGCGCAGTGATGTCACTACAATATGATGACCCCTCGAAATACACTGATCTGAAACGTCTCTGGACATTGACTCCTGTCTCCACATCAAAAGACAAATATGAACTATGCAATCAGCACACTCAGCACCATCTGTCATTGGGACCTGTCATTGGTACACAATTACTACCGCCGTATATTCGATGTTCAAAAACGGCTGGTGATCTAATTTCATTTTCAATGCCATCCGTCATATTTGACGGTGCAATCTCGGGAATAGAATTTGATTTGCCATTACCGCAACTATTGGCGGCATCGGCTGACAATATTTTAATTTCATCTCAAATTATTCGAAATCAAACTTCGAATACCACACATAGTGAATGCATAACGCAGAGTATCACTCGTACCAGTACATTTCTTTATTCATTTAAAGAATCATTAAATTGTTTATCGGGAATTTCCTTCAGAGCTGCAATTCCACTTGTTTCAACTGCTGGCGGAAGTATGATTGACATAAAATCGGAAGTAGGCGGGGAATCGCAACAGCAGTGGACAGAAACGCGACAAGAGACTTATTCAATATCGAAAACCATTACTGTGCCACCTAACGAATGTATAGAAGTCAAATCATTTGTCAAGTGGATTGAGAATATATCGGTTACATTCAAAGCCAAAATAAAAATTTCTGGTCGATGTCATCGGCTCAGAGTAAATAATGGACAAGTTGTAGAAAACCAACCAATGGACAGAAATATGATACAACAGTATTTGAAAATGAATTCCTTTCAAGGACGAATACTTTCAGACACAGAAGACGACAGTATTACAGCTGAATTAACGGGCGTGTTTAGAGGCAGTTATGGACTGGGAACCGATACACTACTGAGTAATATATAATGTGTATATCAACGCAATTTTTATGTAAACTGACTACTACTAATAAACATGCCTTACAATTCTCGTTTTTTTCTTCTTGTTTTGGTCTCATAGAAAATACATTGACCTATCGAATGATGTATTTTTTATCTAAATACAAATGATTTTTAAATGAGCATGAGACTGTTAGAAAAGTGAAACGACAGTTATGTTACTGGTATGGTCTGAGTTACCCCGAAGAGAATTATTCGTATCATTCTCATGGGACTCTTACTATTTGCGTAATAAGTCGGCAAAACTATTGAATTTCTTTCAGATTTTGAGCTATTTGTCGCTTGAAAAACGGCTCAGAAAATAAGGATATATGGCATGTTTCCGTTCATTTGATACAAATTATCGCAATCAACTTCGCACACGCAATACCGAGGGCCGCAACAGGGTGCACGTGAGAAGTGCTTATTAAACGAGGTGTGGATGTGAGTGTGGGTGTGGGTGGATGTTTTGAAGCAATAAAAATACATCCTATTTCGCAATGTTGAACATTCCGGAAACAGTTCCGCTCACGGAATCACTTCCAACACAATGTCAGAATTCCGGGAATCACTACCTGCCAATTCCGTTTATCCCTTTCGACTCTATTACGGAATTACAAGGAATTCCGTCCACTTCCCATCCATTCCGGAATTCAGTACACCCACCCTGATATCCACACCCACACCCACACCCACGGAATTGGCGGAAAAGGCAGAAAGGAAAATGTCGAATGGGAAAAGTATAATTAATAACAGTGTCGAAGAAAAACTGCCAGAGAAAAAAAAGTAGAAGAATTTTGAAAAGGAAAACGTAGAATGAAAAAGATGTCTATAGGTAACGAAAATTTTTTCTTTTCATTTGGTATTTGTTGTTAGTGGGATAAGTAAAATTCGTCGTCCTCCTCGTCTATAGTCATAGCTCAACTAAGTGGTGGCGCCTCATCTTCAAAGCAATCAAAGAACACAACAGGGTTTCAAAAACGATTTGAAACGCTTAAAAAACGATTCAACGATAATGAAATCAATGCAAAGCAATTATTGAAGGGATTAGCATTACTACTTGGATCACAAAAAAAGAAAATAATACTGATAAGCTTAGTTTTCTTTTTTTTTATTGTATTTTATCATATGATCGAATAAATTTTTATTTTTTGTTAAAATTATCAAAAAATGCAATTTTCGACATTTACATTTCGACGTTTAGAATTTCTGCATTTTCCTTTTTTTTCGACGTGTTCCCTTTCTACCTTTTCCACCAAACCCACACCCACACCCTTCGAGTAGAATTTTATATTTATTTAAAATTCGATCTTTGAATTATTTATTTTTTAATGAAACCACATGATTATTGAATGCAATTATGAAATATAAAGGGTGGATCAGAAGTCCTGACTCGATGTGTATAACAAATTTTTATATAGTGAAACACGGGCTTGTAAATTTGTCTCTATGAAGAAAAGATGCAGTGAAATGCGCTCTTCAAAATCACTATTGATTGATCTCGCTAGCTCATATAGTAAGAAAGTTATCAGCTTAGAAATATGCTTCACAAAAAATGAAAATTAACCGTGAACCTGGTCTATATGGTTGTGCTTTCAGTAATAGTCCTATAACTTCATGGAAACAATAGGCTTTTCGATCACATTTCGATATGGTGTCCATTGAGCGAAGAGATATTGCTTTAGGGAAAAATACAAGAAGAAAAGGTTCGAGTCAAAAATAATAATAAATTTACTTAGCTTTTATGTTTTTCGCCTTGCGTTTAATTTGCTTAGTTTTCTTGATTGAAGTTTTGGAATTAAAGTTTAAGCATGATTTTGTAGAGAATTTCAAAGCGCTTCTATTAAAAACAAGAATTTGTTCTAATGAACCTAAAGGACAGAAGTTAGAGCAAAATTACAGAGACAGGACTCACGGCTAATTTTCATTTTTTGTGAAGCATATTTCTAAGCTTGTAACTTTCTTACAATATGAGTTAGCGAGATCAATCAATAGTGATATTGAAGAGTGTGTTTTAATGCATCGTTTATTCATAGAGACAAATTTACAAGCCCGTGTTTCACTATATAAAAATTTGTTCTACACATCGAGTCAGAACTTCTGGTCCACCCTTTATACTTATATTGTAGTTGCTCTACCCAACCACGTCCAACATAGGTACTAACGTCACAGTCACATACTATTTTTTTCTGTCTTTCTCTCTTTATCGTCTTTCGTAAATGTGTTTTGCACGAAAATCCCTACATGAAAATATAAAACCAAACAGCATACACAGCAAAATAATACTTGTGATGGGAGAAGTCACACCTGCTCGCATTATACTTGTTGAGTCAGTGCATAGATGTGAGAAGAGTGAGGAAAGTAGATTCCGTTGATGAATTAAATGCTTATCTCACCCACGTTTAAACACAATCTCGAAACATTTCTCTTTTAAACAACTCGGCATATTGATGAGTGTGAATCTTCGTTGTCATGTAACAAACGATGACCAAACAGTCCGATTGAAATAATGCCCTTTTCTATCTATTTTTAGTCTAAAATAATCGTTTTTAATCTTATTTTTTGCCGCTCTGTTTTCCTGGGCTTATTTCCGTTCACATCTTTACTAACATCAACCTTCTCACGATTTCTTACAAATTGTTAGAAATAATTCTTCCGTTGGTTTGTTACTTCTGTCTTATGCTGGGATCAAATAAATCGGTATTCAATGAGTGTTTTCCATGTTTTTGTTTTCATGATGTTTTAGTTAGCCAGACAGACTCGGTACGGAACAAAGCAAGTATTTTACTTGTAATTGAAATGTACTTGATGCCTATACCGGGTGAGTTATAACGAGTACAACTGATGACTGCTTGCACTTGAAAAAGTAGAAGCAAAACTACTTTTGTCCAAGCTCTGTTGCCAGACGCCCTACATGAAGAATTTCAGGCACAGAGAAAAAGACCATGACGAACATATCTTTTCTTTCTGAGTGATATTTAATTAGCGAAATTTTTTTTATCGTCGGCACGATCTGTACGACGCACTCGGGTCGAGCAAAGCTACTTCTTATCAAGTGAAAATGATTACAAATTTTCTTCTCTTATGGGAGTCAATATAGCTGTCAAAGGATAATAAAGGACTGTATGTAAAATTTAATACAGCACTGCTTTTTACTTCCTTTGATTTTCGGTACTGAAATATCATCCAGAAAAAAGGTATATACGTCGTGCTTTGATAGGTCAATGGTTGGAGCGCTTGTCGAAAACCAAGGGAAGTAAAAAAAATGGTATTGTGTTAAACTTTACATATACTCCCTTATAACCCTTTAACATTTATTCTATTCTATTGGCTAATTCAGATGGACTTATTCGACAGAGATATTCGATCCAAGAGGAATTTAAAATGGATTTCATTTAGACTTTTTCTTTCATCTATAGAAGTAAACTTTATGTATGGCAATCGATGAACATACCCATCATCCACTATCGTTTATTTGTTGACAACAAACCTCATGAAGCATCACAACCCATCATTGTTCTGGTTGGATTCTCACTTAAATGTTGCCCAGTACTTCCTGACACGCTTGATCACCTTAGAGTTGTTGAATTATTGAACGTCAAAGAATTGAGTGCGATCTTATCATCACCAGAGTTCATTGCTACAGATAATCTGACGTTGGTTATTTCGGATGGCACAATAGATAGTTGCCGAAATATCTTGAACAAATTCTCTGGTAGTTTATATATCTTTGATACAAAGAGAAGTCTCATTTATACAAGTGTCAATAGTTTACGTCATATTGGTCTTACTGTGAATCCAGTCTTATTCGAATCAAAATATCGTCAACGCATCTTTGAATTAACTACTGATATTGCTCAATACGTGTGGTTTCGTTTTTTCTTCTCTATTTTGTCCAAAATTCATTACACAGACGTATCTAAAAGAGAATTGTTGACGTATCTAAATCATCAGACTGCTCGAAAACAATTTAAGTAGGTAACGTTTCAAAAACTCTTTATTCTAGTGATATAAATATAACTTTTCTTTGCTTCGATATACTACTGATATTCCTCACAAACATTATTCATTTTGAATAAGGATGAACAGCCTGACAAGCTAGTCTCTCAAAATGGCTTGTAGTTGATGAAAATTTTGCAAATCTGAACATATCTCCGTAGTCTTCACTGTAGATCAAACGGATGAAAGAAAAATAAGATGCATTCCTTAAGTAGTATTAGACTTAACTCAAGAGCTATTTCGTCTATTTAGTACAGGTTTGTAAAAGTTATTAAACAAATACTTGTAGTGAATGCTCCCTAAAAAACCTAAAGTCTAAATAGAACTCCAACAGATTTTCGTGATGATGACAAGAAACAATAATAACGCATGACAAATGCATTATTCTTGGTACTAAAATAACTCCGATCCATCATTGAAGTTAACTCATTATATTGGCTATATTGTTTTCCTAGTATTTTATCGAATGTAGTACCGAGCACATGTTAGATTGAAAACTATAAAACCGATTGCAAATCATCTAAATATTGACTATTCTGTTGCCAGGATTATATCTATCTAATAAAGAAAATAAAACGAGCTAGTAGCTCTTGAGAATTTTGTTTTATCTATATCTTTATTTGGAACCACTTTTCTTCTTGTCTATGACATATTTAGATCAATTGATGAACTAATGGATGATATTTCCGATCCAATCAATTTATACACCATAACTGGTCCGATCTATCCCAATTTGACATCGATTTTGCCAAGCAAAGATATAAACAAACTTTTCTCACTTCGCTATGCTATCAATCTTCTTAACTCCCAATTAGAGAAATCTAACAGCGAAAGAGACGAATCAGTGTGCCGACCATTTTCTCTCTATCGTGGAATTCAAAGCAGCATTCAAATCCTTGAACAAGTGAAGGCTGGAGTGGGTAGTATTATTGGTAAAGCCTCGTTTGGATCGTTTTCTTTTGACGAAAACACAGCGAAATCCTTTGCAACAGGAGATATGAATCATGCATGTAAACAACCAGTCCTACAAAAGATTAATATTTCTACGAAGTCTGGAGAACGACTTCATAGAAGTTTATTTTGCAAGAGCCAGTCTTTTGGTGACGTTATGATTCTCCCGTATCAGTCATTATTTCGAATTGTAAAAGCAGAACGCACTGAGCTATTCTGGTATGTTGAATCGGACCTTGTTGATGCCGATGATGAACAGTTTTGCTCAGTTATTGGTCCATGGGCAAAACTCATTAATGAAGAATGTTTGTTCAAAACTGGCATGCAAAAACCGTACTTTCGTTATTTGGATACGAATAGCACGTCATTTCTAAAATTTCAAGTGCTCGTCGATGCGCTTCTTCGGCTCGATGCTAATGAATTTGCCAAGGAAGAGCTCATTGAGCTATGCCTATCAAAATATGCCAACGACAGGAAGACATTAAACCATATTGATGTTTTTGCACAGAACTATCGAGGAGAAGATGCCGCATACTGGTACAGTCGCGATTGGTTCCTCTTCCGCACTCTTAATGAAGCTCTCCATCAGGAGAACTATGATACAATCATCAAACTACGCTGTTTTATACGCGATTTACATAACCAATTGGCCGCACTGCAAATCGACTATCTACAATCGTTACCGCACAATCAGCCCAACATTGTGCTTTATCGTGGACAAACAATTCCTCGTTCAGAAATTGAATGGCTGCAACGATATCAATGCAGTCTTATTTCCATGAACAGCTTTCTCTCAACCACCAACAGCTACCAAGCTGCTGTATTCTTCTCTGGTGAAGGTACAGACGATGTTGACCAAGGATATGTGTCTGTCATTTTCGAAATATTGGTTGATACACGTCTACCGCTCAATGTTCCTTTCGCTCGAATCAATTATCAAAGTATTTTTCAAGATGAAGAAGAAATCCTTTTTTCCATGGCAGCTGTCTTTCGCATTCAAGATGTTGAGAAAATTCACGACAATTTTTGGTGTGTAAAAATAAAACTTGAAAAGAATTTGGACGATGAGCAGTGGCAATTACTCACCAGTCACTTGAATGCTTGAAATTTGCTTTTGTATAATATTTACAAATCTCCAGTAAAAAGTATTTCATTCAAAAAATTATCATATAGAGCACTGTTTTATATGAGCACATTTTATAATGATACCAGCTCATCGTTTTACCTATAAAATACATGAGCTGTAACAAATACCAAGAAAATTAAATCATACAATGAATACAATATAAATACATCATTTTTGCTGGAGAGATTCATTTCAGAAATAAAATATCCAAGACAGAAAAAAAACACAAAATTGTATTTGTCTGTAAATAAAATTCTGTTCATCCCACCAGAGACGTGCACAAGGACAGGACCGTCCTGTTGACCTGTCCTTTCATATCCTGTGCACGTCCCTGGGTCCCGCTAACAAAATATTTTCCAGATTATCTAGTTAAATGGGTGGGTGTGGGTGTGGGTGAAGAAGAAGAGAAGATACACCCACACCCATCCAAAAAGTCTTTCTCTCTCCTGAAAAAAATAATAGCGGGATCGTGTTCCCCGACCTCGATTACTGTCGGTCAAACTTTACGGTGCGTTTCTGTGTAAGAAGGTTAAAATAAGTCCTTTGTTATTCAGAACGAGCGAACGCAATCAACTCATCTTGGCGTAAGACCCTCCTTTCAGTAGAGGGAAAACAGGCTGACTATAAGCACAAATCTATCGTTCGAATTTTATGTAAAATCAACACTTAAGCTGTAATATAAAAAAAAACATTTATTGGCAAAGTCGTCTCTGTTTTTGGCCGTGTTTTTGTTGTTATCAGCAAATATGCATCCGCCACACACGTGCTTTTATTTCTGGCATTTATATGTGTGTATTTCGCTGTTCTTTCATGCTTTTTTCTTTAACAACAAATTTCGTTCCAAATGGTTCGTGTGTGTGATGGTAATAGCTGATTATCAAGAGTGTGAAGTCACAAACAAAAAAACAAGGTATAAATACTATGTAGCTCTGCCTAAAAATGATAAGAAACAGGCTGTCGATCTCATTGACAAGTTCGTTGCATTTTGTTTCTGATTCATGAATACTGACACTCAATCATTTAAACTAGTTTCGTGCTGGCTGATGGATCCTTAACGGGTGAAACAAACTCTTTGTATCACTTTGGATATTAGTAGAAAGTCTACTTTATTTCGATGTACTGCCAAAACTTCAGAATAGACGCGAAAAGAGTGTTCAAAAATTAACACAACTCATATGACAAAATCAATACCACGTTGATAATTGTCAACGCTATGAATGTGTTTTTGCATACAGAATGAAACCAACTCTTGTCAATCACTTGAATCTCTGATTAGATTTTACAATGTTTCCAGAAGTGTGAGTTATCAACGTGTTAGCGATTTTTCCTACTATTTGTGTTCATTTTTGAACGCTCTTTTTAAATCTATTCTGAGGTTTTGGCTAATTCAAAATGGCAAGTCTCAAATTGAGTTGAAATTGAAAGCAATTGAGCGGAAAAACATTGAAAATTCGAATTTTAGCCAATTCCAGGTCAGTTTAGTTAAGGACACTATTTTTGATTACGTAAGTTAAAAGATTCGATCAAGTTATTGGTATCGTTACAAAATTGATCAGGTAATAGTGGCATTGCTTGTTTACCGTGCTTAGGGGTGTCAATTTACAGTTTATTTAATTTAAATTTAACTTCGTGAAAAGTTAATTTAATTTTAAATTTAATAAATTGTTTGGATGGACACACATCATTTCTACGAGAGAAATACGTGACTTTAACAGTAGTAAATACTAAATGAGAGGAAAACCTAGTATTTCAGGTTAATATTTATTCATAATAGTCAAAATTTTTCTACAGATTATGCAGGATCCGTCATCTTTCTTCTTCAGAATACTGGGATACTCATAAAAACATATTTAATAGCACAATTCATAGAAGAATGACTAGCTTTAACTTTAGAAAACAGGAAATATACTCAAATTTGACTTTAAATAGTAGCAATCAAGTCAAAAACTATGTTTATCTGCTAGCTTTCAAAATTTAACTAATTTGAATTTCAAACAATTTAATTTAAATTTTTGAAAATTTATTTCCCGATTTAATAATTTTTTTTTAATTTAAATGTGGCACCCCTAACCGTGCTGTAATTTTCATTTAATATATGTACTATCTGTTCCATATCCAATATCTTGAACAAAAACGCTCGGTAGCTTTAGCTATGTAACTTATATACATAAACTAATGCAATAGATATGTGAAAATAGTGTCATTCAACTGAGAGAGAAGTAGAAAAATCAAGCCATTTACTTATATGAGATTTATGTAACTAAAAGTTGATAAAGTTCACTAAATATTAATGTTTTTTTTCTTGATCGATTAAACCTAAGTTCACGTTAGATTGTTTTACTATCTGACTAAGTTCATGAATGAAATTCTTTTTTTCTTCAAAAACGTTGAAAACTATGGAAAAAAGTTCTATATAATGTTATCAGCCAGTTGAATATACAATATCTTATACTGTTTCAAAACGCTGCAAAGCTCAATTTTTCACTTGAATATAGACAAAAGAAGTGATGACTGAAAAAATCACTCATTTAGCTAATAGCTATTTTCGAAAGTAGAAAACCAGTATTTGCTGAACCAATAGACTAGTATAATACTGATACTGGTGCATCCCTACTATTAATATATTACCGACTAATGTATATTTTGTAGTTCTTCAAAGAATTTGGGTCATGTATGTAGTTATTATATCAAGGAGGAAACGGCGGACTTGAAGTAGAAAAATACGCCAAAGTACTTCAAAGTAACTTCAAGTTCAAAAATTCGCCGTTTCTCCCTTGTATTATATAATACAAATGCAAAACGTAATATTTTAGTCGGGGTTTACAATTTTTTTTTTACAATAGAATCCACAAATCATGTTCAATCCAATAACCAAATTCTTTGATATATCGGAGAAAATCCTGAAAGTACTGGATAAACTGAGGATACTAGCAGCAAAACTGGCAGCGGCGCAAAAAAAAGCAAGGGGGTCCGCAATAGCAAAAGTGGCAGCGGCAATAGCGGCAGTGGCTGCGGCAATAGCGGCTGTGAGCGCAGTAGTGATAATACCGGAACCAGTAACCAAATCTGCAGCAGCGGCGGGGGCGGTGGCACTGGTAACAGTGGCGGTGATAGCGACGGTCGCAGCGCTGGAGTCATTTAAGGAGACTCAGGAGGAGAGAGAAATAATCATGGAGCAGCAAGAATTAGAGGACGCATTGGAGGAACTGAAGCAAGCACTGGCGGAACTGAAGGAGACATGTGGTCTATAAACACTTATGGTCAATAGATATACAATTTTTTAATTTTATTTTTCAATTACATATCACCACCCAGGTCGAACATACACGGTCGTATACGACGGTAAATCGCCGTATTTGGCCGTATTACATGGCTCCGTATTACGATCGTAAATCTCCGTGCCGTATAAGTCGTATTACGACACGGAGATTTACGATCGTAATACGGAGCCATGTAATACGGCCAAATACGGCGATTTACCGTCGTATACGGCCCGTATTTCACTGTATACGGACGTCGTAAAGCTCGTCCTGGGTAGTGTTTATTATTCGATTCAAAATATACTCTCGCGCTTTTCCCCCCAATATTCGCTCTGTCGTCTCTATATTTCTCTGCCTGAGTGTGGGCGTGGATGTGCCTGTGCATGCTGATTTCCTAAATAGTTATACACACCCACACACCCGCTTACACCATGTCACCCCACACCCCAAGAACACCGAAAATCTTTTTTTTTTTATATGATTAATATCATTTCTTTTTTGTCAAATGATAATTATTCAAAAGAATATAACAAAAATATTTTTGTAATTATAACATACAAATGGATAGGGTCTATATAATATTCATCACTATTCTAATGTCCTATCCCAAGTGATGCGTTGTTTTTTTGATATCGAACGTGAAACTCTATTCGATTTTAATATTGATTTTGATATTGAACCATTTGTATAAATTGTCGTTTTATCAATGTTATTTGTTGATGTTGTAATTGGTGATGAACATAGAGTATTGATTTCTTCCGGTGTCATTTGCCAAACCATATTAGCAAATGTACGTTTTTCTGTAACAAATAAATGTTGATTGGCAATCAATTGTTGTAAATACGGTGAGTTTTTATCAACACCAAATTGATTAGCAATTGTATTTGCTAATAATTGTTTATCAATATTAAATAATGGATTTGTTAAATGATCAGCAAAAAGAATTTGTTGAGAATATGTTTCTTGCGTATTTTCTTTTGATTGCTGTGGTATAAGTAATGCTATTCCATTGGATGATCCAAATAATTGTGAAAGATATTGTTTTTGAAGTTCAGAATTCTGACCTTCAGGAATACTAACATAAATTTGATGATGTTTTTCTTGTGAATCATTCCCATTAGCAATGGGAATATTATAATATGAACCTTGATTTGTATTCATACGAATGATAACAGGAAGATTTTCATAATGATGTTCAGGAGCTGAAATAGTATCGTCTATTGGTGAACGAAAACTTATAACATCTCCATTTTTCGCTGATAATGAAGAAGAAACCTTTGTAGAAAGAACTTTTGGTTGTTCTTTCTGAATAATAACAGATGTCCTATTTAAAGATGAATCTTCTTCAGCAGAATTTGAAATCGATTGATTTTTATTTAATGATGCATACAATGTCGAATCAACAACATCAGTTTCAGATAATTTTAATATCGGACGTGGTTTGATTAAAGTTGGCTTTCGCTGATATTCTTCTTGAATAGATGGAGAACATTGTCCATTCGATGTACCATTGATTGGATGGAATTTTACTAAAAGAGCTTCTAGAAAAGAAAAAAAAATAGGTCATTAGACGACTATTCGACGTGATAATCCGGCGAACAATGGTGGTGAGTCATAGTATTTTTTTTCTCACAAAGGATCTATAAAAAATTTACCTTCATGATCGTTTTCATTATTGTTCAAATTTGTCGACGACGAATGTTTTTTCGGTTGACTGTTTTTATGTTTATGATTTTTTCCCGATGTCTCTTGTGGCTTTGAAATATTCAAACTAAGATCAGTTTGCGTTTCAGCGTCCATATCCGATTGTAATCGTACTTTCGAAAATGATGGCGGTGAATATAGAGTTTCTTTCGAATCGTCAGCAAATGCAGAAAATGGACTAGTACTTGTTGCACGTACGGGTGTGAATCTTGCTTCTAGCTTTAATTCGGCTATTTCACTTCGTATTTCTTTTAATTCACGCATTAACTCAGCAACTAAATCCCTGGAAAACTGATGACTTGGCGCTGTTCGTTGGTGATCGTCATTGTAGTGATTATCGTATTTTATTGAATTATTCGTTTGTGTATCACTTAATACAGTTGTTTCACTATATGTTCGACGATTATACTGATTAAAACTTCGGTTCGGATCTAATGTTTTTCTTGGTTCGAATTCTGTGCGTGAGGTCCCACCAGCAGGTGAACGCGCAGGACTTACTTGTGATGAACGATTTTTAGATTTTCGTTTAGGCGTTCTTCTGTCGTTGTCACCATTGACATTTTCGGTTGTGGGAGACTGCTGCATGAATATTTTCGATTGATTTCTTGAAATCGGAGGTACTGATAATTGAGCGAAAAATTGTTGTGCTCGCTGAATGAATAGCTGAACAGATTCGTTACCGCGTAGACGAAATATCGATGCTGAAAAAGGTCCCGATGACTGATAATACGATCGGTTGAGTGTAATGATCACAATTATGTTTGTATAGTAGGGATCACGCCAAAAGTATAATAATTCGGATATTTTATACATCCACGATTGATTAGGGTCTGGTACATTGTCAATAATTAAACCTTCGTCTGGTAAAGATAACTTTACTTTCAATCCTATGAAGAAAAAAATGTGATCACAAAGAGAGAGAGAAACAAGTATTTTCATGGCAACTTACCTTTTGATTTCGGCCCTGTTACAACTCTATCAACTGTTTGACGTAGTGTGTAGACTGCATAATTATCCAAATCGAATCGATGAAAGAAATAAGCCGAACATTGAATTGACGGCGACGAAGGTAATGGAGTTGGGATAGGTGCGTGATGGTAACTACTATTATTAGTATTGCTATCAAAGTGTTGATTGGTATTATCATCAATGAACAATGCAGGCGATGATCGCCTAGATCGATGATGATGGTGACGATGATGATTATGATAATTTGTTGGCTGTTGTGATGTCGAACCGTTATATGTTTTTGTTAACATATTCTAGAATAAGAATGACAAACAAATAAACTTGTTTTTGGTTTTACTCATTTTGCTGCTTGCTTGTCCTATGATGAGAAAAATCGCTCTAATTGAGTCTCAACTTGTCTCATCACGATCACATCCTAACTGGTTTCGTTTTATTGCAAAAGTGAAATATGAGAAAAAGGTCAATAATTGTTATGACAAGTAACATTATTCAACGACGTTTAGTGTTAGTTATCGAAATGAATATAGGCGATGGCCGTGAATGCTGCAAGACACTAAGGCCGCGATTAGTCTGTCGGAAATGATATACAAGATTCATTTAAAATAGTTACAACTCGCCGAGTACTGATGATAGCTTAGGAACACTTTTATTTAATAGATTTATGATGAAAAAACATCTTTGACTGCAATAGATGTAGACAGTTGAATATATATAGAAGTATGAAAGTCACGATCGCGAGAGAAAAAAACACGATCCACTACACAACTCAATTCTATGAAAATTAACAAGTATAATTATCAATTGGATACACTAATATTTGTTATTCTCGCAGGTCTCTATCTTATCTTGTCGTTATCATTTTCAAAATTATATGGTAGAAAACAAACACTTTAGTTGGTTCGCTCAATAGAAGGCAACCTCTACGACTCAATTATGACATGCTGAATTACCTTGCGACAAAAAGAGAAGAGGTGAAATATGGTGGTTATCTCTGCTCGATTTTGTCTTATCGTAAAGACAGTAAGAATGATCAAACGTGTGTGAGAAAAAAAAAACGCCAATCATTCTCCTTAGTCATCCCTATTTAGTGTTAGATGAAAACAAAAGGAAACTCTAACGACCAAGAGAAAAAAAGAAAGAAAGCATTTAGACATGAAAAGAAGGATGTATAGACATTATCTTATGTGTCGTATAACATTCGTTTTCTTTTTTTTAGTATTTCGTTTCATTGGTCGTCTATCGATACGGTTCGGCGGACACAATCGAGTATCCTTCGAAGTAAAATTTATCATAGAGAATTGAACTTAAGCGAATTGACCGGTTATATCCATCAGTTGCTTTAGACGTATTAAGATATGTAAATTAAAATTTATTGTAAAAACAATAAATCACAGGCCAAAAAAAATTGATAACCGCATCGTGTACGTGTCTTTCGTTCTCGCAACCTTCATATTTGAATAAATAACCATAATTAATATTTGCCGCACTCATTAATATCGTTTTTTCGTGTGTGCATGTATAGCTCTGATGATTTTGCTTGGTCGACACGTCGAGCACGAAGCTATTTCACGGATCAAGTTTTCGTACTGGCAAGAAGAAAATATCTCTACGATAATATAGTAGAGCGAAATCTGTCAACTGTATGTTTCTTAATGAGAAGTACGACTACATATAGAAAACAAAAAATTATTGATATACATGCTTGCATCTTTATAAGTAGCTATCAGCCGACATAATGATGATTGATTGGTAATAATCACTAAATGAGAGAAACCATGCACAACGACAAAATATAATATAAGTGATAATATTTATGATAGTACAGAAGAGAACAACAATCATCATTCATAATTAAGGATATAAAAAAAAAGAAAAGATTCTAATTTGAATGTAACTTTATAGATCATTTACTACATTGTCACAATCAATATATTATAATAGAATATTGATCGAATTCTCAAGGGAATCATTGAATTGGCATGATCATAACATCATTCGTTGTATTCTATTTTTGCCCATGTAATAGAATTCGAAGGTTTTTCTCATGAAGTGATTCGAAAAATGATCACGAAGGTCGATTGTGTTGAGCCTACAGTTATATTGTACTTGTATCTTTGTGATAGTGATCTTTCAACCGAAATCTTTATCTTTATAATTAATTTTACAAATTATTCTCGTACAAAATAATCTAATAATTTTATTTGTAAGATCAAATATATATATATTTACAAACACTTCCAAAACATTATTTTCATGCTCTTAGCAAAAACAACTGACAACAGAAGAAGAAAAAATGCTTTCATGAGGTTCTTTTGTTTCCCGATGGTCATCGTATATTTACCATTGAGCAGGAAAATTACACAAGAAACCAAAAAAACATTGACAAAATAAAGAATATCACTTGCATGATTGAAATATGAACGACACGACATAGTAAATTAATAGCATTTTGCTCAGACATTACACCACCATAAATGTATACAAAAATAGATTGAACGAAGAAAAAAAAGCAATAACATAAAATTATAAAAAAAATAAACGAAACGTTGGAAGACAAAAAAGAATGCTGCTCAATTTTAAATATGCGTATGATAGAACATCGCGTACTGAAATTCTTATATGCTTTTTTTTTATAGAAAAGATGGCACAGCTCTTTTCAATTTTCTATTGGTTACACAACCATTAGTAAATATTTACATATTTTAAATAAAAATGGAAAAGGAAATTGCATTGTTTTTTTTTGTCAGCTGGTTTTGCTGATGTTAATCGTTCTTGAGATAAAGACACATTATAAACGTACGATTAGTTAACTAACAATAATAACTGAATCAGAACATGGTTTTGTATCTGTTTTACTTTTTGATGTTGATCCGCAGTATGTATTTGACGCTGATCTCGTACTACTGCTGCTTGTATTTATCCCTGAATTATCATCATTCATGTCACTTGTGCTTGTTGCTGCTGGTGTTGTTATAGTTGGTATTATATGCTTTTCCCATTCTCTTAATTGGATAATAAAACTTACATTCGGATCAACAATCTTACGTAATTTGCGCATTTTATCAAATGCTTCTTCTAAGGTCCAGCGATTTTTTTTCATCATATAAGCGAGTACCAATGTTGGACTACGACTGATGCCAGCTGAGCAATGAACAAGAACATTATTGGTTTTTACACGTAATGCACTATCTAAATTTTGAGATAGAGAAATTGAAAGAGAAATTTAGAAAAATCAAACTAACCGATGAAGTCTATGAATTCGTCGAAATGTTTGCGAATGTTTTGTGACGGTGAATCGAGTGCAGCTATTCGCATGTATTCATATTTCTTGTCCCAACAACAAGGTAAATCCGGTGTACAATTAACGATATGAGTAATGCCATTTTGAGTCAAACGATCTCGATCCTGTGCATCAAAAACATTACCTAAAATACCATTGGATTAATAATAATAATAAAATTGTTTAATGTTTTCGTTTTTTTTTTATGATAACATTTAACCGTAGACTTTGACAAAAAAAACAAAATAAACTCTTTTCTTGTTATCTTATCGTTCGACCTTCAATTACTCAATGTTTTCTTAGTGAGTCAATTGTTAATGCGCACTTTTAACCAATCGATATATTTCTTCTCTTTTACGTCGTTTCAAATGATTTCAAACCTAATTGATACATACCAACAAATATATGTGGTAAAATTTCAGACATGACAACATTTTCTTTGTCAATAGCATCGGGACTTGATGGTGGGAGAATGAGATCTTGTTCATATTTTTCTTTAAATATTTCCGATGGACATTCAATCAAATGTGGATATTCAGTTTTGACCGCATCCAAACCTCCTACGAAAAAGATTCAATTGTTTTTTACTGAACATAGAAGTTCACATTTGTTGCGTACCTTGAATGATCTGAACTTTTTTATTAGATTTTTGTGCTGCTTGTACAACAAGATTAATCGGTAGAGAATGTATTTTTTCTTGTGCTTTTACATCAGTTGATTGATCATAGAGAATAACAGTATCGGAACCGTTTAATGTTACGGATAGAGTTGGCTCAATTTCGTCTAAACGTTTTGACGCCAATTTTCTTGCCATAATTTTCGTTCGACAATTTATATTATGCGATGAACGTATACGTTCGGAACCGAAGTCCATTTGGGATCGGCAATCAAATATAGGCATTTTTTGTGAACTATTATTTTGAAAAACGGTTTCAACAAATTGTCTCGGGGTTATAAATGCACAATGGCCAGTTGTAATCGGCGGTGAATCATCTGAACAGCTATAGGCTTTTGTTAAGGGGGCTCGTTTAGTAGTAGGAGTCGTAGTCGTAGTGGTACTCTTGATAGATTTATCAATGTTAGGTAGTGTATTCATGGCTTTTTCTGCCAAAACAGAATCATTTTGAATTCGATTCATACCTTTCGGTGGAAAATAAAAAATAGAATTTAACTTTTTTTAAAATTTACTACTCACATTAGAATTGTTTTTATTTTATGCAAAAAAAATGAGTTTTTCTTTCTTTCTGTAGCTTCTTCTTATTCGCTTTTATTCTCTTCTTTTTTTGGCATGTTTATTTGTTTATTAAGAAGCTAATACAATATACGCATCGACATCAAGGGCGACGGAGAAAAAGAAAATAAATATAAATAATAGTAATAAGATTTTTATTTTTTATTTTTATGTCCCATTAATCATATTATATCTATTGTTAATTTAGAAACGCAGAAGGATCTCGTTTATTCCTTAAATAGAATATATATTTAAAATAAACAAATTTATCATAGATGTCGTACATTGCTCGTCGTAATTTAGGATTAAATGAAGAAGTGTTATTGAGATTCTTTTTAGGATATACCGAAAATTGTTCTGAAAATTTCTATCGACTAAAACAATATTGCAGTTTCTTTTATCTGAACTAAACTATGACGATTATGAAAATCGAAAAAAGACTTTCTACAAATATTTACTTTGTGAAGTAACTCTTACATATACGACTCCAGAAAAGCAGTCGATAGCGATAAATCTCAAGTGCTTATGTGCCTTATTTCTCCGCCCTTCTTTTCGTTTCAAAGGAAACTTTTCAAGTTAAGGTATCACATTTCTTTGAAAGAATATTTGAAGGGTATATATATGTTGATAACTCTGAAAGATGATAAAAAAAACACTAGAGCTTTTTGGATCAGCAAATCGTTGACTTGAACTTTGCTTTAAAATATAATTAGCTAACTGAAAATAGCATTCATAATTTTTGATCTATAACCTTGTTGATTACATTTTCATTTGAAAATGATTTCGATTTTATTATTATTATTATTATGAAACTAAATTAAATTTTTTAATTGCTTCACCAACATGTTATAATTTGTATATGTACAATGCAAAATATTGATCCAGTACATAACAGGCAATTGATAAATCGTTAGATTCTTTTTTAGCTCATTTATTTTGTTTCATGACGCGATATTAAAAATATAAAAATTCTCTATCGGACTGTTCGATTGCCTCATCATAAAAGCCTTGTTTATTCGTCCTATTAGTCCATATACTTACTGGTAAAACGATGAAGACAGCGATAATGTATGACTATACGCGGTGGTGCTTTTTTTATGTGCGATATATATTCGCTTGTCCAATAAAAAACAAGAGGCGGGGAGAGATGTGAAGGGCTTTTTTCTCCAGAAACGCAGAAAAATAATTTTTTTGAATATAATGTTGTTACTTCAGTTTTTTTCTTTTGCCCGTTTCACGTTTCACGCTTCATGCTTATACTTTACTTTTTTTGTTTAAAAAAACATGCTACTTCAATCGTTAAGTCTTCGATTCAAAAGAGTACCTAGTTTTTTCTCTTCAATGCGACATTGAATCGAACTGTAAGAAGAAGAAAATGTAAAAGAAGAATTTTTTTAAAACTACATCATGTAACAGAAAAATCTAGATAAAATTCGAAGGTTCGACTGGGTTTAATTGTACGTAAAATGAACTCTTTAAAATATTTTTTCCATAGTAACTAACTCGTTCCGGAATTATCATTACTATGGAAAGAAAAGAATCATATTTCTTTGTACATACTATTCACTCCTACTAAACAATGACAATCATAAAAATCTCAATGTTGAAAAAGTAGTTACTAGGATAGAATAAACATACAACTTTTATAACCATGGTAAATCTATAGGGTTACATGTTGAAGGACAACGACATAGTATCCGTGGAATAATTGTCGATGAAGATTTCTTTTTTTATTCGTTTATACAACTATTGTTGATTTACTTAGGAACGAATGATGACAGATTACGCCTATATTTTCTTTATTCAATCTGTGACAACAAGAGTTTATATCCATAACAAATGAAAATTGTTTATTTTTTTTGTTTCTATGCAATTAGTTTACTAAATATAGGATATCAATGAAATGAGTAAGACATTGAAAATAGTTACATCGTCATTAATCAACCGTTAGGTAGTCAAGCAAAATGCGCAGAAGTCAAGAATTAATTTGAGTATCCACGGTCGATTTGTACTTATGATTTTCAACAACTCTCAACGAGCTCTCGGGAAAACGGCTTCACTTATTAAAATATTGAATGAGAATATTCAGAAATAATTTACACATCAAAAGGATTTTCCATTTCTTTTATTTGACTAGTGCTTTAGGAGTGTGAGCGAGCGAATGGCGCTATCGAACTACAATGACTCATGACAAGGCTCGGGTAAATTTAAAATTTTTGCTCCGTCATTTATGATCAACAACCTTTAATGGATACAATCTATTTTATTTGATCTGTAATATTAACCAATTATTAGTCATAAGAAAACATTAAGCTTTTATTGAGTAATAGTTTGAGTCAATTAAAGCATACTTCGAAAATATTCTCCACTGAGATGAAGTCGTCAATGCATAGAGTTCGCCAGTCTATTGTGTCACTGCCAGTTAGTTTTATTTTCGTAAACTGCCACTCGGGTATTTTTTATGCTTCGATTCAGTTTTCTGATTGGTCTATCTCGACATATCCTAGAGAATAATAAATGAGTTCTGCCAAAATTTTTCTCTGAGAAAAAAGAAGCATTTTGCATAATCACTTTATCATGCGCACACAGAAGATATCATTCGTGCATATACTCGAAATTCGAATATGAATAAGGAAGAATATAAATTGTTGAAGTTCATATTACATAAATCTTATTATTTTTTATCGTGAATAGAAACAAAGCAGTATCTACTATTCTTTATTATCGCTAGATTTCGGTGTTTTTGATGACCGAACGTCCCATATACCAGGTCGTTTTTCGTCCTTTTCAGTTGCAATCATATTTTTGATAGGTCCAACACCGCCAACATTGAGGAGAATTTTACGAGAAAGACGCATCGTGCCTGATACAGGATCCCGGCCAAAATATTTCACTTGCAAATCATCACCAACATTTAAACCTAACGCACTTGGATGGTCAACCTGAAAAGAAAGAAATTTTTTTTCCTATCGTAGCATACATGAAACGATAGAATATGTTTGCATTACTTTTCGTCGATCGAGTTGTGAATTGGGTAAGAGAACAGGCGGCATAGTTGGATATAATTGTAAAAGAACGCCGTTAGCACGTATTTCGACAATTTTACCGGTGTAAATTCCACCGAACTCAAGTTCGGGCTCTTTTATGTCTTCTAAAAGCTTATTGACGATTTGTTTTGCTTCATTCATTGCATCTTTATTTGGTGCAAATATTGAATAAGTGATTTCGTCAATAGGTACTATTGTGACGCCTAAATTTAATGATGTAAATAGAAGAAAAAGCACAACTAATATAAAGTCTAGGGACCTGTTTGGGTTAGAATTTTCTTTAAATTCAAGCCACCAATACCAAGAAATCGGCCACGTTTATGACTTGGAATAGTTAAAGTTTCTAATTCAGGTGTATTGTATTTCTTAGTTTTTCGGGGTTCACTTATTGTGTTATTCATAATGTCAATTATTTTACAACGAGCATCTAGAAGAAAAAATAATCTTTTTTTTTCAAATTAAAAAAAATCTGATTTTCAATAACCTCGCGCTGCTCGAAGAGCATCTTGAACAATATTCAATGGCAAACCTTCCATATTTTTTATATCAGCCTAGAGAACAAGAGAGAAAAACAGCGTTGATCAAAGCATTATATTTGTTTTCAAAATATACTTGTAATGCAGTTATACTATTTCGTGTTCCAGCGACTTTAAAATCTGTATCGCCCATATAATCTTCAATACCCTATTTCATAGAATCAAATAGTTTCAAAGATTGAAAATTTCTGTAAAAAACATTTACAAGAATATCAGTTAATATACGATAATCTGTAACCGAACCATCGTCAGCACATTTTGACACAAGCCCAATAGCAACACCGGCAACGGGCTCATGAATCTGTATACCTAAACATACATAACAACTGGAGTATCGAAAATAAAAAAAAATCTCCACACTAATATTACCTGCTTCCATCAGCGCTAAACTTGCAGCGCAGACACTCGCCATAGATGATGATCCATTGGATTCCAATACTTCAGATGTTAATCTAACCATGAATGGCAGTTCATTCGGTATAATAGGTTCCACTCCTTTTTCGGCTAACGCCCCATGGCCCAGTTCTCTTCGATCAGCTCTTCCATATGCGCGGCCAATTTCATTTGTTGCATACGGTGGAAATTCATAATGAAGTATAAATGGTTTGCGTTTATGTCCAGTTCTCAGTACAAAATCATTATTACGATATTGTGAATCGAGCGCGTCAAATGCCACTGTACATAATACTTGTGTTTGACCACGTTGAAATAAAGCTGAACCATGTAATGGTTCGTAGAGATTTATTTTACAAGTAATGGGACGTAATTGGTCGAATAGACGACCGTCCATTCGATGAGATTTATCAAATATTAAATTACGAAATATTTTTTTAACAACATATGAAAATGTATCGGGCAGATTATTCGGAAGAGTTTCTTCTTTCGATGCGATTTCATTGATAACATCTTGCCGAACGACACTTATCGCTGTATCACGAGCGATTTTATCAAGTGTAAAATCAGTAAAGATGTTTAGAAGACGATCATAAGACACGACTGAGATTCGTTCGATTAAAGCATTATCGAATTTTTGTAGTTCAACATTGGCACGCTTTGTTTTAGTTGAGAGACTTTTTATTTGATCGATTATTGGTAGACAACATTCAATGCTATATTCAAGGGCAGAAAAGAATTTTTCATCCGATAAACGATTTGCTGATGCATCGATCATTACTGGAGAAATAAATAAATAAATAGAGAATAGTTCTTTAATGGATGTTTACCAAGATGTCCTTTAGGATTCACTGATACAACTAAATTAAGATCGCTTTTTTGTAGTTGTTCACGCGTTGGATTCATAATGAATTTTCCGTCGATCGAGCCAATACGAACAGCAGCTGATAGAAATTTTATTGAAGCGAAATTAAATGCAGTAAACAAGCAAAACTTACCGATCGGTCCGTTCCAAGGAATATCAGACGTTGATATCGATGCAGAAGCTAAGCGACAGAAAGCTTTTCAAGTACTCCGTAATAGCAATCAAAGAGACGTTCTAGAGCGAGGGGAAATTAAATGTCAACTCCGCCTTTCAAGATTGATTCAATGATTAATCTCCTTTCGTCTGCGTGATGAGACAATTCCCACTCATGACGTGGATATGAATAAACACTCCGAGCATTCCACGGAAGACGACGCCTCTAAATGTGTAGTTTTTGTAATACCTGCATTGATTGCTAAGACATCAGGTTCTGCCATACCATCTACTGACAATATATTGCAAGTGATCTATTAAAAAAACGAAGAAAAAAAACGATTTATTTATAATTTCATATGTTAATCTATACTTGTGTATCATAAACATATCCATTGAGAAATAACGGTCTTATTGACCGATCTAAACAATTGAACGTAAATAGATTGCAAACGAGAAGTATTTTTACCAATCATTCGTCCAGTCAATATTTCACGATCAGTTAAACCTAATTCTCTTCGTAGATGATTGGTTGGTATTCGACCTGCGGCTGCTGCTTTTTCTCGATAATCGACCTACGATGAAAAAACGTAATAGCGAGAAAAAAAATCAATTTTTTAATTACAGTTAATGGTAAAAATGATGATTGATTTGAAGATGATTTTGCTTTGCTAACAGTTGTAACCAATACGCTGGTGTTATTTAACTATATAAATGCACAAATAATTAATTTTTATAGAATTTTATTTTTTGCATAATCACTTGAGCTATGGCACTTCCATCACTGAATCGCGCGAGTTCATTAATTCGAAACGATATTCTAAATAGGAATTATTTTCTTTTGCACTGTAATAATTGAAAAATAATATCCCACATACCCACTAGCGGATCGAATATAAATTGAAGGTTTGATAATTTTTCGTAGGAGAATCATTTCGAAATATCTGAGAAAAGATTTTGTTTTTTCGTTTATTTATTGATTTAAATAAATCATCTTTTGTTGTTTTTTTTTAATTTTATTTTTAATATCAATTTACATATGAATGCATAACAGTTCAGAAGAAAAGAGACAAAAAAAAGACACATTTCATGCATGATTTTTGTTTTATCCTGATGGTTTTTGATATAACAAGAAAAACAATTATTGAAGAGATCATTGTTAATCTTAGAAAGACACATGATAAGAAGACAAAAAACGCATTGCTCAAGATTTTAAACTGCGTATTTCGTTGTTTTGATTTGTTATCGACGAATCATCATCACTCAATTGTGAACGATTTGACGAAGATGGATTTAATAATCTAATTACAAGTAGGTAAAATAAATTTTTCACTCAAGCAAAATAAAACTATTCTTACTTGCTACTATGAAACGTAATGCGATCTGTATTTGACTGGCTATCAGATAGCAAAGTGTTTCCATTACGACCCCCTAAAAAAAATAAGTCGAGAAATAGATAATTGCGAATTTCAAATCAAATCAATAATTTCTTTTTTTATAGCAAACAAGTTCGAACATTCCAAGTAGCTGCACAGTCAAAGGAAATAATAGCACCGTTTCCCATATATGCGGTTCATTTTTTTGCAGTGTTAAGGAGAAGTGCGTTATTAAAAAAAAATGAAAGTAACCAATCAACCTTGTATACCTTGACAATCAGATGTTCAAAAGACCCATTATCGTTCTTTTCACTCTAAAGAACTTAGTAAAAAATGGAATTGGTTTTTATCACGAACACATTTTTTTGTTGTTGCCAGGAAAAATAAAAACACTCAGAAAAGTGACGTTTCCATCAAATGAAAATTGAGAGTTTATTATTGTTTGTCTAATTCATCGGTGGGTTATACAGCCATAAAAAAAAAGAAAACCTGGATTAGAGGAATCATATTGACTCTATAATTATGTCGAATAGGTTTTGATTCAAAAACAAAATCACCAACAAGCGATTCCTTGTTCGAAAGACATACCTTTGCTGAATACTCTGTGGGAAAGAAATCTGACAAAACGACCACCATAATGACTTGGATTACAAACAGATATTTCTTCCTAAAAGAAAATGAGTGTTTTGTCTGTTTTTTTGTTTTTCGGCTCATTTTACCCTCGTTACCAATGTTGATTTGAATGCATGTTCGAGCTTTTTACGAAGGCGATAATTTTGTAGAATATCAATAATACCAACATATAACAATAATAAATCACCGTTTTTATTTACAGCTGGTATTCCGGCCCTACGTGAAATAAAATATCAGTTATAAACGAACAAAAGTGTATCCATTCATGTTTATCTTGCGAGTTATGTTCTAGATACGAGTAAAAAACGAAAACATACATTGCAAGACGTGAAAGATTTTGTCGATTGTACCAGACATCGCCGCCTATCAAACCATTGGCTAAATGAAATGGCGATGATGTACTCGTTTGATTCGTTGGACTTCTACTGTTTGTACGAACAATAGCATTCGTCGCACTTAATGATTCTTCGTTTGATTGAGAGACTTTTTCTGTTTGAACATTTATCATAGGCGATAATTCTGCTTTGACTGTTTTTATGCTTGCTGTATCGTAATTCTCCATAGGAGTGTCCGACAGCGATGATTTAGTATTAAGAATCGAAGGTTCTTGTGTACGAATGAATTCAATAACACGTAAATATTGTATATAGGTTGGAAAGTTCGATAGTTTTGCCATAACTATATCAGACTGCATGGATGTTGAGGTTAATTCTTCGTGAATATTTGACGATATATTAATTGTATTTTCGAATGCATCATTTTCAATGGTCACATCGTTTGGTGATAGGGATTCCACAAGTGATAGACTTTGTGTTAATCTCATTTCTTCGGTTATATTATGAACAGCTAGCAGTAGTGAATAATCCATGATGTCGAAACTGCCGAGAACCTAAACAGATTTGTTTTTCGATAAGAACTAGAACTACGGGTTTGAAATGAGAAAATCGTGAGTCTTACTCGAACATCATCTTCGATGGTTTGCATCAATTGATCATAGAAAAATGGTTCAAGTATTAAACCATTTGGATGTAAAGATTTAAAATCAGTGTCTTTCAATGTAGGCAATTTACGTTTGTGCTCTTCTTCAGATGCTTTTCGCTTATAAATCGAACCTTTTAAATCGTACTTTTCGTATAGTTTAACATGTGTTGGCACTAAATTGTTCATTATAACAAAACGAATGTTTTTATTAGCACTTTGATAACAAAAGAGACCGAAAAATTTTGGTAAGAGCGTAAAAGGATTTTGTGTTAAATTCATATAATAACCAGGTAAAAGACTAAGTAAAAATCGAGCCTCTTTTTTCGATACTGTTTTTATGATATAGGCATCGTCGTCTGTTATATAAAAAATTGAGCCACTGGCGCCTGGATTCGGTAATTCATGTAAATCTTTTGCGCAAAGTGATAACTAGAAAATTTACATGAGAACATTATTTATTTATTGCACGCTCTTTTTCACTACTATGACCGTTAACTTACCATAAACGAAGACGGATCAACGCCGAATGTATTACGAAAGAAACGAAATGCCGTTTGTGCATAGGTTTTTAAACGAAATTCAGCGTATAAATGTTTAGGCGTTGATTTTGAGCCTTCCCTACGTGAAACAACGAGAACGAATATATTTATTAGATGAATAGATAAGCTTGTTTTAAAAAGAGGCAATCTTTGAGAATCAAAGTTCATGCTTTTCTTCCACGGAAGCGAGTCCGATAAGAACTTGATTCAATTAGAACAAGGTTATTCGTTCATTATTCATGTACCGATAATTATGCAGTGCTCGATTCAGCTCTCCGTAATGAAAGCAATTTCGAAATTAAAATTTTGCACTTTTCCGAGTCCAATATCTCCATAGGGATAAACTACGGTTTAGAACTTTCTTTTTTATGACATTTCATAGCGTGCTAGAATCTCAATGATGTACTTAATCATGTTGGAGAGGGAAGTTAATTAATGCTGATACTCTTTCGGTGAGTCGAGATCTGTTAGGATCGAAGTCCAAATTAAGAATTTTGCCAACTCCACATCTCAAAGAAGATCACACTTCCAAATAGTAAATTAATTATAAGACGAACGCCAAAGTGCACAAGAAACATCTCGCAGAAAAATCTGATTAAATCTCATCCAACAAAAAGAAACAATATTTTATCTCGCAAAAGGTTAACAATTTTGTAATGTACAAAATTTAATTGTAGCCTAAAGGTTTAGCGTAACACTACAAACAAAAACAATAGCTTGATTAGTTTGAAATGAATTTTTTTTGCTTATTCCGACAGATGTTTGATCATTTTTTATGATGATAAATAATATATATATACATATGAAAAACGAAGGTTTCCTGGCACCGAGTGTTCTTTGTCATATTAAACAAAGTATGACAAATGATCATTCTACACACTTCGACCTATAAATATGGCTGTGCTTCAATGAAAACAAACATTGTTTTTTGCTATCAACTTCATGATAAAATCAAATTTACACGTTTTTTTTTGTTTCCTACTCTGATTACTCAATAGCTTTTTCTCTTATCAAAACAAAGCAAAAAAATAATTCTTACGGTGGAAAATCTTGATATTCGATTTGTTGAAAATCTTGTATCAATACTTGACGTTGCGGTTGATGATGTTTACCAATAACATAATTAAGGCCGATTTGTAATGATTTCATAAGATCATCAATCGTCACACGTTTATATGTAACATGTCCGGTTTCATCAACACGACGATGGCCTAATTTTTCTTTATTGCCCGATGTATTGAGTTCATTTAGTGACTCCTTTAATGCGTTTCAAATTAATAACAGAAACAAAAGGGATTATCGAAGCTTACCGGTATATTATCTTCTGATTTACTATTTTCTAATACTGTTTCACCGTGGTTTAATGAGGAATGTTCTGAAGTGAGAAGAAAATCTGTAATTGAGCCAACATTCGATGATACACATGATACAGTCGGCGGTTTTCGATGAGGAAATAAATCCGTTGTACGCTGTTCAGTAGTTGCCATTATGTATCATGTAAAGAGACAACATCAAAGATTAGGAAGCAAAAAACATCTATAATGAATAATATATGTATTTTTCTCTTTTTTTTGCTGGTTAAAAAACAGATAACATTTGTTACGAATATTCATAAATATATTATATTCGTGACAGCAAACTTATTGTGCTAATCGACAAGCTTCTTCTCGTTTTTTTCCCTTCAGTCGAAGCAAGTAATAATCAAGAGAGGCAGAAGAGAGAGAGAGAGAGAGAGAGAGGGAGAAAAAAATAGAAGCGATTATTTTTTGTTCTTCTCTTTCTTTCTTCTTTCAGTCTATCTGTTTTTCTTCCAGAATCAAAAAAAAAAGAATCGTAGATCTTGATGAAACGAGATTCGCTATAGGTACACGTAATGTAAAGGCAATCAAAGGAAGTGAATTGTATAAGTATGCATGTCTCATATGTATATACTGCATTACATTTTTTTCGTCTTACTTAACAAAGACGACTATTCGGTGCACAATGCGAAGGTCAAGGCTGAAACGACTGTGATTACCTGTGAAGGCTCATTTGTATTGAGCATTTCAATCAAATCTGGAAAGAAAATTATTGACTTCGCGTTTTTGTTTCTTTCAATATGTTTACTCATAGGATAGATATATGAAAAAAAATTCGAACGTTATGTTTTCTCTCCGACAATTGCTTTATTCTTGAAATATTTCATTTAGATAAGGAATCGTTGATTGATATCAGATATGATTATATGCGTACAAGTCCGCCATTCAAAAAAAAACAAGAACATTGCAACGCGTCTTTCTATGCTTATATTTATATCCGTGATATTCAGAGACTAAATGCACAATTTTATTGTTAAACTTTAAAGAGATTTGTAAGATAACCATGAAAGTAAACAACGATAGGGGTAAGAAAATAAAATAGGCTGTTTATTTTAGAGATTAGGCTAAACATAAATATATTTTATCCCGACTTTTTCTTCCGGAGCAGCACTTTAGACAATTCCGGAAGGACAAACACCTGCTTTTCTTTCGAAGCACACAAAAATATGATGCAGTACAATAATCATGACCTCTAGAGGTCATAGAGCTCCATGAATTTTCTCTCTTGTTACAGTCTCAATATATTGTATGTTTTCCATTGTTCGCTAAACACACCCTTTTCAATTACTTAACCTCTTGGATACTCATATTCTAAGTGTTTACAAAAGGTCAACTTGTCCTGAAACATTTCTTAGTTTCAAAATGATGCTATTCATCTACGGCACACTCTACTAGTAAAACAGATACACCATTCAGTGTAATATTTACTTTTTCAATCGTAAGTGTTCGTTCGAATTGAAAGGATTACATCACGGTTCTACTATTTCAATTAGTATTCTACGCTGATCACATCGTGTTTGTTGATAACAAACTCGTTGTAATTAGCTTACCATTGTTTTCATTATTTCTTGTTTATGAAATTCATCCATCATTTGATATTTCTATTTGTTCGAGAGCATATTCAACTCGTTCGACGACAATCATCAGGATACAAAAATAAAACCCGTCTAACTATATAAATATTGATTTCTAAATATTTCAAAAACAAACATCGATTACAAAAACTGTGATTCATTTAAATTTTATTCGAAAATAAAATTCAATATTTAAGAAAAAGAAAACGAAAAGCAGAATATTAAAAGCCGAAACAAATATTTAAAAAATTCAAAATTGTATTAAATATAAAATAATAATAATAATCAGACAAGAGACGAAACAACAAAATCTATAGTAAATATTTTATTTATTTATCTTTTCATAGAAAAACACCGGGTTTTGGATTTCAAAATATTTTTTGCTATTTGTCTTAAAAAATGCCTTACTGAAAAATAGCATCCACATACATTTGGAAATTAGAAGAAGAAAAACTTAATTGATGCAATTAAAATTATTTTCTTTTTGCTTGATCGATCCGTTTGCGTACTATAGACGAGTCTAGAAAATAGTAGAAAACAATTATATGTATCAACCTGTTTAGATTTGATATTTCAATCAAAATACAATTATATTCTCATACATACTATTTCCTCTGATGATTGATGATCTACTTGATGGTGCTTTGAAGAATGGTCTGATAATTTGACGCCTAAAATTAGAATATATATGATTAATCAAAATAAGGTTATAATCTCGAGCAATCCGTTATCATTGAGACTGACAGATTTAAAACATAGCGGTGAAATGCGCGAATTTCGCAATAGGAAAACAAACGTAGATCTCACTTTGGCAAAACTCATTAGTTCTAAAAATATAACAAACAGATTTGTTTGGTTTCGCGGCAAAAGAGTCGATTCTATGGTCAATATTTGCGATTTTCGTTTGCTTTAATCGGAGCAAATTCGAATGCGCTGATAAGATCCGTTCTCGTAATGTTTACTAATATTCAGAATTAACAAACTCAAAGTTTAGCAACAAATGACGGTTCCGTTTGGATATCGATTAACTCTAATCAAAGTAAACAACAAAACGCCAAAATACATCGCTGTAATTAGAGTGGCTATGAAACTTAACCTTGTAGTTTGTTCTATCGACGTTAGTTAAGTGTTATTAGGCCGATATATATATGCATAACCTGTCGAGAACGTCATTCATGCTATTGCTTTCTATAGAAATAACGAAAAACAATTATTAACGAGACCGTTGCGACTTGTTTTTTAGAGTTGTTGTTGCTATTAGATTAAAAAGTCAAATTCGGATTAATTGCTAAAAATCATGATCTCGGTTCGCCATGGCTGCCACTGCTTCGCCTTCGTCAGATTTAACTGAACCGAAATCTGACCACCGTTTCCAAGCTTTACTCTCTTTAAACAAATGTCAAAACATAAAGACGGATTCATTCAAAATGGATATGAATATGTAGAGCATACACAAATAAACTAAGATAGCGAAAGCTATTAGGCTAATCCCTTCGGGATAAAAATGCGAAGCACGACGTAATTACTCTCGCTAATTATCGAGAGGCTCCTGTTTTCTATCAATTTCGAGCTATACACTTCATCGTTTGTTTACTTATTTCTCGAGAAGTGCACTAGAAAAGTAGGGCATAAACAAATTAGTGTTACAATATCAATTACGATGAATCTGAATTTGCTTTCGATATATACTTCAGTATTTTTTTTAGATAGTGCTGCAGAAAAAGTGTTATTTGGTCTTATTAAGTGAAAAATATAATAACCAGTACGAGGAGCATATAGATTAATGGAAGTCCTCAAGGACAAACCAATTTGTATTGAACGAAAGATTTGTCTAGGATTTTATGTTCAAATTAAAATAAAATTCTTACGGTGTTGTACATTGGCTGCCGATGATGTTAATTTGTGTCGGCTAGTTTTATCATTCGGCATTAAATTGTACCTTTGATCGACATTCGTAACTAGCTGTGCTGATAAATTTTGGTAGAATTTAGTTCGTTGATTATCAGTACGATGATGAAGATTATCATCAAATGTCGTTGTTAGAACTTTCGCCGTTGATTTACGAGTCGGTTGATTATACAAAGAATCTGATTGATGCGAACTAGCGTAAACTGTTGTTGAACTTCCATGATTCGTTCGTCTATCACTTTGTTGTGACGAATGGAATGATGTATCAAATGCTGTGGAACGACTCATTGGTGTTACTGAGCCCGAACTTGACTCAAGTAATTTCGATGGAATCATGTAAGGCATACCGTATAATGATCGTAGCGAAGGACTAATTGGCGAAGAAAAAAAAATGAATTTTCATTGTTCGAGTAAATAGATTTCTGTTTATTTCATACGTTGTGGTAGTTAGTGATGATTGCGGTGGTACGAATATATTTCCACCTGATTGTCTTGCTAGAAACGGAAATGACATCATTTAATCGGATGATTCTTTTTTTTTCTGTCGAGTATTTATTTACGTGGTGCTTTTTTGAATACGTTATTGAATAGAAACTTTTGATATCGCCCAGAATAATATCTTGGATGTGTTACTGAGATTTGTGACTAAAATCGACAAAATAAAATTTTAGAAAAAATTTTTTGTTGTCTCGTACTCCATCTGTAAGAACAGATTTGAATGTGTGTTCAAGTTTTTTTCTTAATTGATACGATTGTAATATATCGATGATGCCGACATAGAGATAGACTCGTTGGCCGTCAGCTGTTTGCGCTGGAATGCCACCAGTTCTAAATAAAAATAGGAGACCGCCTGTGAACAATAGAATATGATTATCGATACATTTGCATTTATCAGTCTTTCGCGCAGATTAGATGAATGTTTGTGAGAAAGGAAGTGGTTCGGAATCTGAGAATCTCCTCAGTTGTCTCAGACATTCTAAGAGCTGACGGACTAAAGTGAAAATGAATAGAGTGATACGCTGATTCTGACATTATCGTCTTAGGATAGTGTCATTGCTTTTCGTTTGACCAGCTCTTCTGTGTATGACAAACATGAGACTTCTAATATCGCTTATGCGCACAATAACAATGACTACAGTAGCCTTGAAGGGATTAATAAAATACTTGAATATGTTAAGGATTACGCAGTAAAACATGAGTCAACATGATATCTTGTTTTTTTTATTCGCTTTTTGACGGTCGAAGGAATGAAAGGATTTGCTATTTCATATGTTCTAATACATTAACTTACTTTGCTAATTGAGCATCATCAGGTCTATTATGTTCTTCGAATTCGGCATGGATATTATCCATTGGTGTTGCATACATCATACGTGGTGGTTGCGGAGATGACGGATCTATTAAAATGAATAGATTTTTGTTTGATTCGAAAATAATTAACTCTACTCACCATTGAAGAAACCATTTGTCCCATGAGAATCCTGAGAAAATATAAATCATAGAAAAAAGATTCGTTATATTTTTTGTTTTCTTACTATTGGTGAATCTGAATGGTGATTAGCATAATGAATGCCAATCAAAAATGAATAATCCATAATTTGAAAACTTTCCAGTACCTAAATAAATATTTCGATCATTGAATAGAAAAATAAACAAAACTTTTTTTCGGCACAGCCTTAACTAACTCGACAATCACGTTCAACTGTTTGTGCAAGAGCAGCATATGTTTCTGAATCCAATGTTAGACCTTTGGGATGTCGTTCCATGAAATCTAAATCTTTCCATGTTGGAAATTGTTTAAGTCGTTCTTCACTATTGGCTCGTCGTTTATATGTTGAACCTTTGAGATCATATTTTTCATGCATTTGAATACGAGATGGAATTAAATTATTCATCACAGTAATACGAATATTTTTATTGTCACCCTAAAATTCAGTTAGATAAATCAAAAACTCATTCTTCTATATGAAACTTTTTTTCATTTTGTTAAAGAAAAGAATCAAGCAGAGAGTGCAACATCGATTTTCAGGAAGCAAAGTAAAACTTCTTGTCGTTACTTTTCCAAATGGATTATTTCTTTTTTTCTCTCAGTCTGATAAAATTGTTTAAAAAAACATAATGACAATAGAAGAAGAAACAGAGCAGCTTAAGAGATTTCTTATGTAATCGAATTTTTTTTTTCTTTTTACGAACACGCAACACACGCAAAGACATGAATCAATGAGCCAGATAAACCGTCTTGTATGTAAAGTCACTTACAGACCCCAGTTTAGTTCTTGTTAAAAACTCTGTGACCTAGATAGACACAAATATCACTTTTTCTATTCTGTTCGCGTATTGGAATCTCAAAGTTTTTATCTGATTTTTTATCTCATAAAAAATGTAAATCATACTTGATAACAATAAAGACCAAAGAACTTTGGTAAAAGTGTACGTTGATTTTGTGTCACATTCTAAAATAAAAACAAAAGATTATATTAAATTCAATGTAATCTAGTCTGCAAATAGTAACCATATAATAACCAGGAAGCAAAGATCGCAGAAAAGATGCTTCTTTCTTTTGTACTGTTTTTATAATGAATTCATCATCGGCTGTCAAATAAAATAAACTACCACTGGCACCAGGATTTTTCAATTCACGAAAAGGTTTGCATATCGAAGACTACAATGATAAACATAAATATTGAAAGATGCATTAATTATCATTAAAAAATACTAACTAAATAATCTACTGGTCTAATATTAAATTTTTCTCGAAAATGTCGAAAGGCAACAGGCGCATAGGAACGAATGGTAAAATCATTAAAACGATGAGGTGGCGTAGCTTTTGGCGTTTGTGTTCTCCCAGATCTATAAGACATGATGTTTTTTCTTCAGAAAAAAATTCTTATTTTTGTTACTTGGGAAAATTTATCAGTTCCACAGTAAGAAAATCTTGAAATAGTACATCATGCGCCGGCCTTGCTTCTAGACCGCCAACACTATATTGAATACCTAATTGCAGCGCTTCAACGAGTTGATTTGTTGGCAAATGTTTAAATGTTGCTTTTCCTTGGGTGTCCACACGTAAATGTCCAAGTTTATGTTTTTTACCTTAAAAAATATTTCCAAACAAAACAAAACAATACATTCGAATTTCAACATTATGTGTCATACCAATATCAAGTCCATCACCATCTTGTGAATCATCATTCATCGTAAATATTTCTGTTGAGTATATTATTGACAATAATTAAAGTATTGAAAGACAATATGTATGTACGTAAATGTATTCTTTTTTTTATCTTTAGCCAATGAAACCTGAAATAAAACAAAATAACAAAGTAATAAACAAAAGAATTGAGAAAAAACCTGAAAGAATGATACAGAGGAAGAGAAAATATACAGCAGAGCCGTTAACCAATCGACGGTGGCTCAAGAGAAAAACTTGCATATGAATACTAGAGCCCTCTTCTGGAGTTAATAATTAAATTATTTTCATGATATATTTAAGTTGAAATTAATATGTACTTATGCAATGTTTATCAACATGGAATAGAATTCATCATTTCAAGAATAATTACTATGGAAAATTCAACTGAAGAATTCGATTTTTATTGCTACAAACAAATACAAAGTGTTCTGAAAAATGATCTTTACTTATGTATTAAAACAAATTCTCGTCTATAAAAGTGTCGGTCGATTCATTTATTGAGATTAATGATTTTTGTCGTTTTCACACTATGGCACATTAACTATTCAGCTCAAAATTCTACATATTTTCGGATTGACGTATATATATATATCGCAATTAGTATTCATTTCATCTAGTTATAAATGTGAAAATCATGAATATGAATAGCCCCTTGTTGATCTCTAAGAGCGATGAATATATTTACTATTAGATCCTGAAACTTTGACTGCTTAGATTTTCACTGAGCCCTACATATCTTGATATTTCTAATTGAAACTACAATTTCATCTCGTTGAATACATGTAAAATTCAATCCATATCATGCATCTTCAGGATTGTTCGTTGCCCGATAAAAAGTAGAGAAGGGCAGACATTAAAACTCCTATACAAATAGTTATCCAATAAAAGTACTACGAACGTCTGACTTATATTTGATTCTGTGTCAGAACGACATCAGAACTGCGTCAGTGAAGTATAGGAGACAGAAAAAGAAAAACAGCGATAGATAAATATTGTCAGAATCCATCAAGTTGATTGTTGAAGGAATACATGATAGCAACAGATACAAAGACACAAAACAGTAGACAAGAAAGATTAGTCATGGTTGTTATCGTTGGTATTACTCATAAATCATATTTGCAAAGAAGAAGAAGGAAAAAGTCTACGTACATACTGAAGCTCATTATTCATCGAATAAAATTATTGCCTGTAACCATTTCTTTTCTGAGCATTGACTAAGACGGTATTCATGTTTTTTTTAATAAAGTTTGCTTCATTAATCTCAATAATGTTAGGCATGCAATTTAAATACAAAATCTTATCTTCCACTGCCTATGCATTATTTTTTATTAGTGGCACGAAGGGTAAAAAAATTTATAACATCGTCTAGTTTTATTCAATTTTTTTAAATAACGAACTAATTAATCTAATACGACATAAAAATGTACGCATGGAAAAAGAAGCCATGCTTGTCTAAAATTGTACGATGACTCATTAGACTAACGGTGAATAACTAAACCGTATGTATGACTAATCAATACTTGGGAATAATTTCACAAAACGAGAACCGACTCAATCTGATTAGAAGTTTTTTTTCTATTCATGCGCACTTCCCACGTTTTTGTCTTCGTATCATACTCAAGTACGTTCTACTATGGTTGAGGCAAAGCATTTGTCAGAAAAACAACTCAATTGAAGCAACATATTTTTAAGTGTGTGCTATAATGGAATATTTGCTTATGTCTTAGCAGCACACACAAAAACAATATTTTCATGGGAGACTATTTTGTGAAATAAACCACTTTTCATTGAGACAATGCTTCCGCACGATTCAGACGGTTGTTTCATATATCACAGAGCTGTTTGAACGTAATTACAGATAGTTCAGTTGTATGTATCGATCAGCTTTTAGTATTGTCAAATCATAGTCCGTAGTTGATAATGAATTATTTCATATCATTGATGAAAAATTATTTTTCAAAGGCAAAAACTACGTCACTATAAAAGATTAATTTGATCTCACTAACTGTTTTTCAAAAGCCGTATCATTTCTAGACCTATGGTCTATCAGTGACAATATTAGGCCTTTTGAAAACTGGTAACTATTCGTTCATTCTTTAAAGTTAGCCTCACTCTCTCTCGAGTGATAATACTGCTTGTAATAGATCGAGTTCGAAATGGTAGTAAAATTGCAGCTCAAGAATGCGTCGTTGCACAGTGTGCAGTCAGTTTCCGATGAAGTTGGAAAAAATCAAGTGTGCACATGTACAGGGTGTATTGTTGTTTACTTCAGTGGAAGCGATAGATGAATGAATTAGGGTTCACAGAAAGAAAGAAAGTTAAAAAGGAATTTCGGTTTGGGCGAAACAAGTGAAGGGAGATATGATGCTTCTGTTTTTCATAGCCTTCGGCAGACAGTGAAAAAAAGTAACTGAACAAGAGTAGGAATGAAATGGTAGAGGTGAGAAAAAGATTTTTTTGTCATACATTGTAAGCTAACTACAAGCATCAAACAACATGGCATAAAATCATTCGAACTGCAAACGCATAAGCAAAAGACTCGACTGCACTGTGAAGTACGCAGAGAAACCTATCAATTAAGAAAATCAACGGAAAATGACACAATCAGAGTCGGAACAGAACATGGATAATCCAATTTTGGAAACGTATAGCATCTTTTGGCTAGATGCTTCCGTTGACAATAAAGAAAATACGATTGCTCAAAAGAAGTTGCGCGATATCATTGATCAAGTACGAACATTTGTGAACCCGGAAGAATTCTTGAAATATGTTCATCTCATTGAACAAGGGGATCTTGCCATCCTGATTGTAAACGGCTAATTAGGTCGTATTGTAGTTCCTGAAATGCAGAATTTAGAGCAAGTATGTTCCATCTACATTTATTGCGGCAATAAAAAGGCGCACTTAGGTTGAAGTCAACCATACTGCAAGGTATGCCCTTGTCCTTTTTAATGCGTTACATGCATTTCTAAATTGTTGTAGGTAAAAGCTGTTTGTACTAAACTTGATGAATTACTCGAAGTAATTAGATTCGATCAAAGGCATCGAGGTCGACATGAAGAAACAATCGCCATGGACATTTTGGACCGTAGTGCAACTGAGCTTAATGATAACTTCCTTCATGACGGACTGTTGATCGATGTTTTAATTAGAATGAAGCCGAATGAACAAGACCAGAAGGAATTAATCGAATTATCGGGAAAAGAATATGAAGGTAATAAAGTTGAATTAAAATTGACCAAAGAATTTCAGAAAGAATATACTTTGGATCGTGCTATATGGTGGTACACACGCGAATCGTTTGTGTATCGTTTATTGAATAAAGCATTGCGTGTACGTAACATTGAGATGGTATTTTTAATGCGACATGTTATTCGTGATGTTTACGAGCAGTTACGTACAATCAGTGTGAGAAGCGTGTGACTGTTTATCGTGATCAAATAATGTCGGGTGATGAAATAAAACAATTTCGAAAATCAGTTGGAAGTATCATTTCATTAAATTCGTTTCTATCGATATCCTTGAAACGTGAGGTAGCTCAAGGATTTGTAAGACAAAGTATGGAATCATGTAGTTCGAGTAGTGGTAGTGTAGGTGTGACATGCGATTCGGAGGATAATAATCGACGGCCATTTGCACAAATTGATGGATTGAGTTATTATGGCGGTGGTGAAAGAGAGATATTGTTTATGGTTGGTTCAATATTTCGTTTGGAACATACTAGTGAAGATAAATTAGTAGCTGATGTGAAAATATAGATGATTCATATGAGATTATGTGGTGATGGTGAGAATGATCTGAAGAATCGTATGATCACATGAAGAGCCAAGAAAATGATAGCGAGGAAACGAATCTTATGTCTCTTGGTGATGTGATGTTCGAGATGAGGAAATTTGATCTTGCTGAAAAAATATTTGCTTCGATGTCTGACTGAATTTCCACCGAATGATCCTTCACTTGGTGAATTATATCGAAGTCTCAGTATGGTTGCTAACGAGAAAGATGATTTTCATAGTAGTCTCGAATGGCATGAACAGGGGTGCCCCGATCATTCCAACTTTGGGGGGGGGGGGGTAACTTATAAAATCCTACTTTGCAAAAATGTTGAGGGGGAATAACCAGTGTTGCCAGATCTTCCACGATTTTCGAAATTGTTTTATTTCATCACCCGACATTATTTGATCACGATAAACAGTCACACGCTTCTCACACTGATTGTACGTANACTTATAAAATCCTACTTTGCAAAAATGTTGAGGGGGAATAACCAGTGTTGCCAGATCTTCCACGATTTTGAAAACTCCTGCATTTTCACAATTTTACCTAATTTTTTAAGAACTTTTTCGGATTTTTTGGAAATTTTTCTGGATATTTGTCGAATTTGTCAGGAGTTTTTTTGAGGATTTTGAGATTTGAATTCTGGATTTCTGAATTCAACATTTGCCAATATTCAGAATAACTTATAAAATCACGCTTAAGATAGTATAAGTTTTATTTTGTAAAACACAACACCTCTGAGTTCATACAACATTACGGGAATACCAATTTTTAAAGGTGTTCCCGTTCCCGAAGTCGCCACGGGAATTTCGGGAAAAAGTCGTTCCCACAGGACTCCACTTCATTGTCTGAGTATCTTGGACGTTCACTTGTTGCATGTCTTTTTAATGTACTACTGGTGGTGGTGATGGTGGTGGCATTGTTATTGAAATTTTCATTCGTCCCTAATTGGCCAATTGTTTCCTGAAATACATCTCCATATTACTTATTGACCTTAACTTTTGTCCTGGTATACTATACTATAGAACGAAAGGAAAAGTGGACAACACGTAGTTTGTGTAAAATGGAAGCCAAAAAATCAATATATTCCTGGGCTCTAGCGATTTGATTGATCAAATGGCGAAAAAGAAATTATTCTGAACCGACTGTCAGAAGGAGCAGCCGAGTTTTAGGGAGTTGCAAACTTGTAAATGTTATTTTTGTACGTGAAAACATTTTTTACTTCGCGAATTCAGTTCACATGAACTAAATTTTGTGTAGAATCTCATAGAATTATTCAATTTGATGTTCATGAAATCATAATAATAAAGATCTAAGATCGACATGATTAAGCAAAGTCATAAGTTATTTAAAAGACATTTCTAAATATTTGGATACATCTTTATATTATAAAAAATTAAAAAGTCACGACATAATTATATCTTTTTCCTTTAAGTACGCATTAATAGTTCGATACATGAAGCGAACAGAAAGATTTCCAAGCACCAAGACTATGTGTTAATACCTATTCTATTTATTTAAATCGTACTAAAACGTTTTCAAAGAGATATCTACTTATAAAACAAATAGACGGAAATCTTAGTTTCTAGGAATGATAAATAATACAACACTTTTTGGTTTTCAAAAATCTATTCATAATGAAGAAATATGAACAAAACATCACATGATTCAATTTGCCAATTGCTTGTTTTCATCAGTATTTGTGGCCATCATCGATAATGACAGTAAATGTTATTGATTCAATTGAGCATCTAAATTAAATATTTATTCTTTATTTTATTAACAAAATTACCTTCTTCGACAGAAACATTATTATTATTATTATTATTATTATTATTTGATACAGTTACATTTGTATTTGTAGATTTTTTACGTGTCAATAAAAAATAAATTGAATAAATACTAGCAGCAATGATATTCAGAATAGCAAAGACAAGAAAAAGAAGACGCTGTTGAAGGACAATATAGATAAACGAAGAAACAAGTAAACCAGTACCACGACCTACAAGAGTAGCATTTGATATTTCTGTTATTAGTTTATTAAGTTAAAAATCGACTGTCTAACTGAGAAAAGAAATTTCTTTTGAAGAAAGTAAATGCAAATATATTTGTTGTCAATAGTTTCGGGATATGTGAGAGCATATGTAAAGTTGAACCTTTTTTCAATAAATTCTATCAGAGATCGAGCGTAACAGTCTGATATCTATCGGAATGAATCGAACAGTATCTTTACTCTTCTAACGAATACATCTGAACCGATTTTAGAGTTCTGTTTTTGCACAGTTTCTCATTCGATTGCGAAATCCGGTAGCTATCTGCAATTAAAGATTGATGAAAAATGAATTCGTAGTTACTGAGGTATAATATTCCTACTGAAAACATCGCCAAATCAGCAATGCATGGTTAAGAGCAACAACTTTGAAGTATGTACTAAAAATTTCAAAGCAATAATATCATAATTAATTGAAATAGACGCTTCAAATCAACTCACCAGCATATGACCTAAAAAGTCATTAAATCTCAACTATATACAACGGAAATAAGAAGAAAGCGTTGAGGCTATTTTTTCACGCAGTGTGTTCAATACTCGCAGATACCCTTTTTTCGTGCAAAATTTATTTCCTATTTTATTGAATCCAGTGCCGGTCGATGCTTGTGATTACAGTTTTAACGAGCAGTGAGTATCTTCTGCGAAGCGGTAGTTTTTAGAAACCAATGCATTATTCATCGTATGATAGAAATTCTCATGTAATAGTCGAACTATGCTGTTTTTCGGGAAACAAATAAAATTTCGTTCTTCATTATTTATAATGAATCCTAAAATATTACTTAAACCATGTAAAACACCATGAGTAATGCCTTGTAATGTACCCGAAAGACCAGGTGGTGCTAAAATAAATAATAAAATAAATAGTTTCATTGATTAATATTTCTAATACCAATAAGATCTGCTTTTTGAGCAATCAATACATAGAGAATGCCAAAATTAAAAAAATGCATTGTTTCTACAATTAAATAGAAATAAGGTCGTGGTAAAAAGTAATATCCACTAAATCGAATAGTAAATGCCAGAAAGATGATAATAGATGATAGATTAGGACCAACGAACTTTATAACTCGTTTAGCCAAATAAAAAGCAATAATTTCAGATATTGCTGCGATTGCAAACATTGAACAAATTAACGTACGTGATTGACATGGAGCTATTTCGTCAACATATAAAGCAAGATACTTCAAAAAGAAAATTATTATCTACAAGAAGAAATATTGATTTTTATTTTACCGGATGTATAGAACCAAAACTCATTCCCCAAAGAAATGCTATTGAAAGAAAAATAAAAACATCGATATTTTTCAATAATACTTTAAGTGTTGTGAAATTGAAGTTTTTTTTTTCTTCATTGTTCTGCTTGTCATTTATATGTATTGGAATAAAACTTGTTATAATAATTGTCAAAATTGCAATAGTATTAAACAAAATTAAATAAACAAATTCACTTCGAAAGAATTCATAAATACGACTAGTAGAGAAAGCTAATATACCAAAACCAATTGTACCCCAGACACGTTGTTTTCCAAATAAATCTGCACGTGGTAAACAAGCAAAACCAATTGTTGTACCGAGAGCATATGAAGATGATAGTAAATTTGAACCGACGACATATAAAATAGCATAGAGAACAATATAAATTCTTTGTTTTTCGTATCGTACACCATGACAGAAATAAGGAATTGAACAAGTTATTTGACATTTAATCATCGATGAATTTGGAAAATCTTGGAAAAAACAAAAAAATAAAATTACTAATTTACGAAAAATTCAACTGACCTAAATCAGCATTTAATAACATTTTATCAATCGTTACGCGATAATCAATACCGCATTGCGATTGTAAATTCTCCTTTAAATGTTTTTCTACATTATTTGAATTCATTGTAAGTGTAAAATTAGATAGAAAGTTTTCTGTTTTACAATAGGCTTGATAAGAACAACCACATCTTGATCTTGATGAACATTTTGTTACTACTTCTTGACTTGCACAAAAATCTAGTACATATGCTGATGATTTAAAATAATGTGAATCAGCTTGAATATAATGAGATTTAATATGTGGTAACAAAAATAATGCTGTAAATGTAATACTAACAATAATGAATAGAATATTGAATGTTAAAAGAAAACGACGAGATTTATCAGCAATAAAACCCACCAATGGACTTGTTAGAAAAATTGAAAATGGAAGAATTACATTCGCTAAAGAGATTTCTGTATTTGAAAGTCCATGAGAACGAAGAGTTAGATTTAATATTGGATGTACAACACCAAATGCAGCATAGAAAAGAAAATAATGAGTTTTAAGTAATAGATGGTAACGATGAATAAATGATAATTTAGAATTATCTGGTGATAAATTCATTGGAATTTCGTTTTATATTATCCTAAAAATATAAAAGAAACTATTGAATGGGGAAAAGAAGATTAATTAAATAGAGAAGTTCTTTCATGACGATGGTGAGCTCTTTTTCGTTTTGTTAAAAAAGAAAAAAAGCTAGCTTATCTGAATATCTCGAAAAACATTCCAACATACATAAAACGAGTACGAATGATTTTGAGGAAATGTCATTTGGATTTTTTCTCTGTTTATATATATGAAGATGAATTTCAAGGTTGTAAGGTGCGGGTGTGCGTATAAGCACTGATTTCACCCACAACCGCCCACACCCACACCCTCCCTCGTTTAACAATAGCAGAATATAAAGATTCTTTTTCGCTAATCAGATTACAATCATTTGTACTCTGAACGTTGAAAAATGTTTTGCATAAATAATTTATTAATATCGTTACTTCATGAAACAAAGCGGAACTTTTTAAAATATTAATATGTTTGATTTAAATATCATGAGTACGTTTAATAATCGTTCAAATTTCATCAATTAATCGTGTTGCTGCTGCAGAACATGACTTATCAAAGATTATGCGACCATGTTTTGATATATTAAAGAAATGCAATCAACTTTGTTTATAATCGAGGAGGCAAGATTTTCGACTAGTAGAAAGGCTGAGAGAGATACCTGACGCCGCCACTATTTATCTGATATACCTAAATGAACAAATCGCAAACTAGATGGTATTCAAGTTTCACTCGTGTACGAAATGCGTGCGAAGCAAAACTTTGGATCTTCACGAAAAATCTTCAATTCAGAGAAATCTTGAATACTTTTTATGTCGACATGACGAAATTCATCACTGAGAAACATCTAGTCTCACTTAGCGATACATTGTTAAGGGTCGATTTCGATTGATCGATTAATTATCTCCATGATTCATTATCTTAGATCAGCTGTAAATGAATAGACTATAGTGGCTAACATATGTTAATGACGTCACTTTAATTATCTCGCAATAAATTTCTTTCATTTTCGTCACTTTAGAACCATATTTATGAACGAACGGAAGTGCTGATTCAAGATTGGAAAACAGATGTGCTAAGTTCGATCTTGATACTTCGATCTCACGTTTCAATGAGTTTTCTATGATTTTCGGTACTCGAGATCATCGGGTCACAAAATGATGAAAAAGATGCGTACGCCGAGAAAGCAAAAGCAAAAGAAAACTCGCGAAGGACTACAGAAATGTTTCATGCTGCGCATCGCATTAATAAATTGTTTATGCACCTGCTGATATACGCTTCAGAAATATTTGTTAGGCTGCACGAGCATCAAACATAATACTTCATCAACTTAAAAATGTGAAACACGAGTTTGAAAAAACTTAGCATATCGTCACGGTTCATATTTTTTCAAGTATTTTTGAATAATAATAACCATACGAATTGTCAAGTATGGGGAACGCTCATGTAACAGTAAAAGTGAAAAAGATCGACTTTTTAGTATGCTCTCAAAAGTTTTTTACACAAGCAAAATTACTTGTAAGTGAACCTTTTTAAGTACTTTTCCAACTTTTCGACTAAAAAGTACTATTAAGTACCAGTGAAAGTGCGAAAAAGTAATAGAATTTACTAGGAAAAGTATAAAATAGTAAGTACTAAATTTAATTCATTTTGCTATATTAATATTGAAAGTACTTAATACTTTTTAAAACTCTATTAATTCAGACATTTTTCTAAAGCAGCGCTCCAAACACTCCTAAGTACTTTCAATATTAATATAGAAAAATGAATTTAAATTCAGTACTATTTTATACTTTTCCTAGTAAATTCTATTACTTTTTTGCACTTTCACTAGTACTTAGTAGTACCTTTTAGTCGAAAAGTTGGAAAAGTACTTAAAAAGGTTCACTTGCAAGTAACTTTGCTTGTGTGAAAAACTTTTGAAAGACTAAAAAGTCGATCTTTTTCACTTACTGTTACATGAGCGTTCCCCATACTTGACAATTCGTATGGTTATTATTATTCAAAAATACTTGAAAAAATATGAACCGTGAGGATATGCTAAGTTTTTTCAAACTCGTGTTTCACATTTTTAAGTTGACGAAGTATTATGTTTGATGCTCGTGCAGCCTAACAAATATTTCTGAAGCGTATATCAGCAGGTGCATAAATAACTTATTTGCGACTTGTTCATTTAGGTATACCAGATAAATAGTGGCGGCGTCAGGTATCTCAGCCTGTCTGCTAGTCGAAAATCCTGTCTCCTCGATTATAAACAAAGTTGATTGTATTTCTTTAATATATCAAAACACGGTCGCATAATCTTTGATAAGTCATGTTCTGCAGCAGCAACACGATTAATTGATGAAATTTGCATGAGATGCCTAGTTCGAATTCGAATATAAATGGACGCCCAACTGCATGGTATCAATTCGAAAATAAGTGATAGAAATAGATTTAGTTTTATATTTAGTTTAAGATGGAGTGGGCGTGGGTTGTGGAGGACTAAGGGTTAACTATGGGTGTCGGATGTGGGTGAAGGGTACCCAGAAGGGGTGCCGGGGGCTATTCGAGATACTTCAAATGTGAGTGTGGGTCATGGATACCATGGAGGGGTGCTCAAATGTGGGTGTGGGTGAAGGATGCCCGGAAGGGGTACAGAGGGGTGTATCCGGGATACTTCATATGTGAGTGTGGGTGATGGATACCATGGAGGAGTGCTCAAATGTGGGTGCGAGTGAAGGGGATATATGTATTCATATGTCGCATATATCGGAAAGTTAAGCTAAAACTAAATCTATTCCTAGATTTAGTTTTAGTTTAACTTTTTCTTTTCTCCATTTATATTCGAACTCGAATTAGACAGCTACTCATATTGCAATGATAAATTCGAGAAACAAACTTAGCGTCTCGAATAAGAGCCCAACCAACAATGTCGGTCATGCTGCATCATCATCCAATACAACCAATAACAATCAATCAACAAAACCGCCGGGATTTTTGGATCGAGCTGGAAATGATGTCAATCAAATCGGAGAAAAAATTAATCATGCTGTGGACTATGTTCTTGGTAATCGTAAATCAAAACTTAAATCATGTTCTGAAGGTATTCATTGTCTTATTCAATCTTCTGAAAATGAACTTGATCATAATGCAAAATATTCACATCCATGTCGATTTGCTGATCGTTGTCAAAATCCAGAACAACATTTAACACATGAACCTCATCAAGTACCTGATTGTCCATCCGATAAGAATTGTGCGAATTTAACTAATCGTATTCATCGATCGCAATTTCATCATACAAGCTGCCCGTTTTTCCTCATGCCATGTCATAGTGAAAGATGTCACAATAAGTCGAAAGTGGATCTCACTAGATATTCACATGGTGAAAAAATTAACGAACCAGGAGGAGCTGAACGATCGCAAGGTAAAGAAGAAACTTTTCAAAATCAATATCTATTCTCCTATCATTTCTCATTTAGCAAATTCAATCGATCCACCGATACAAAATGGTTGAAATACATCGAGCTCGATTAAAGTTGATGAACAAAAAAAAAGAATGTTACTATGGTTTAAATTGCCTACATTTGAATAGACTTGATCACTGTAAGGAATTTTCTCATTCAGCTGTTAATCAACCCGTTCCTAGAGCTGACCGACAACCTTGCCGATGGAATCCACATTATTATGATCAAAATCCTTGACATCGAGCTACATATTGGCATCCAGGCACTTGAAAACAAAACATTTCATGAAATCAACCAATTATTCAAATGAAACCTTTTTGGGACTTCCGCTTTTTAATTTTATTATTTGTACCACACTAGAAGATGCGCCTTATCGCAATTTACTCTTGTGATTCTTTCAAAATGCGATGGTGTGTGCGGTGAGGATGTGGGTGTGTTGAGGCATTCGAAGTCCCATACATATCCACACCCTCAAGAAATATATCCGAAGAATTTGTAGAGAAAATTATGATCTTTCGCATAAAAAAAATTAGTGCTATACATTGAAAGACGGATCCGGCAAATGTTCTGTGATAGTGAAAAAATTGGTGTTGAGAAAAATGAATAGCAAGATTGTTCAGTAGTTTATGCTATTTCAGTGTAAATCTTTGCAACATGTTATATATCATTGAAAGCGCTTCAAACGTTCTATCACTTCATGGTGTTTTTGACAAAAACAGACAGTGATTTGAATTCCCGATAGAATCCAAGTCTGGGATTTCTCCACTTGGGTTATTTATATGACAGATAAGTAAATTAATCCAAGTCGAGTTTGAGAATCCCTTCATTTGATCTGTGATATGAGGCAATAAAAATTATTCTTTTGAAAACTATATTTAATATGTTTATTGCCATTTTAACTTTGAATTAAAATTAGAGTACAATGATTGAAGTGCTCTAATCTACTTCAAAATTTATCGTGACATGGACAGAATGTAAATCAAGAAAATTTCATTCGTAATTTTGTTGTTATTGTTGTTGTTGTTGTAAATATTATTTATTATTCAATAAATATCAATGTCGTCGCAGCAAATAAGTTAGTTTTAATCGTGCTTTATTACCATGCCAGTTATATTCATAAATATTTCGTATTTTGATTACAAAAGTAACTGCATTCACCCGATGTAACTTCAATATGACAAATTGTTTACATACAAAAGTTATTTCTATTTCTATTGTATCCAAAATGCGAGATGGTTTTCTCTGATACAAATCGATGAATATCAGCAATACGTGGAGGTTCAGTGATTGTGACTATTTCATCGCTCGTCTTCATATCAGCCACTTCTTGTTCTTTTTCGATAAAATCAAAACGCCAACATTTAAGTTGATGTTGATTGGTATGTGTAAAAACAAAATCGATCCATTTGTGAATGTTACGCCACGCCGATGAGATATTTTTACACAAAATGAAACGTAAGCATTGCAATTGGCGAAAACGTTGTTTATCAATAACGAAAGAAACGAGTGGGACCATAATTTCTTCGTTTTGATTTATATTGCTAATGGGCGAGCCATCTATATAGAGACGGCCGATTTGTCGAAAGAAACTGTTGAGATATAGATTCTCTCGATGGTTCATAAACCAATGTTTCAGTTCAGCTGAATTAACATAAAGACATTTTATATTAGGTAATAAACGGAGCCAGCTATTTAATTCTAGAATTAAAAAAAATAATAACCACTGAACTTGAGCGTGTGGGTGTGGGGTGTTGGTGTTCGATGTGGGTGTGAGTGTGCTATTTTTAATTCAGCCTACACCCACACCCAACGTTTTTGATAGGATATTTAACAAAAAAAATTGGTTTATGAAAGTGCAACGTGTCATAAACCCTTTTTTCCGTATATGACAAAGACAATAAACGGTTTTTAGGTTCCCAGGGCGAGAAACCAGACGGCAAGATCTTACAAGAATCATGTTTGATCATATCTGATCTGATAAGATCAGACGAAAAATCGTCGTCTGTGATATTTGAATTAAACTAATATCTCCTTAAAATATCACGACAAATTTGTATTGAAAATAAATTGCATGTGCGATCTTTAACGAAAATATAGTATGATCTGATGCAAGATTTCAGAGAAGACGATTTTTGTCTGATGCTTATTAGATTTCGTTCAGATTGTAAGATCTGATGTCCGGATTGCAAGATCTTACGTCAGATTTTTCGACCTGGGTTTATGATTTGGACAAAAAGTTTATCAGATATTTCAAAAACGGAAAAAAAGTATGTGTCACGTTGCACTTTCATAAACCCTTTTTTTTACAGTGAACATATCAGTGTACACTGACCGTCACTGTCCGTGCCATAAGTGTCAGGTTTTTCGGTGTTCTCACTGACGTCGCAGATCCCTAATTTTAGCCCTAACGGAGCTGTGCTGAAAAGCTTTTTACATAAGATGACTACTGTCTTTATTCAGAAGAATATGAATGCCAACACGCTCACACTCACTTGAATTTTTCACGTCTCTTCATGTTCATCGAATTGTTTCGACTATATTGTACCCTATTCTGACCAAGAAGATTAGCATAGTTTTCACTATGTGACCAGCATGCTCAATGCTTTAAGTCTTTCAACAGCTTCAACACGAGTCAATGTGTGGGTGGGATAATTTTTTTTATTACTGACTATTGTTATTATTTTATTGTGCTTGCATATTGATAGAAATCTAGTTCGAAATGGTATTAAAATTGCAACTCAATAAAGATTCGTTTTACAGCTTGCAGCCAGTGTTCGATGAAGTTCGAAAAAATCAAGGATCTACAGAGTGTAGTGTATTGTTTGTTTACTTTAAGTAAAAGCGAAATATGAATGAACTAGGATTCACAGAACGAAAGAAACTTAAAAGGAATTTCTGTTTCGGCGAAACAATTGAAGGGAGAGATGATGTTTCTGTTTTTTATAGCCTTCAGCAGAGAGTGAAAAGAAATAAAAGTAACAGAATATGATTAGGAATGAAACGGTAGAGGCAAGAGAAAGTTTTTTTTCTCACAGTTTGTTAGTTAAACAAAAGCGTGTAACAACAACGTAAGATCATTCGAATTATAAATACAGGAGATTTGACTACAGACACGTATACAGAGAAATATACAAGTTAACAAAATTCAAACGTAAATGGCATACCCAACATTTCAAACATATAGTACCACTCAAAATTTGGAAACATACAGCATCTATTGGTTAGATGCTGTAGTAAATAATGAAGGAAATATGATCACTCAAAAAAAGTTACGCGGTATCATTAATCAACTACTAACGTTTGTCGATACTGAAGAATTTTTAGAACGTGTTCGTTTGATTGAAAAAGGCGATCTCACTATTCTGATTGTAAGCGGTCAATTAGGTCGTATTGTAGTTCCTGAAATGCAGAATTTAGAGCAAGTATGTTCCATCTACATTTATTGCGGCAATAAAAAGGCACACTTAGGTTGGAGTCAACCATACAGCAAGGTATGCCCTTGTCCTTGTGTTAATACATTACATGTATTCCTAAATTGTTATAGGTGAAAGCTGTTTGCGATGATCCCGATGAATTAATCAATACAATTCGAATCGATCAGAAACGTCGATGTCGAATTGAAGAACCAATCGCCATGGATATTTTGGACCGTACTTCAACGGACCTAAATGGTGAATTCCTTCATTACAGACTGTTGATCGATGCTTTAATTAGAATGAAGCCGAACGAACAAGACCAGAAGGAATTAATCGAATTATTGGGAAAAGAATACGAAGGCAATGAATATGAACTAAAATTGGTAAACGAATTTGGGAAAGGATACGAATCAAGTCGTGCTATATGGTGGTATACACGTGAATCGTTTGTATATCGTCTATTGAATAAGGCGTTGCGTATTCGTAACATTGAGGTGATATTTTTAATGCGGAATATTATTGGTGATATTTATAAGAAGTTGCTTGCAAATCAATGTAGCAAGCGTGTGACTGTGTATCGTGGTCAAATAATGTCGAGTGATGAAATAAAACAATTTCAAAAATCAGTTGGAAGTATCATTTCATTAAATTCATTTCTATCGACATCTTCGAAACGTGAAGTAGCTCAAGAATTTGCAGTACAAAGTATGGAATCATGTAGTTCGAGTAGTGGTAGTGTAGGCGTGATATTTAAAATTGAGGCTGATCCTAGTGTGACATGTGATTCCAAGGGTGATAATCGACGACCATTTGCACAAATTGGTGGATTAAGTTATTATGGTGGTAGTGAAGCAGAGATATTGTTTATGGTTGGTTCAATATTTCGTTTGGAAGATATAAGTGAAGATAAATCAGTAGGTGATATGAAAATATGGATGATTCGGATTACATTATGTAGTGATAATGAGAATCATCTGAGAGAACTCTATGATCACATGAAGAGCCAAGAAAACGGTAGAGAAGAAACGAATCTTAAGTCTCTTGGTTTGATGATGTGGAAGATGGGAAAATTTGATCTTGCTGAAAAGTATTTACTTCGCCATCTGAGGGAACTTCCACCGAATGATCCTTCACTTGGTGCAGTGTATCAGTGTCTCGGTCTAGTTGCTGACTCAAAAGGTGATTATGACAGAAGTCTCGAATGGTATAAGAAATCACTCGAAATAACGACGAGAACTAGCCCATCCGATTATATCAATATTGGGAACACACACAACAGCGTCGGTGAGGTTCATCGAAAGAAAGGTGATTATGTTCAAGCACTTAAATCGTTCAATCAAGCTGTCTCATTGTTCAAAGAAGCCGACGATGAGAATCATCCGAGAATGGCCTCGTTCTACGGCAATATTGGAAACATCAACGCTGAAGAGAAGAAGTATTCAGAAGCTCTTAACTTCTATGAAAAGACACTTGCCATTCAGAAGAAACATTTACCAGACGGTCATGCTGATCTAGGTTCATTATACAATAATATTGGTCTGGTTCATTATTATCTAGACCATGATGATGTTGCATTGGAGTATTTCGAACAATCACGTACAATCAGCTTGAAAGCACTTCCTTCTCAACATCCTGATGTTGCAGATACCTATCATAACATGGGTCTTGTTTATGAGCGTAAAGGTGAATTAGAGCAAGCATTAAAATTATTCAAGAAGTCTCAGACGATCTATGAAGTGGCGTTGCCAGTTCATCATTCTAAATTATTAGATATTAGAAATATTGCAAAACGTGTACAAAATAAAATAAAATCGAAATAAATAAATCAGCATTATAAGTCTCTAATAACTCACTCTCATTTTTTCCTCTTTCTCTTATCAGATACAGATACGTGCGGAGAAAACCAAGATACTGCAAAAATATCCTTAAAACCGAAGCTAGTCTACGTTGAAAATATCATGTATAGCCACAGTTGACAATAGAATTTCAGGTGAGATCGGAATGCGCTCAAAAAAAGGTTTTTTGCTCGTGTTAGATAAAATTTTAGATAGATTAAAACATAATTTATTTATTTATGAAAATTGAAAAAAAATGATAACGTTCTTTTTTTATATAATTATCAATTCAATTTTGTTTCATGATATTCTGAGAATGATTCATAGGCATTCTTTTATTTTTCAATTGTAAAATTTGTTTAATTTTTAAAATATCTTCTAAAAATTCCTATCATCATTTCGATATAAATTTAACGAATCACACCAAATACTCGTTGTTACATTGATAGAAAGATCCTGTTGTAATTTAATATGATAATACCAGAACAAAAAATTCAGATAAATTGAATGTCCCCAGGAATTTATTAAAGTACAGAGACAGAATTCATACCAAAACAAAAGAATATGAAAACAAATTTTCGAAGAAAAATTCAAGTGAAAATGATGATTAGTATAAAAACTCATTGTAGAACAAATCCAACGAATTGTTATTGGTAGCGAAATTTTTAAAGTCATATTTCAAAGAATATTCTAACAAAAAAAATTTAAAAAAAACTATTCGAAACTCGCTTGCCACTGTCTGTGCAGGAAGAAAAACAATGTATTCAGTCAGAGCTCCGCGTGGGATGGGACGAAACATTTTTCGTCCCATCCCATAAAATTCTTGATCAACGAAACATAATACTCATGTTCTGTGCCATTAAAAATCGATAACGAAACTCAAAAGGCCATCTTTCTCTTTCGTTCTTATTATCTATTTTGCTTTACTAAATATCTCGTATTTCTTTTTTTTTGTTTTTAGCATTAAAGACCTTTTCAATTGTTTTGTTTCATTATTCATTTACTTGTATCATTTCAATATATGATGTTTAACTCAAGATTACTCTCGTTATTGATTATATTCTCCGTAGTACATGTCGTTTCTGGTTCATATCAGTATGTTGGCTGCTATCAACATGCATTTTATGATAGTTTATTCGTAAGTTCATATATGGAACCAACATTATGTTTTCGTTTGTGTCAAACACCAATGGTTTATTTACAAACAAGAATATGTCGATGTGCAGGTAGTGGCCTGATGAGTTATGACCGTCAAAGAGATTCACACTGTTCAACACCATGCTATATCGTGATCAATGGCGACGTTAAAAATAATACATGTGGTGGTAGGGGAGTATATTCCGTTTATGCCGAGGAACAATTTTATACTCGACATGCGCATTTACTAAGCTATAACATTAAATTTTCATCATGCCAATTATGGAAGACTTCTGGTTATTACCATACAGTGCAAGCTGAAATTGATGAATCGTCTACTAATTCATCATTGAGTAAATTAGAACGATGTGCAGCTGCATGTCTTGATCGGAATACTACAACAAAGTCAATAGGTAAGAGACAGGCATGTAAATTTGAAATACATATCTAAGTGAGTCATAGGAGACAGGTATGTAAGTTGCCTTTTATTCGACAGCAGTTTTCTGTAGCTCAACAAATTGTATTTAAGAAGAACTTGTTAGTATACTCTCGTCGAAGCTATTATGTCTCACTCTGAAAAAAAGAAAGGAGGTTTACAGAACCCTCCGAAAAGGTTCTGTAGATTTTCAAAATGCTCCAAATGTGTTCAACGTCTCAGAAAAAGGATAAAAATTTTGACAGAACCTTTTGAAGGTTCTGCGTTTTACCCAAGTGCAGAACCATCTCTTACAGAACCTTTTTTTCGGTTCTGTACAGCAAAAAAAGGTTCCGTGAGAAAATACGAAACCTTGAAGGTTCTGTACGAAACCATTAACCGTTGGTGCGTAACCTTAATGGTTCCGTACTGAACCCAATCGTTTTGTACAGAACCTTCAAGGTTTCGTATTTTCTCACGGAACCTTTTTTTGCTGTACAGAACCGAAAAAAAGGTTCTGTAAGAGATGGTTCTGCACTTGGGTAAAACGCAGAACCTTCAAAAGGTTCTGTCAAAATTTTTATCCTTTTTCTGAGACGTTGAACACATTTGGAGCATTTTGAAAATCTACAGAACCTTTTCGGAGGGTTCTGTAAACCTCCTTTCTTTTTTTCAGAGCACGTCAGCCCTACGGGCGCCTTAGTCTCCCTAGATGGATATAAAGTTTGTAAAGTGAAAAATCATTTAATCATATTTGTTTTTCTTAAGCCTGCAATAGTGATACGTACTGTTAGCTAATGTTGGGTGCGTTGACGAGTGAATGGAGAACTGGAAAACTTATACTCACCATATTCGGTGAATTTCTTCGAGGACACTTTTCCACTGAGTAGTGCTTATTGTCGTACGTTCTGAAAAACTGAGCGTTTTTAGAAAGCTCGCTTTATGGATCAGTATTGTTTGTAGTGCATATCGCTATTGATAATAGAGTATTTCGTCACAACAGGTAAGAATATCGATACAGACGAAAGAAATTTTACAAACTAAGGATTTTTCATCTTCGTTGTTAATAAGAATAGATCAAATTAATGAGAAACAATAACTACTCGGTGAAAAGATTTTCCATGAAGATGTATTTTTCAAAAATTTTCATAGAAAAATGCCCGTTTACTGTCTCTTCAAAAATAGAATTATTGTATTGCATTTGATGGAAGCTGCTTTTCAAGCAGGTTTAACTGTTACAATTAGTAGTCCTCGAAAAAATACCATGCGCCTGGGCTTGATGCTATCGAAGCGTTTTAAAAAATTTCTCATTCGACTCAATCTGAACTTTGAATTTAGACGTGATCGTCGTCTAGTTCTGTTATTTATAATTTCTTGACTGGTCGATAAAATGTTTTAATGAAAGAAATTCACCATTGTATCGAAAGAACAGAGTCGTATTTCATTTTCTTCATTTCTCTGCTTGAAACTATCTCATACAGAAAGAGCAAAACAGAATTACAGAAATTTGAAATTTTATTTTCAGGTTTCAATGCCAATAGCAATCAGTGCTTGTGTATAGTGTCACCGAAATCAAATCTAGAATCTAGTCGCGCACTTTATTTAGAAACTGTATCAAATAGTAAATGTGACCGGCATTGCGACAACATATTGGGTGATTCAAAAGTTAAGCACAATTTTCAGTGCGGTTCATTATCAGATCAACGTATATGGGCCATATACGATCTAAATTATGCATGTCCAATTGATTTTGTCTATGTAGAAGAATTTCAAAAATGTGTATTTGCAGAGAAAGGATATAGAAGTACCTGTTCCTCGCCATCGATAACGTATGTTTATGATGGAAATGTCACATGGAATGTATTGTTAAGAATCATTGAAAAATTACACTTAACTAAGTCGAGGATTTCAATCAATTTTGATAATAATGTTACCATTGATCCGTCATGGAAGTGTTCAAATACAGAAAATGTCAATGTTCCCAGTACAACTTCTATTGACAAGAATTTGAATACAAATTATGTGTTAGAACGTGGTTGCTTGCTTGTCGTGTCAGGATTCTCTTATTTATACAGACTATCAAACAAGCTATGCGTAGAGGACCCATTGAATAAAGATTCAATATCAAAAAATCCTACGCCTGGTGTATTTTATAGGCTTACTATGAATTTGATGAATAGTTGCCCAACAGATTGGTTTGATCTTAATGGAAATTGTTACCGAATGTCAACAGAACCTAAAACGATTCAAGAAGCAAGCGTTAGTTGTATTAATAAGCCGATAGTTGAGACAAAAGATAATGACGAAAACATTATATTTAACGATGATGATGATGATGATGATGATGTTCGGAGTGAAACGAATGACGAAAACAAGAATTATACGGCGAATATTCAGAATGGTGAAATTGTTCAATATACATCAGAATGGCAAGCACACCTTGGCTATTATCTTCTTGATACAAGTAAAGTGTTTAAATGCTTTTTCAAGTAGTTTTCCATCACAGATTGAGTTCTATTGATTAATCAATGGAATATCTAGAGCATATTGGATATTATAAAAGATGTGAAAACTAGAAATACTTAATTCGATTTTTGTATGGCATATGTTTCTAGATAACGGAAGGTTCTTGGTCGGGTAGTCAGATTGAAAGAGAATAAGATTAAAAAACAAAGAACCTAGCTGAGTATTCGAAATTTGTTATTGAAATAATTATTTTCTAGACATATCAAGTATTCAAGAAACGCCTCAACCACTAAGATCATTTGATAGAGAAATGCCAACGCTAGTGTTCAATATTAATATCTCTCGTTCGTCTATAAATGAATTTCAAATGATTAATCTAAATGAAAATAAGAATTCAACTGTAAAAGGTGATTCATGTATTCTTTCGACACGTTCAGTCATCGACGAAAAAGAAAGTTCTGTCATAAGCAATGCTCAAATGAACAATTGTTCGAAACCAAGACATGTTTTATGTAAAACACGATCTCCTTATTTTCGAGCTCATGAGCATTGTTTATCTAAACCGTTAACACTTGGTTTACCAACATTAATATCAAATTATTTATCTCATGAATTATGTATTACTATGTGTATGGACTTGAAAACGAATTCAGTTGTTTTAAATAAAAATAAATGTTATTGTTTAAATGCCGATTATTCAAAAATGGCTAATAATAAACTATTTTATGAACAATATCGAACGAAAGATTGTGGAAATTTCTGCCCAGGTACGTTGAATTGACAACTTTAAAGTTTTTCTTTAAATGAAATTCACTGTCTTCAAACACGATCACGAATTTTCTTTTTTAGTCATTTCTTTCAAGTTATGTCTTGACAAATTGCAGATTTTATATTATATTCTCCAGATAAATTTCATTCAGGAGTTATTTTTCGGTTGATTTGAAATAACTCGCACAACTCGATGCTTATTTGATAATGAGTTTTTCTTTGAATCTGATAACTAAATCTTCAAACAATACTTGATGGGTGTGCATAGTAGTACTCCTCGCATTGATCATCCTAGAAAAAAAATGATACTAAAAATATATCTTCGGAGAGCCTGCCCTGTACTACTTAGAAAGTATCATTTGAGGATATCGAACTACTTTACGGAAGATGTAAGAAAAAGAACTTTGCAAGCCTTCTGATCATATCTTTCGAGAAAACAAAAGATATGTAGGCTTATACTGGTAGATCACTTCAGTTTAAATAAATAGGCTCACCTTTGTCCCCAATATAAAGAATGTCTTGAAAACGATCTTAGTACTGATATATCAACATTAGGGGCGTAATAGAATGTTACCTGAAAACCTATCTGTATCCTGTTATATACCAAATGTGTCGTAGTTGTTTTGGAGCTAATCACATTGGAGCCCCTAAACGCTTGAATAGAAAATATTATGCACTGTTATCTTATACGTTTTCTGACCATGGAAAGGCAATCATGCTTTTTACTTCAACTTGACATTATAATCAGGCTTCGTTCCTACCTGAGTTGCGAGATATCGAAAATATAAGACGATTAAGCAGCCTGTTTGTAGTTCTTTAAGAAAATGAATACACAGACGCACGTACTATCATTTTTTTATGATTTCAGGTAATCAACATCAATATTGCGGTAATGAAAATGTAATTATTACATTTTACATATTTGCTAGTTCGCTTCCACCCATATTTGACAATAACGAGAAAATGCCTAGACTTAAATCTGATTTCGTTTATGAAAGTTGTATACATTTAAATATTGTTGATCAATCAACAATGTATGCATTCAATTTAACTCGTGCAATTGACGTTCATCCACGGCATTGTTTAGAACTATGCGTAAAGTATCAACAAAAATATGCTCTAATGAATTCTAACAAATGTCTATGCACAAACATTCGATTAAAAAAGAGAAACGATAAGTTGTCTGCACTCTCAACATATAGTTGTACTCAAGAATGCCAAGGTAATTACTTTTACACCTGTGGAAATTCAAGTAATTCAACAATCTATTCGATGTATGCCATGGAAACATCATGTCCTCGTGGTAAGACAATTGGAATTGACAACGATTCCTTGAATAGAGAATGTGGTAACGCATTGCTTTTTATAGGTTTTCAAGTTATTGAAGAGCAAAAACGATGTGTACACGCTAATATTTCGGCGAATACAATATCGTTTACGAGTGCACAAGCATATTGTAAATCAGTTGGTGGCATGCTTGCAAAGATAAATGATGTTTTAGAAATTCAAGATATATTACCTAAATCAGTTCTAGCTCGTAGCGTTTACTCGATTTATTCATCTGATTCTGCTAGACGACGCGCATACAATGAAAGCAAATATTTTTGGATTGATCGGAAATCCGATGTGTCACGCATGAATACAGCATCAGACCATTCCATTGTAAGATGTTCGCTTACGCCACACACAGTTGATGCAAATTGTATTGTTCTTCGTTACGAAAAAATTATAATTCATGAATCAGTGACTTATCAACAATGTTTTACCGAATCAGATCAATGCTCATCGATGTCTGCTATACCAGTTTGTGTGGACGAACACCTAGAATTAGCTTCAACTGTTAATCGTTCGAATAAAGGCAATGAATTGTTAGAATCAGTTAATACCACAGTGGACTATTCATGTGGAAATAATGCAGAATATCATCTGATAAACGGGTTTTGTTACAAAGTAAACATTCATGAAGTGACCTGGCACGACGCAAAATCTGAATGTGAACGCGAAAATACTACACTATTCATACCTGAAGACGAGTTAACATTGAAGTCGATAAGATCCTTATTTTTACGTCAGCGAAGTTACACATCATCTAGTGTTATACATGTAGGTGTGTTTAACGATAAAAAAGATCGCAGTGGTACTAAATATGATGGAATTTATGAAAGCAGTTCGTCGAATATCTTAGATTCCGATTCTACTTCTCCTTCATGTGGAAAAACATTTCGTGGTCGTTATCCTTCAGCATTTTCACCAATGGCGCGAAATGATCGATCCACGAGTAAACTGACTGGTTGTGGATATGTTGATTTACGGCCTGGTATGGAGCTATCAATTTCATGTGATAAATTACCGTGTGAACAGTTAGCCGCTGTAGTATGCCAAAAAGCATCGATACCAAAAAGCCGTGCAGTTGTGGCAAAACTGTGAGTTGTCAATGCAATATACATTGATAAGGAGATTGTACCATAGAAACTAAAAGATTTTTCAGATTGTTTTTAATCCTGAGGAAAGAAGTGTTCTTTGTAGTGGTATGAAATTATTTGAAGAATGTTTTGTGTGAATACGATCTGTACGCTTTTCTAGAACAGAGATATGAAGATTAGATTTTTTTGCGGTCTCATGTACTATAGCTAAACAAAATTTTCTATCAGGTATCACGCACATTCTTTATTGTAGCCGGTTATATATCGATGGTACACTTGTCTGATTCTCAATAAATTAACATTCAGTAAAAAATATATTCATACTGTGGTGATGTTATTCTTTGTGTTTTAAATAATTTAATGAACATATGCAGATTTCGATGGATAGTGGAAAAGTTCGCTTTTTTGTATTTTCTTTTATTGCTAGAAAATAATAGTTTCTTATGCCGATGTTTTCACTGACACTCAATCAGAATCAAATGCTAAATTCTTAACCGATACTAGTTATACAAAGAGTCTGCCTTCAAACTTCGCGCTAAGATGTGAAATAAAAATTAATCTCCCTATTTTCTCTTATTTTTTTACAGTGTTTATGATGGATCATCGTTGAATGGCCAATCAACTTCTGTTGGCAAGCATTTTACTGCAGTCTTTTGGATGTTTTCACTTGTTTTTATTCTCTTAATTATTGGATTTACCTATGTATTATACAAGCGTTATCTAATGCGAAATGGTCACAACATCATTATTAAAACAAGAGGAAATAATGATTCTGCTTATTCTCAATTGTCAACCGGAAACGAACTTGACTTAAATTAGTATTGAATTACTGTTTTATTTGACCAGTTTTACTTAGAGTGACGATTTTATATTTGATTTTTTCTTTCAATGTCGAAGCACTTCGTATCGTTTTATTATCAATTTTGTTTCACTTTTCTTGTGATTCCGCTAAAAATAAGCAATTAAACAAATACTAAAAGTTAAGTTAAGAAAGCTAATCAATAACGCCAAAGAAACAAAAATTAACATCAAATCCTTACTGATAACCCATAATGTTTTAATTGATCAATTATTAAACCAGAAATATTTTGATTTATGTCACAGATTTAGTCATGTTATATCAAAGATGGAGAAAGATCAATGCAAAATGTTCATATCTGATCGTTTTAGAGAATTCCAGTAAATCAGTCAGTTATGTTCGAATTGAATTTATGTGTCAAAACTTCAATTAATTTTAAAAAAACATGCCTGTAGTCTTTATCAAACTAATTGATTAAAAGTGTGCGGGAACGGAAAAATTAGAATTCTCAATCGGTTGAGGAATTATTTTGAGATGAGGATGGGGTTATGGGATAGCAATATATCATAAGGAATAGTTTTGAGAGCATTACATGTTCATTGAAGACATCGAACATGGTAATCAACACTTACATCAATGCCGAAGTGTTCTACGAGCGATATTATCTCTGTGCTCTCGATGAGACTAGTTCTTAGCATTTCCAATTTCGAAATAAATATATAACAAGCTACCAGAACAGTTTCTAGTATAAACTATGAGACTTTTGCAGCTTAGTGCCACATTAGAAATGAGAAATCGCACCGGTTTCCAATAATAGAAGTAAAATTAAGAATCTTTTTGAAACATAAGTGAAAAGCGCTCTCGAGATATTTAGAAAGAAACATGGATATTCTCCTGTCAAAGGCCGTCACATAAGCCTTGACACTTTGTTACGGTGATGCCGCACATCGACATAATAGCATTATTTTCTTTATATCCTCTATCTTCTCTCTCTCATCTTCAGTAATCGCTATGGCTATTTTCTCTTCTCTTCTTGTTATATATGTTACAGGGGAGATTGAAATACAGGGCTGTTTAAAAGAGTCCTTAGGGGAAATTGAAATTTTAATCTCACCTAGGGCAAATTAAAATTTTAGTTTCTCCTATAGAGGAGTTTTAAATAGCCCTAGTAGAAATAAATATATCATTTTTTTCCATTCGCAAATTCTACATTACCATGAAAACGATTAAATATTTCAAAATAACGTCATGTTTTCAAGCTACATTATCTTACAACAAAACAAACAGTAGAAACAGTCCACCTCACTGATGCTAACAAACTTATGTCGACAAAAATTCTAAAATATTTGAACACGCGCATTTCAATCCAGTTGCAGAAATATACTATTGTTATGGCACATGTGCTACAAAGTCGTGCCCATGCAAGAAGAAAGATATTAAGAGTTGCACAAAATAATCCTCCAAAAAACAAAATGCGTGCGTTCAAATATTTTAAAATTTTTGTCGACATAAGTTTGTTAGCATCAGTGAGGTGGACTGTTTCTACTGTTTGTTTTGTTGTAAGATAATGTAGCTTGAAAACATGACGTTATTTTGAAATATTTAATCGTTTTCATGGTAATGTAGAATTTGCGAATGGAAAAAAATGATATATTTATTTCTACTAGGGCTATTTAAAACTCCTCTATAGGAGAAACTAAAATTTTAATTTGCCCTAGGTGAGATTAAAATTTCAATTTCCCCTAAGGACTATTTTAAACAGTCCTGCATTTCAATCTCCCCTGTAACATATGCATATACATGTTACCACTATTTTTTGGATTATTCATTCCTATGAAATAAAGATCATGTACACATACACATACACATACATATATCGGTACAATGAATTTAGAGAAGAACAACTCTAACATTTGGCGACCCTGGCAAAAAACAACATCAAAATAATTAAATTGCCATTAACAACCAATTTCTTTACATTAAATTAATCAGAGCCTCTATTGAAAAGAGACTCGTAAATTTTCTTTTCAAAACCTCCGCATAAAGAGACGTGAAATTAATTTAATCACAGCTTTTTCTTTGAATTTAAAAAACAAACAGAGAAAAAAACTCGATATTTTCCTATAATATTATAAGATTAATTAGTATAAATTAGAACCATACTTCATTTTTAGGTAAGAACTTATATTCTAGAGAGCAGTGTAATCGATTCACAAACATAAGGAATACTTTTGAGTAAACCGTAGTTTTTAATTATAAAATCAAAATTTGACGTGTACTTTTTCTGTGGATCTCTCATTTTATAATCAAGGGGAATAGGAATCGAAATCATATAAACTATTGAATTATCATTGCCTTAAACAAATTTAATCAGAAATTTTGAAAAGAACTTCGTACACCAATTCGAATGATCACGCATCATTTTTCATTTATTAATTCATTTTGCCTATTTTGAAATTAATTGCTTTATTCGTAATAAATTTATCACGGCTACCGGGACAAGATTTCAAGTTAAGAAAAATAATAAAAAATGATTACCATATACTATTATAACGAATTCTTTATCTCGTATATCATTGCAATCGAATTCAGTAATACATTCAATATCGGATAGAAATAATTATGACTAATTCAATGCTATTAGCAACAGATCGAAAGACTCGATTTGATGAAATGCCAAATTTTCCCGGGCATCCTTCCGAGGATGTAGAACGTTTTCTAAAAAGTATTAAGAATATTACGAAAGCAAACGATGAATCAGATAATCATGAAATTCTTGAAATTGTTCGTGGTAAATTAATAAGATCAGCTGGACTATGGTTTGATAACAATGAATATAAATTTAACAAATGATTAGATTTCGCAATCGATTTTTTCCACAGCAATGTCTCATAAGAAATTCGATAAATTAAAACAACGAGTACAACTACATGATGAACCGATTACATCTTACATTGATGACGTTACTAATCTATGTCGTGAAATCGATACAACTATGTCCGACTCAATCATTACTCAACATTTATTGAGCGGAATTAATCCTGAATTAAGAAAAGAAATCTCTCGATATGAATCGAGCACGCGCACACTACTTGAATTTTCAAAATAATTCTATGATGTCGATGTGCGATATCACCGTAACACACTTCTATCGTCGAACAGGAAGAAAACAGTAGCGTTATGTTTCACATTTTTATTTTACAACATTTGATCTAACACATCTATATTACTTAGATATACCTTGTTTACTTGTATAAACAACAATAGAATATTTCAAACAGAACAAGACAAAATGCAACAATGTATTCAGGTTAAAGTTCTCGATCAAAGAAACATAATACACATGTCTTGTGCTATTAAATATCGATAACAAGAATCAAAAGGTCATCATCCTTTTCCGTTCCTACTATCAATTTTTCTATACCAAAATTATTATCAAATATCTCAAATTACATTTCTTGTTGTTTACATTCGAAACATTTTCAACTGTTTCTTTTTTCATCGATCATTTGCTTATATTATTTCAACATATGATGTTTAACTCAAGATTGCTCTCGTTTTTTATTGTATTCTCCATAGCACATGCCGTTTCTGGCTCATATCGTTATGTTGGCTGCTATCAACACGTATTCTATGATAGTGCGTTCACAAGTTCATATATGGAACCAACGTTGTGTTTTCGTTTGTGTGAAACACCAATGATTTATTTACAAAACAATCTATGTCGATGTGCAGGCAGTGGTCTAATGGATTATAATCGTCAAAGAGATTCATCATGTTCTATACCATGTAAAGCCGTAGTTGATGGTCACGTAAAAACTAATATGTGTGGTGGCCGAGATGCATACTCCGTTTATGCCGAAGAACAATTTTATACTCGACATGCACATTTACTGAAGTATCAAATAAAATTTGCATCATGTCAATTTTGGAATACTTCTGGTTATTATGATACAGTGCAAGTTGAAATTGATGAATCATCTACTAATTCATCATTGAGTAAATTAGAACGATGTGCAGCTGCATGTCTTGATCGCAATACTACAACAAAATCAATAGGTAGGCGACAAAGATGTATAGCATAATCCTAGGAGATAGACCCTGTCTACCAGAAATATTAGATAAACATATGATTGGGTAGATTATCTGCTTGGGAAGCAGACATCTAACGAGGGAACATATCCAACTGATAGATCGTTTTTGGAATCGTACTTTATGTTTATGGTAGACCCTATTGAGGTATGAAAAAATCCAAAAGGACGAATGCTCATAGGTCTTTTGTCCCGAGTTATAGGGACTTTACTGGGATTGTAGTGTCTACCACGGTGTGTGCCAAAAACAATTGAATGAAAGCTCTTCGACCTGAGATTTTGCTTATAGACATCTAGCTATGAGTAGGATGTACTGAAAGTTTTAGCTCAAAAAAAAAAAAGTTTCCTTCAAGAGATATTAAACTTTCAAAAATCGCTGCTGTCTCACGAATGATTCTAGAATTTTCTTTTTTTTTCTTCGAAGCTTAATATCTCGAGAAGGAAACATTTTGTGTAGCTGAATTTTTCTGTACACCCTACTCATAAATAGATCTGTTTATGGATAAACCCTCAATTCGAAATACCCCCGTTCAATTTTTCGATATACGCCATCGTAGAGGGTAAAATTTCAGTGAAATACGAATAACTTGGGACAGAAGGCCTATGGACATCTGTCTTTTCGGAGTTTTTCATAACTAACTAGAGTCTCCACCTATGCGTATAGAGTCTAATCCAAAAAATGATTTATCAGTTGGATATGTTCCCTCGTAAGTTGCATTCGTGGAAACAATTTTCATGAGTATGTAATAGTGATGCACGCTGTTAGCTAATGTTTCATTTGATAATGAGTGGATGGGGAGCTACAAAACACATACTCATCATCTCCATCGAAAATAAAACATGAGAACAACTATTCCTCTCATTTCTTCGTGGGCATTCTCTCACTGAATATTGTCGATTGTTTTGCATTTTGGCAGCAAGTATATGATTGATTTTTCAGTAAGCATTGTTTGGATTCTGAAAAAAAACAATGAATTTTTAGAAAGCTCATTGTAGGGAATAGAGCATTTCGATGGAGCATGTAAAAATATAGATGCGGAATACAGTTGACATGATGAGCTCAATGAAATGACTCAAATCCGCAGCATAGAAGGGGAACGGTTTAGAAACTAAGAGATTTTCATCTTTGGCGTTTATGACAACAGTTAAAATCAATAGGTGAAAATATTCAGTCACGTTTAATATCTCTCCGAAAAGAAAATCCTTGTATTGCATTCTGTGGAAATAGCTTTTCAACGTGATTAAGTTGGTAGAATACAACTAAATAGCATTTTCTTGAACTTGATACTGTCGCAGCTGTTTGAAAACTTTTTTTTGTGAAACACGATCTGAAAGAAGTGTTGAAGTATATAGGGTAGAAATTTGAACGCATCCCCCCACAGACCGTTACAGAGAAATTAATTAATCAGTTAATTAGTTAATTTATTAATTATTAATTATTGAATTTCTCTGTAACGGTCTGTGATGGTTTCATGAGGCTTCATACATCATAATACAGACCGTAACAGAGACGCTCCACAGGCCATCAGTGACCGTGATAGACAAATTCCAGAAAAGAAGTTTCATCGTATTTCACATTTTAATCCCACAGGGATTGCGCTAACAGCTCTTTTGAATCCAATTGAACTTTGAACTCAAATATATTCGATGAATTCTATTATTTATGATTTCTTCACGTGTCGAAAATATGCTCTTATGAAGGAATCTGACCTTTGTATCGAAAGAACAAAAAAAAATTATCTATAACAAAACAAATTACAGAAATTTGAAACTTTATTTGCAGGTTTCAATGCCGATAGCAATCAGTGCTTGTGTATAGTATCACCGAAATCAAATCTAGAATCTAGTCGCGCACTTTATTTAACAATTCTACCAAACAATAAATGTGACCGGCATTGTGACAACATATTGGGTGATTCAAACGTTGAACACAATTTTCAATGCGGTTCATTAACAAATCAACGTATATGGGCCATATACGATCTAAATTATGCATGCCCAATTGATTCTGTCTATGTAGAAGAATTTCAAAAATGTATATTTGCAGAGAACGGATTTAGAAGTCCCTGTTCATCGCCATCGATAACGTATGTTTATGATGGAAATATCACATGGAATGCATTTTTAAGGGTTATTGAAAAAATAAACTTAACTAAATCGATGATTTCAATTAATTTTAATAATAATGTTACCATTGATCCTTCATGGAAGTGTTTAAATACAACAAATGCATACGGTCCAACACAGTCTAGCATTTTTCCCGATAATACTAAGACAAGTTATATATTAAACAATGGCTGCTTAACTGTCCGTGTATATTCGTTTTATTCGTACAGGCTGTTTGACACTCTATGCATAGAAGATCCACTAAATAAAGATTCATCTTTATATAAGCCTACATCGGATAGATCTATTTTATCTTGGAATAATTTCATGAAAACTTATTGTCCAGATAATTGGTTTGATCTTAATGGAAATTGTTACCGCATGTCAGCTGAACCTAAACCAATTCAAGAAGCAAGAGCTAGTTGCATTGATAAACCAAAGGCTGATTTAAGTGAGAGTGATGAAGATATTGTATTAAACGACGATAATACTCAGAATAAAACGAAAGATGAATACAAAGATTACATGGAGAATATCGAGAAAGGTGACATCGTTCAATATACATCAGAATGGCAAGCCCGTCTTGGCTATTATCTTCTTGACACAAGTAAAACATTTAAATAGTTTTTCAAGTAGTTTTCCATAACCGATTGGATTCTATTGATTAATCACCGGAATAGCTAGAGCATAGTTGAGATTACAAAGGATACGAAAAACAACAAATGATAAATAAAAAAAAGCTCAGTCGTTTGTTCGATATCCACTTCGGATGTTGGCTTCGATGACGGATAGTATACCAGTTTGAGATAAACAATCAGTATGTCGCACTCAAAAGATGTTCAAAGATCGGTTGTAGGGCTGCTCATAATTCGAACGAGTAGTCGAATTGAAAGAGAGCGATTTTGTAACCTTAGAGTGTTCATTTTATCTACTGTCTGAGATTTCAGTAAATGAGATTTTTTTTTCTTCTCTAGATAGTATGAAATGTAAATAGAAATCGACACGGGCACATATAATTTCTGCGAATATATCATAAATATTGGTAACCTGTGATTTAATTCGAGCACCACTTAAAAAATTAAGATTTCCGTGTAAAAAATATGATGACTAACTAAGAAAATTTGAGGATTATATGAAAAAAAGATTGAAAAAAAACTGCGTGCTTAATTATTTTCTAGGAATATCAGTTAATAGAACAACGCCTGGAGCATTTCAATCATTTAATCAATATCCACTAGCATCAGTGACCACTATTAATATGAATCGTTCATCTGTAAATGAATTTCAAATGGTTAATCAGCAGGAAAATAATAACTCAATTGTAAAAGACGATTTGTGTATAATTTCGACACGTTCAGCTGTCGACGACAAAGAAAGTTCTGTCGTAAGAAGTATTCAAGTGAATAATTGTTCGAAACCAAGACGTGTTTTATGTGAAAGAAAACCGCCTTTTATTCGAACTCGTGAATATTGTTTATCAAATCCATTAACACTTGGTTTACCAACCATAATATCAAATTATTTATCTCACGAATCATGCGTTACTATTTGTGAACCATTGGAAAGAAACTTTGCAGTTTTGAATGTGAATAAATGTTATTGTATAAATAGCAATCTCGCTCAGTCGCATCCTATAAAACTAACTCATGAAAAATATCGAACAAAAGATTGTGGAAATCTTTGCCCAGGTGAGTTCATCTGATACTTTAACACATGTTTCAAATGAAATCTCCTGTCTTAAAATTGTAGTACTGACGCCGATTTCGAGATAGATTTTTAATAATGCGCAAAGTGAAAATGAACGACAAAATGTCTCCTTTAGTAAAGGATACAAAGGTCACATGATTCTAATCGTAGTCTGAAGTAAAATAGAGAAAGTTTTGTATTCTACGACTTTTAATAGCTCAACGTTCAAAGAATTTCACAAGCTTCATCGGTGTGACGCTCTAGTTATGATTAGAAAAGTACATTGTCGAATACCGAACTACTATGGAAAAGAACTAGAAATTTCGATAGCACAGCCACGTTAGAACTGAAGTGTGGAACTAGCCTGTATTCCTTAGATTTACTAACCTGATTGAAAAATAGCTTTAGTGAAATACCTACCTTATTTTCCAGAATCTGTAATTAGGGAATACTATATTAGCCAAGGACTGTAACCGTTATATAGGCTGGTTACAAAGACTTGTGCTGGTAACCGTCCCCCCAACTCTTGTTGTTAGTGTATGCTACGGACGGGCCCTTTTTCCTAGTCAAGTCTACAATGAAAAGCTGTTAGCGCAATCCCTGTGGGATTAAAATGTGAATTACGATGAAACTTCTTTTCTGGAATTCGTCTATCACAGTCACTGATGGCCTGTGGAGCGTCTCTGTTACGGTCTGTATTATGATGTATGGAGTCTCTAGAAACCATCACAGACCGTTACAGAGAAGTTCAATAATTATTAATTAATTAATTAATGTGCTAACTAATTAACCAATTAGCTGATTAATTAATTTCTCTGAAACGGCCTGTGGGGGGATGCGTTCAAATTTCTACCCTATATACTTCAACACTTCTTTCAGATCATGTTTCACAGAGAAGGAAGACAGAGCAGCCTTATTAGTATCGCCCTTAACTAACAATCGAGGGAGCTAATAAATATCTATCATGGGGAGGACGACGGAAAGGGTACTCACAACATTCTCCATATTAGGGGTGACCCTTTATCTTTATTTTCCTTTATACTAAAGGATAAAGATAAATGAATCCTTTATCTTTAGAAAATAAAGGTAAATGATTGAAAAACCATCTATAATTTAGTTTTTTAAACATAGATGGATCATTTTTCTTTAGCAGATAATAGGAAATGATTAAAAAACAATTTATCATTTATTTTCTAAAGATAAATGAATCATTTAGTTTTAGAAAGTAAAGATAAAGAAATCATTTATCTTTAGAAAATAAAGCAAAAATAAAGGAATAAATGATTTTTATTTTCAAGCGATAATCAAGTCGAAAATATTCTAGAATTGTAGAACTTGTGTTTTGGGAATATTCTTATCATTGAATCGATGTCTTTTGACTGAAAACAGGGACCTCTGAAGTGAAATCAACTGATATTGCTTAATAGTATTTTGGGGGTTTTAGTTAGA